ACTCCTGAGCTAAAATGATCCATCCATCTCAGCCTCCCATAGTGCTAGGATTACAGGCATGAGCCACTGTGCCCGGCCTGAGGAGTTGCTTCTTATGGATGAGCAAAGAAAGTAGCTTCTTGAGACGGAATCTACTCCTGGTTAAGATGCTGTGAACGTTGTTGAAATGACAACAAAGGATTTAGAATGTTACATAAACTTAGCTGATAAAGAAGCAGCAGGGTTTGGAAGGATTGACTCCAAATCTGAAAGAAGCTTTACTGTAAGTAACATGCTAGGAAACAGCATCTCACACTACAGAGAAATCTTGGGGAGTAAGTCAATGTGGCAAACTTCATCGTTGCTTTATTTTAAGAAATTGCCACAGCTAACCCAACCTTCAGCAACCACAACCCTTGTCAGCAGCCAAGCTAGTTACCCAGTTAAAAGAGACTGGGTCTCGATGTTAAACAGACCAGAATACAGTGGGATCATCACAGCTCACTGCAACCTTAAACACCTGGACTCAGAGGATTCTCCTGCCTCACCCTCTCAAGTAGCTGGGACTACAGGTATGTGACATCACACCCAGCTAATTAAAAAAATTCTTTTTGTAGAGATGGAGTCTCACTATATTGCCCAGATTAGTCTGGAACTCCTGGGATCAAGCAATCCTCCTGCCTTGGCCTCCCACAGTGCTGGGATTACAGTTGTGAGTCACTGTGCCTAGCCTGTGCTCTGTTTAAGAAATCCTTAACCATCATGATAACAGAGAAAAGTTCCCTTATAACTGAATATTTTCTAGCATTTTCATTAATTTCCCATTATTAAACACTTCTTTAACAAACCTTAATTTACCACCAACTGCTTCAATTCCACGAGTTAGCTTGAAGGATGAAGCTCCTTTTGTAGTCTTGAAAAAGAAAAGAATGATTTTCTTAGTAGTATTTCAATGTCAAGTTTACCAAACATCACACCATATAAAAATCTACTAATTACCATTAGCAGATTCAAAAGGAACTTTCCTTAATAGTGTATCCTTTTTAGTTAAGAATTATAAAACAAGGCTTGACAAAAAGCCTAAGTATAGATTTTTATATAAAACGTATTTATATAAAAATTCCACTGTCAAATACAAGCTTACTGGATTCACTAGTCTATTCTGAAAGAGACTTGCATATGGAAAAAACAAGCAATTTTCCTTCAATTTTTGGTACTTAAAACTTTTTTTTTTGAGACAGAGTCTCACTTTGTTGCCCAGGCTAGAGTGAGTGTCATGGTGTCAGCCTAGCTCACAGCAACCTCAAACTCCTGGGCTCAAGCAATCCTGCTGCCTCAGCCTCCCGAGTAGCTGGGACTACAGGCATGTGCCACCATGCCCGGCTAATTTTTTCTATATATATTAGTTTGGCCAATTAATTTCTTTCTATTTATAGTAGAGACGGGGCCTCACTCTTGCTCAGGCTGGTTTCAAACTCCTGACCTCAAGCAATCTGCCTGCCTCGGCCTCTCAGAGTGTTAGGATTACAGGCATGAGCCACTGTGCCCGGCCAAAACTTTCTTTTTGTTTATCGATTTCTTCTGCTCTAACACCAACAATCACATAGACATGAACTTAATGCTTCTCTGTGACAAATATCTTGTTGTTTCTCATTTTATATTAGGGAATTGTACAGTGTCCCTCTGGGCCACCCTCCCCCCCCATCATGTCTAGCCAGAATCTGACTTTATCTGGAAATAAGGTCTTCGCAGATGTAAACATTTAAGATGTCATCATACTGGATTAGCATGGGCTCTACATCCAATATGACTGGTGTCCTTATAAGAGGAAAATTTGGACACAGACAGAAGAAGGCCATGTGAAAACAGAGGCTGACATTGAAGTGATGCAGCTGCAAACCAGGGAAGGACTGCAGGCAACTACCAGAAGCTAGGAACAGGCAAAGCAGGATTCTTCTCCAAAGCAAGGAGCATGGCCCTGCTGACACCTTGACTTAGACACCCTGACTTTGACTTCTAGCCTTTAGAACCGTGACAGGATAATTTCTGTTTTTTGTTTAAACCATCTGGTTTGTAGTAATTTTGTATGGCAGCTCAAGGAAATGAATATAGAGACATTGCTTTTAGTTTTTCTTTTTCCTAGTACCAAGATATAACAGCATTTCCAAACACTGAGGTAGTAAAGATACTTACCAAACTGGACGCAAGACGCAGCAAATGAGAGGTTCCTAAATTGTTGGAGTCCTCGTATCTACTGCCTGCTTTAATGAACAAACCAATTCTTGATATAGGAGCATAGTTTTCCAAAGAAGCAATCACTAAGCCATTTGGTAATTTGGTGAACTGTATTTAAAATAAAAAGTGGAGACATAATTAATGTCTTTATATTACCAAGGAGAGTAAGGCATGTATGGGTTTCAGGGAGTAACTCAGTGCGACTAACCTCAAGGTCCTGAGGATGTGGAGTTGCTCCTGCAGGGGCAGCTGTGCCTTTAACTTTGGGGGCAACTTTGAGGGAATAAAATCTCTAAACACACACAAAAAAACAGGTTACACACATTTCTCACAAGAACAGTGCTTTGTATATAGTATTGTATATTAGTGTACCCAAGTGACAGAGGATGTTCAGGAAAGAGCAACCACCAGGTTCACAGAAGGCTTTAAGCTGTGTAACTCAATATGGACTTACAACCCACCAGTTGACCCAGGTCATTCTTAAAATCTATTTCTTTGTGATTTATAGAGAATACTGTAATCTCTATGTTTTTTTTCTACTACATAAAGAATCAATGTATTTTCTGTTAGCTTTCAATTATCTTATCAAAGTTTCAAATGGTTTGTTCTAGTTCTAATGCTTTCACTTTTAAAAAAGTGTCAGACTGTTTTAGCACTACTGCTTTCCATATTTGCCCAACAAGTCTCACCTTTTTAGTTTATTTTCCAATTGAACTGACTTTATCTCCTTAATCATTTTAGCAACCTTTAAAAAAGACAAAGTACACAATTTCTTCTGTACCTCTAGTATTTCCTACTGTGTCTTCACTCTCTCATGTGCTACACTAAGACCACACAACCAAAGTCTTAACCTTTGACTAAATAAAAATTTTTATCATCTTGAGATTAACAGTAGCTTCATCCACAGCAGATTTTCAATATATAATAGGCACCTACTGGTAGGGTAAAAGGGTCCTCTTAAAAATCAAACAATGTGTCCAAAATGCACTTTATTTAGTTCTTTTTTGGCAAATGTATATTGTATATACAATGGCATAAAAGTCATTCTAATATGATTAAGGCTCATGAGGTTACTAGTGGAGATACTCAGTAAATAAAACCAGGTGCTCCCAATTCCTATGTTGCGGGAGTTTCCCAGGGATCCCCATCAGAGGTTCTGGGAATGAATGCCTCACTCTGTGCTGGTCAGAGGCTGTTTGTTGTGCATTCAGCATCAGTGCTGTACTAAATTGGCTGCTGGTTATCATTTACTCTTAGTATTTTTAATTATGAATTACAATTAGCTTTGCTTTATCATCATCAATTTAGTTTGCTGGGTATAGTTAACCCTACTTGTGATTTTGGACTTTGATTTTCCAAAAAGCAAATTTTAATATAAATGGGCATAGCAGATCAAATATGAATAATCCGTAGTTCCATCACCAAGTGATATTTAGGTGCTTTCAACTCAAATGTGCCTCAACATTCATACTCTGTTGTCTTACCTGTCCCATTTGAACTAGCAATTATCCTAGTAATTGCCACAGTCACTATTGTTTTAATAACAATATGTATAAGTTTATTCTCATGTAAAATAAGCACTATGACTAGAAACAAATAATTGCTTTCAAGTTTACTTCAATTTGTTTACTTTGATCCTCTTCAACTGCTATCTTTGACCTCTTTTTCCTATTGGAAAACAAAATGGAGGAAATTTTGAGGTCTTTTGCTATTCTAACTGGCTGTTAATCATTGGTTTGTCTAGATATGCCAGGAAAGGTGATACAATTACAGCCTAAATTTATATAACCCACAGTACATCTATACAGTGAAATTCCATTTCCAGGTCTGGTCTTTTGCATATCCCTCTAGCTGGGTTCCTCAACCACTGGCATTTTGGGCTGGAAAGTTCTTTGTTGTAGGGGGCTGTTTTTGTGCATTGTAGGTTGTTTAGCAGCACCCCTGGCCTCCAGATGCCAGTAGCTGATACACAAGTTGATACAACCAAAAATGTCTCCAGACATTACTAACGGTTCCCTGGGGGGAGGCGGGGTATAGCGTCCCTCGCTGAAATTTAAAAGTGTTCCTCATTTCTCCTCTTAATAACCACCGCTCTACAGTGACAATGACACTTTAAAAGTTTTCCCCCAAGTGACAGCTTTGTTTAATTTCGGCTTGGAGGGGGATCCTTAACTAAGCAGCTTTTGAGGATCGTCCGTCTCGGAGGAACCCTCCAATGAAAAACCAAAAAAAGCACACCTTATACGGCCAGGACACCGTAATAATTAACAATGAAGTTCCAGGCACTGTGATAAGCGTAGTATCTGCATTAGCTCATTTCCTCTGCTTTATTCGTTAGACACACTGATGGTCCGTGATAAACCTAGGAGCATAGGGCGTAGCTAAGGTAAGCGTGGGGGGCTAGGTCTGCACTGGCCTCCCGTTACCCAAGTCTCACGGTCTCGTTCTCCAGCGCCTAAGTGCAGGTGTGACCTTCAGAAGTGCCTTCACGGCGCCGCTTCAACTCTGTTCTCAAGTCCTCCTCCCTCCTTTCAGGTTTTCTGGCGTTTGGTTTCTTTTGCTCACAGCACGAGCTGGGCCTCCACTGCCTGACTCAAGTCTGCAGCCCACTTGGCCTGCAGGGTTCAGCTGAAGGGCAGACCGAAGCCCGAGGCCCAGAACCCCAAACCAGGCTCCGGCTCGTATCACCTTGGTGACACACTGCTCCCCAACCCTTCCCCAAACCCGCCAGCTCTGCTTACCGAGAAGGACCCCGCTCTGGTTAGTAGCTTCATGACTCAAAACTGCTTTGACCCGTGGTCACCACAGGATTAAAGGAAAGCAAGATGGTGGCGGAGGACAGGAGTTTCCCAGCGTTCCCCGCGAACACTTTCCCACGCCCCCTTCGGGAGGGTGACTCTCTATACCAACCGCTCTCTACGGCTCCATGGGGTAGGTTGGACCAATCGAATTCCGCCAAGGCGCAGAATAGGGAGACGCATAATTTCCTAAGCCAATATACAAAAGACAATTCAGGATATTGCTTTTTAGGCTCTTTTTTTGGCTTGAATATCCAGCCTGTAATACTTTTCTATCTATGTCCCCTTCATAACGCCCCCCGCCACTTTGGATTCTTCCGATCTGGACTGTCCAATGAAACAGCGCCTTTCCCAGGATTCCACCGGCGTTTTCTGGGCTATCGCCTTCTCTGGAGGTCCTCGACTTCCGGTGCCCAGGATATCGGTGGCTCTTGCAGGGTCTTGCCTATCAGCCTTGCTGCGTGTTTTTTTTTTTTTTTTTTTTTCTTGCTGCGTGTTTTTACAAGATCCCTAGGCGGTTAGTACGCACGTTAAAGTTTCAGAAGGACTGGTGGTGTAGGCATTACAAGTCACAGGCAAATTTACGACCTTTCTGGCTTGTGTCTGGGTTGCTCTACGCCTACAACTGGCGTTGGCTCTCTATCATTTAAGATCAGGTCAGAAACCTGGCGCCAATCCAATTTTTTGCCTTTCTGGGGCACCCCCAACCCAATTGATACCATGTAGTAGAGTTTCCCCACGTGTGGCCGACTTAGTGGTGCATGAGATGATTTTAAGTTGGTACCTGAATGAATACTTTCTTTTGAATATTCATCAATCTGATGATGACAGGCAACGCTTGTAATTAGTTTACTCATAAAATATATTTATAAAAGAGTAAAAGTTGGTTTAAAAACGTTAAGTAACTATTGGAGATATGGCAAAAATCATGAATGAGTGAAATTTGGAAAGCACTTCTCTGATCAAGTCACCTGCCTTAAAATTTTTCATCGACCATCCACATTTTTCAGGATTAAGCTCAAATTCATTAACATGGAATACAAAGCATTGTCTCCAGAACTTTTTAATCATTACCCTCGAATAAGTTGCATTACCCTCGAATAAGTTCCATTCATTGGAACTTCATCATCAAACAGTTCAGCGAGGGACACTCAAGTCCCCACGCTTGAATGCACACGGACATAGAAATACACACACACACACACACACACACACGCTGCTTAGAATGTCCCCTTATTCTTAGGTTATAACACCATCCACATGTCAAAACTGACCAAAATATCAGAAAGGGGGAAAAATTGTTCGAAAGGTGGGAGAATTTGAAACACAGTAGTTCATTATACATAAACCATAAAATCCCAAGTTTATCCAGTGTTTTCCAAAATTGCAAAAATTCCTATTAAGCTTTAAACTACAAAGTAGGAGTGCCATCTTGTGGACAGATTGACCATTTTCACATTGCCATTCCATACCCAATTCCATGACTGCTGCTCGTGTGGGGTTTCTGCCACAACTGAAGCATTTTACTGCAGAAGAAAATAAAGTCCTTGAAATCGGTTCCTGCAGAGTACACATTGAAAGCTCTGGGAGAGAAAACAAGCAGACAGGAAGACAGTAGACATGGAAAACCAGATGAGTGCATTGCAGGAAAGCTGTAATCATTAGTTTCATTAATGTGGAGTCCAGTGTGACTCCATGGAGCCCAACTCCCTACCAGGAGCTGGAGTGGGAAAAGGAGGCTACAGTGGGGGCAAAAAAGACCAGAGGAAAGTGTTCTGAGTTTATATTATACTTGGGGACAACATTATCTTGCCATGTTAGGGCCAGAGGCATTAATCATGGATCCCCCTAATCCATAATTTTGATGTTAGCTTTTCCTTCCCCTTTCCTCTCAGAATCCTATGTCAAATATGATCTTTTTTTTTTTTTTTTTTTTTGAGACAGAGTCTCACTGTGTTGCCTGGGCTAGAGTGCTATGGCATCAGCCTAGCTCACAGCAACCTCAAACCCCTGGACTCAAGCAATCCTTCTGCCTCAGCCTCCCCAGTAGCTGGGGAGTGCATACAGATGTGCACTACCATGCCCAGCTAATTTTTTTCTATATATTTTTAGCTGTCTGACTAATTTCTTTCTATTTTTAGTAGAGACAGACTCTTGGTCTTGCTCAGGCTGGTCTCAAACTCCTGACCTCGAGTGATCCTCCCGCCTCGGCCTCCCAGAGTGCTAGGATTACAGGCATAGCCACCATGCCTGGCCGATTTTAAGTTTCTTAATGGAGAGAAGTAATTTATAATGACTTATAAATATGTTTAAGATGGCTTCAATCATAAGTGAAGGTGCATGGTTTTTATTTTTTTATTAATTTTTGAGACAGGATCTGCTCTGCCACCCAGGCTGGAGTGTAGGCATGATCATAGCTCACTGCAGACTCAAACTCCTGGGCCCAAGTGATTCTACTGCCTCAGCCTCCCAAGTAGCTAGGATTATAGGTATGTGCCACCATGCCTGGCTAATTAAAAAAAATTTTTTTTGTAGAGACGGGGTCTCACTATGTTGCCCAGGCTGGTTTTGAATTCCTGGCCTCAAGTGACTCCCCACACCTTAGCCTCCCAATTCCACCTTAGCTGGAATTACAGGCATGAGCCACCATACCTAGTCCATTTGACACCTCATTTAAGTGGTCAAGATCTGAAGTCAAAGCTACTCCAGTTAATGTTTATTCCCCCATTTTCTCTTGGATTGATGCATTTCCTATTAGATTAAAATGAACACATGCTTTTTGTCTTAAAAACTTTAACTTTTCTCTTAGTATGTGGGACACACACACACCCCATTTGAAAAAATGAAGGCTTTATAAATGAGCAAAGAATTGCAGAACAACTATTGATCACATCTCACTTACCAAGAGATGGCAGGGACTTGTAGAAATAGTAGACTTCCCATCATTAAGTGAGGCATACAAAAGGCTTCTGTGTTAACATAATTCAGAAAACCATGGTTCTCTAGTAAGGGCTTCTTTCTGCTTGCATGCTATATTTTTCTTTAAGAGAAGACCCTTCCTTTTGCTTGATGGGAAAAACTTGATAAAACTACCACCATGGATGGTGTGTCCTCCTCCTCATCCTATCTGCTCAGTTCTTTGTAGTCCCTGGGAAGAACACCCAAATCATGCAGTGGAGGGTGTAAACTGGTTGCTTAAATTGCAATTCCCTCTGATAATCCGAGTACTTAGGTAAGTTTGATGTACATTTCATCAGTTGATGTCAGATATGAAGGGGAGAATCCAAGTGACATCATTTGTGTCATGATTGCAAAAATAAGGCCAGGCGTGGTGGCTCACGCCTGTAATCCTAGCACTCTGGGAGGCTGAGTTGGGCGGATTGCTCGAGGTCAGGAGTTAGAAACCAGCCTGAGCGAGACCCTATCTCTACCAAAAATAGAAAGAAATTAATTGACCAACTAAAAATATATATAGAAAAAAAATTAGCCGGGCATGGTGGCGCATGCCTGTAGTCCCAGCTACTCAGGAGTCTGAGGCAGGAGGATCGCTTGAGCCCAGAAGATTGAGGTTGCTGTGAGCTAGGCTGACGCCACAGCACTCACTCTAGCCTGGGCAACAAAGTGAGACTCTGTCTCAAAAATCAATAAACAAACAAACAAACAAATAAGGAAAGGGCTGAGTGCGGTGGCTCATGCCTGTAATCCTAATATTCTGGGAGGCTGAGGCGGGAAGATCACTCGACGTCAGGAGTTTGAGACCAGCCTGAGCAAGGCTGGTCTCTTTCTAAAAATAGAAAGAAATTAGCTGAACAACTAAAAATATATAGAAAAAAGTAGCCAGGCATGGTGGTGCATGCCTATAGTCCCAGCTACTTGGGAGGCTCAGTGCAGGAGGATTGCTTAAGCCCGGGAGTTTCAGGTTGCTGTGAGCTAGGGTGATGCCACGACACTCTAGCCCAAGCAACAGAGCAAGACTCTGTCTCCAAAAAAGAAAAAAAGTAAAAAGGAAGGGTCTTCAGGATTAACACCTTATTCAGAATGAACATTTGGAGCAAGTCTAGAAGATATCCATGCTGTAGTTCTTATGATGTCCAGTTAGGTTTCATGATATCAATAAAATCTAAAATTTTATAAGCAAGTTAGGCTTGTCTTATTTTAAATTATTTTAAGATTCAAGTAGAGACAGCTATTTTGACAAGGAGGTCTCTATACTGGTAAGTTTAGGATATAAAGGAAGAAACTGTCATCTGTTCACTAAGGGTTTAGCTTAAGTCTTGTTTGAATGGCAACATGACTGAAGGTATGCTGTTACCTGGTGGTATTTTGTACTAATGTCAGGAAAAATTCTTTTCTAATACTTTTTAAGTTGCAAACACTAATTTGTAAGAATCTGCTAGAAGGCCTTGCCCGTTTTTCCCCCCTAAAGCCAAACATGATTCACTTGCATCAGAAGTATATGGAGTACTTTGTTAAAATGCAAATTCCTAGGTTACACACCACACTGACTGAAACACAATTTTCAAGGTTTGGAATCTAGGAATCTTCATTTTAAACAAATGCCCCCAAACAAATCACTGTGTGATTCTAGCACACAGTAAAATTTGGGAACAGCTGGCCTAGCCTCTTTCTCTAGTCAGGACATACTAGGAGGATATGTCTTTAAATTCTTGCCTGTTCTCACAGAAAGGAAGTACAGAAACAGGATAGAAAACTTGCAGTAATTTTTAGGTTCAGAACTTTCAACCCTATTACCTACTTTTACTGAATTCATCCTATATTTTGGATCCTGCTTACTTACTTGTACCTATCTACTCTTCACTACCAGTTGCTGCTTTCCTGTCCTTTTTGATGTGGGAATTTCACAGATGTCTGAGCACAGAAATATTCAAGCACCAAAGTTAGACTTCTAGTTGCTTTCCCTTTCTTTTCTTTGACACCCAGTGCAATTCCAGACTTCCCTTCCCTTCCTGCCCTCCATCCTTTAACACTTGGTGGGTTTTTTGTTTTTTTTAATTTTCACTTAGTTTTTAAATATCTCTACATTTGGAAAGCTTCCTGGGCTAAGAACTGGAGTTACTCCTCATGCTTCTAAATCATGTTTATAATTCATATTGCTCATTCTGCCTAGATGAACATTTTGGGGGCAGGAAGTGGGACTACATGGATTGATACACCTTCTGGTCGATAAGCTACTATAACTAGGGCGATGATATAATTTATTATCCCAACTTAGACAATTTTGAGAATAAAGGGGAAAACTATTAGTAATTAACCAGAATAAAATAAGCTGGAACCATATGGCCCAGCAATTCCACCCTTAGATAGAGAAAAGAAAACATATATCCACACAAGGGCTTGCATGTAAATGTTCACAGCAGCATTATTCGTAATAGCCCAAAAGTGCAAACACCACACATATCCATCAACTGGTGAAAAGATAAGCAAAATGTAGTATATCCATACAAATGAATACTATTCAGCAATAAAAAAGAACAAAATCCTTATATATGCTACAGCATGGATAAACCTTGCATAGGCAGAATAAGGGACTCCAAAGATATCCATGTCCTAGTTTCTGGAACCTGGGAATATGTTACATGGTATAATTTGGCAGATTTACTAAAATCATGGAATTGTATACTTAAAACAGATGAATTATGTGATATAAAGATTATACTTCAATAAAGTTGTTAAGCAGTGGGGCAGTCATCCTAACTATAAGACAGTAGTTTATCACTATCTCTCAGAAAGCTTGTTTAAAAAGATGCCTTGGTCCTACTCCTCTACACTGCCTGTGGTCTGGAGCTGCCCAATTCATGAATTGTTGTCTGCTCAAATAAACTCTTTAAGATTTTAATGTGCCTTAGTTTAACACCTGAAAGAAAGACATTCTTATCACCAGAGATGGGGAATCAGGGCTGAGAAAAATCTGTACAAATTTTGTTAAACTAACAGTTTCCTAATCACTTTTCCACAATTAACTGCCATAGCCCAAAAATGCCTTTGTCCTGTCATGTTTTCACAATTTACTACTCTAGCTGGGTGCAGTGGGTCAAGCCTATAGTACCAGCTACTCCAGAAGCTTAGGCGGGAGGATCTCTTAAGCCCAGGAATTTGAGGCTCAGTAAGCTATGATCTCACCATTGCATTCCATCATAGACAACAGAGCAAGACCCTGTCTTTTAAAAAATCAAATTAAAGTCTTCAAAATTTACTACTGTTTGTCCAACCTTATATATATGTTTGGGTCTAACTGCTTTTTGGGTCTTCATTTTGCTTGTGAGGACTCCCATGTGTGTGTAAAAATACTAAATAAATTTTGTATGATTTCCTCTGGTTAATCTATCTGGCTTATGTCAGTTTAAGTCTTTAGGCCAACTGGAAACCATGAGAAGACAGATGAGACATTTACTTCCTCTATAGAACGAAGGTTATATGCTCTCATAAAATAAGTCCGATAATTCTTGCAGTTTTATATTCTCTGGAAGGACTTGTGAAAAATAGAGATTTATTAAAAGTAGTTAAAACTCATGAGGCCCATTTTTAGGGGGTGGAGGTGGGATAAATTTTGGTTAGTATTTCCATTTTTTAAAAAAATAGTTATTAAACAGTTCAAACTTTATATTTTTTCTTGAGCCCATTTACCTATAGTTTCTAAACATTATCGATTTTTGAGGATTTTAAAAAAAGAAAGAAATATGCCTCTATGTATCCACTTGTAGGGAGTAGTCTAAGAATAAGACAGGAGGGTTGCTGGTTGGAACTGAATCTCAAAGCAGCTTTATTAATAAATCACTTTCCATTTTATCAGTATTAGCAACAGTCAGGAAGATTTGTTCCAATGTTATCTGACGGACAGAATAGTCTTTTACATGAAATAGAATTTTAGCTTCCTCCAAAACACGAAACACCTTTGACAGGAAAAAAAAATGGTGAAGTTACCATTACAATATGCCTAGGTAAACCTTTTCCTCACTCTACCATCCCCCAACTCCTGCCAGGTTTATGCTTAGGGACAAAAAGATACAGAAGGGAGAAAGAAGTTGGAAAATAAAAGGAAAAGATAATTGAAAAACAGAGAAGAGGCAGTTCTCCATCCCCATTCTCTTGATGGGCATGGGATAATAATAGAATTTAGGGTTAGAAATCCCAATCAATTAAAGTATTATACAAAGGCCTTTGGAAAGTAACTTAAAGTTTCTGCTCCTCTGACAATGCCAGGTTCCCATTCCACATGCTTTAATCCCAAAGCTTCCTAGGAGTTCTCTATTAATACACAATGTTAGAAGGGTATGATTTCTACAATCACCTTTCCCCAGTGAATTTCCTGGCTGGGAATGTAGTAGCCAATAATCCCTTGACAGTCCTGGTTTATCATGCTACCTAAGAAAGGAAAGATTTTGACTGGTGAGTAACAGAGAGGGACCCAGTATTTGATAGAGTTTTAAAATATTACCAAGTAATCCCCATTCCAATAATCCACACCAATGGAAGAGAAAATATATGCACTTAATACAAAGGATGACACAATCCCAAAGGCTGTGATCTTTAGTATACATGACCTTAAATATTAATATTTCAATAGATTTACTTCCTTGTGAAATGTGGTCTTATTGCTTGTAGTTTGTAAAAATTGCAGAAGGTAGACTAATCACTTTCAGGCATGGAGAACTTGGTATCTCACACAGTCATCTGCAAAACCTGAGACTTATATGAACCCTAATGATCTATAAGACTCTGTTCTTAAACATAGTCCTGAAACTAAACTATGCTCATAAAATTTGGGCGTGGTTTCTTCTTGCAGTTGTGTGTGTGTATGTCTATTGGTCTCATCAGTAGACACATCTCATCCTAAAGGAAAGAGAAAATTTATGTATATGAAACACAAATATAAAAGCACTTAATGTAGAAGTTATATATCACAGCTTTTGAAATTATGGTAGTAATATTGTAGCCATCCCTAATTAATAGAATGCATTCACATTTATTATCACACACTTCGAGATTACTTCAAATGGAATATAACTGGGATTAAAATATTTTAAAGAAATAAACTATATGTCTATAATAGTGATTCTTTTGTAATGAATTCATATATAGCCTCCATATAGATATATATATAATATATATATATATTATATTATTTTTTTTTTTTTTTTGAGACAGAGTCTCGCTTTGTTGCCCAGGTTAGAGTGAGTGCCATGGCGTCAGCCTAGTTCACAGCAACCTCAAACTCCTGGGCTCAAGCAATCCTCTTGCCTCAGCCTCCCAAGTAGCTGAGACTACAGGCATGCGCCACCATGCCCGGCTAAGTTTTTTTTTTTTTCTATATATGTTAGTTGGCCAATTAATTTCTTTCTATTTATAGTAGAGACGGGGTCTCACTCTTGCTCAGGCTGGTTTCGAACTCCTGACCTCGAGCAATCTGCCCACCTCGGCCTCCAAGAGTGCTAGGATTACAGGCATGAGCCACTGTGTGCAGCCTCTAATAGTTTTCTTGGGGATTATTTGGGATTTTCTATGTATAGGACCATGCCATATGTGACTAGATAGTTTTACCTTTTCCTTTCTAACTTGGATGGCTTTTATTTCTTTTTCTTGTTTAACTCTCTGGGTAGAACTTCCAGTGCAATGTTGAATAGCATCTGTGAAAGCAGGGGTCCTTGTCTTGTTCCTGATCTTAAGGGGGGAAGCTTTCAGACAGACTTTCTCCACTGTGAATGATTTTAGATATGTGTTTGCATAAATGCCATTTATTATATTGAGTAATTTCCCTCTATTCCTAGTTTCTGAGAGGTTTTTTTTTTTTTTTATCATGAAATGCTGTGGGATTTGTAAAATGGCTTTTCAATATCAAGATGATCATGTGGGTTTCCCTCCTTCATTCTGGTAATTTATTACACTGATTCTTTGCCATTAGGGAAAAGAATTTACTTGAAATTTTCTTCCAATTCCTAATCTTAGACTGAAGTCACCTTTCATGTATTATGTTTTTTTCTTTTCTTCTTTTCTGGGTAATCTTTATATGTAGGTCACATGCTGGTTCCTTTCCTTTCTGCTACTTTAAATGGGGAAAGCTGTATTTGAAACAGCTACTTTGCTCAGAGAGAAGGTTGGCAAATTGGCAACCTTACATTTAGACATATTGTATGAGACAATACTTTCACAACCAAACTATTATGTCACCTCCTTCAGGACAAGGCTGTTCTCAGTTTTTTTGTGTCTTCTCTCCCCTTCAGGTTGAGTAGGATGTTAGACCAGCTCGCAGCATATATGATTCTTTGCATGGTTAACTCAGCATCTTCAATGCTGCATACAGTAAGTACTCCATAAATATCATAAATATTATTAAATGAATATCCAACTGTCTAATGGATATATTAATCTGAGTATCTCATAGGTGCCTTATAATTATAACAATTAATACTGAATTAATTATCTTTCCCACACAGTAGTTTCTCCTCTTGAATTGCCCATTTTGATCTATCGATCTATCTGTATCTATATGTATCTCCATTTTCTCCTTTCCTTTCTTGCTGTCACTTCTTTAGTACAGGCCAATACCATTTTTGTTTCACCACAGGTATAGACTCCATGGTTTTCATCTTGAGACTTGACAATATGGCCACCACACTATTGACAGAGTGATCATTTAAGGTGGATTATTAGAAGTTTTACATATCTTTGTTTAATGATTAGAATAAAGTAGAGGGAAGAGAAAGAAAAAATTGCTTGCTATAAATGACTGTGCTATTATACCTTGTGCACAAAGGGGCATTTACTGAAATTAGCACACAAAAGCAGAATGATTGATTTTTATGTCACACATCCAGATTATTTCCTTGAAAGGAGACAAGGTAGTGTATTTTTTTGTATGTATTTCATAAACATTGTCTGATTCAGGGATCAGGAAAAGGCAGAGGATATACTCAAAAAGAAGGAAACCTGAATGAAGGATCAATAATAAATAATATTTACCCTCAATAATTTATCTCCAGATGAAAACATATAAACAGTTTTATCTTGCTAGTTGATTTCTATAAGAGATTGGTGAGAGCCAGTGCTATTTTGCGAAAGCTTCTTTGCATAATCAGGGATAAGCTCATAGAGAAATTATTCAATTATTCAAAAGGAATTTAATATAAATGGTCAATAAACATCAGTAACTCTCTGAAAAAAATTGAGGACATGCAGCAGAACAACAAATGTGACTTAACACAATTATCACAAATAAGGCCAATGTATGTTACCTGGGAAAGTTGTTTTGATGAATTCTTTAAACTCCTCCTCTACTTTATCTTCATCTGTATTAGTCTTAATCTTTGCTGTCAGAGTATATATATTACCAAACTTGTTCTTGAGGTGCTGAGGGCTGCCTAGGCATGTGAACCTCCCCTTTACCATGATGGCCAGCCTAGTACACAAGGTCTCACATTCTCGCATGCTAGGGGGGACAAAGGAGATACAGCTGAAGAGACTCCCTTTCAGAGGACAAATTTTGTATTTCCAACACAGCCAAGATTATAAGGCTTGGAACTGGAAGCCTTGGTATTGCAGAAGATCACCACTAAGATCATATCTGAGAAAAGGATATTTAAAAATTCAAAGTAGGTGATACCTGAATCCACAATAGGAACAGCTCCCTAATTTCCTATCTTCTATCAATTCTTGATTGCAGAACTTGACTGAGGATTCTTGGCTGATTCCTTTAGCAGGTTCAGCCTCTACCCACAGTCTCTCTTCTGTAGCCCATATAGTTAGATAAATTCACTGACTCATATTCCTGGCTTTAATTTCATCCTATACCCATTTCAATCCCTTATAACTTCCAACCAAGCCTCTCAATGGGTCATACCTGTGGGAAGCTATGATGATAGTTTTACCAGTTTTACACATCCATGTAATTGTGTCCCAGAGTAGGCGCCGGGCTATTGGGTCCATGCCAGCTAATGGCTCATCCAAGAAGATAATTGAAGGCTTTCCCATTAGGGCAATAGCAGTACACAGCCTACGCTTGCTTTTTCCACTTTATGGTAAAAAAGGAGACAGAAAGTAGAGGAGAAAGAAAAAGATAAAGAGTATACATTAATTAATTCATAGGACGGGCCGGGGGCGGTGGCTCACGCCTGTAATCCCAGCACTCTGGGAGGTTGAGGTGGGAGAATAGTTTGAGCTCAGGAGTTCAAGACCAACCTGAATGAGACCACATCTCTACTAAAAATAGAAAGAAATTAGCTGGACAACTAAAAATATATACAAAAAATTAGCTGGGCATGGTGGTGCATGCCTGTAGTTCCAGCTACTAGGGAGGTTGAGGCAGTAGGATTGCTTTAGCCCAGGAGTTTGAGGTTGCTGTGAGCTAGGCTGATGCCATGGCACTCTAGCCTGGACAACAGAGTGAGACTGTCTCAAAAAAAAAAAATCATAGGATGGAACTAGCTCATCCATCCAGAATGCTGATTTGATATGACTAACAAAGTAGCAGGCTTAAGTCCAAGTATACATATCAACTCATTTTCAGTGAAATTACATTTTTTTGTAATTTGTTTCAGCATCATTACTCAAGAAATATTTTTGTTTTGGGGAGACAAAAGCCATAGGGAGATAGGGCTGAAGGTACTTTTTTTTTGAAATGCAAAAGCCACACACAGCTCATTTCTGCAAGAGGTTAACCCCACACAAGTGGGATCTGCCTTATTTCTAATATCTGAACCCTGACAAGACATTAGGTTATTGCCTCTATGTGAAAGGGTGGCTTAGACAGAGTTTGCAGGCATTCATTTTAAACAGTAGAAGAAATACAGGTAGGTAGCTTAATAATTGCAGCAGCATAATGTTTTACCTGTATGTGTAGACAAACTCATCAGCATGGGTTTTCAGGCACATTGAACACAAAAAGGCTTCCACATATTTGTAAATGCTAGGCTCAGGGACCCCCCATAACCTAGCATACATGATCAGCAATTCCCGACCTGTCATGTGGCTCAGCACACAGTCAGATTGAGGACAATGGCCAATTCTTGACCTAACCTGAATCAAGAGGGTGATCATAAGCATTAGACCCATGTCAACTATTCCACTGAACATATATATCACATGGAAAAAATAGAAAACTTTGATCCCCACAAAACTCCCACTAAGAATTACATTTTTCTAGTCTATAGAATCTTTACAGTTGGAACTCCTGAAGTAAAATTAAACACTAATGTCCCTAACTGAAATTTTCAACATATATCTGTTGTATACTACTATGTGACCAGTACAGTTTTTGTTGTTGTTGTTGGATAAAGTTACCTATTCATATATTATTAGAAAAGAGCCATTCTTATACATTAAAATAACATATAGGATTCCATTGCCAGTAATGGCCAAGTAACTTCTACCAGACCAACCCTCCCACAGATGAGCCATATATATATATGTAATATGCACACAATATGTAAATATTATATGCAAACACATAACTTAGCCAAGTTACAAAGTGGTAACATATGAATAAATGTCAATGTACACTGACTCTATAAAGTAACATTAGTGAGAATTATAAAATAGAATTAAAATACATGACAATGACTACATAAGTTCCAAAAATAGTAAATAAATTTAAAGTGTTATAATTCGTGTAGTTTAGGAATAAAATGTAGTGATTCATTTTTTATTTTGATATGTAAGACTATTTCATGTTCTAGGGTAACAATTAGCTACACATATGAGATAAAATAGACTTGGTTAAAATGGTTCAAGATGGCTAACTAGAAACATTGTACACCCACCCTCTCCATAAAGAAGAACCAAAATTATGAATAGATAATCACTATTTCTAGTTTGACTCATTTATAGATACTCATACTTGGCTTCTTCCAGAAAGAATACTTGCCTTTTCCCACCTGCAATATGTCACTATGCATACCACTGTCCCTGAAGTCTGTTATTTTAGAGAAAAGAATATTTATACATCAATGCCCTTAGCTTCCTTTCCATGTCTCCCACCTACTTGCCTGGTTAACTCCTCCCTCAAGGCACCAAGCCAGTGACTAGGATGAAAAATACCTTTCTGATATTTTCAGTGATGCTAATGCCATTAATTAACACAGTTCCAGACGTGGTGGTCTCCTCTCCAGTCAACATTTTGAATACAGTGGTTTTTCCAGCTCCATTTAATCCAAGTAACCCAAAGCACTCTGACTTATTGACTACAAGGGAGATGTTTCTTACAGCTTTTACTACAGGACACTTAAAATAGATCTGAGAAAAAAAAAAACACCACAATGTATTGAAGCACTGATTACAGATCAACCACAACCATATCCTCAAGCCCCTGTGGACTGCTATGTCTCGACAGTTCGACCAATCTCTTCTTCTTTTAGCCCTCCTTTTTTTGATTAAACCAGAATATAGATAAAGCCCGTACAACACCATTGCGTTAGTAGTATCACCAATAAAATCTTGGCAGGAAAGGTGAATAAAGCTCAGGGCAATATTTACCTTTGTAAGTTCTTTAAGAAGCACTGGGTTTTCCTGTAATGTTTGAAGCAGTTCCAGGACCTTCTTCCTTTCATTTTCTGTATCTTCATCCCCATATTTCTTGATTACTTTGTTGGACACTACAGCCTATATTTTCAAGACAAGGATCACAGATGTGGATACTCTTTAGATATCTGGTTTAAACTTAGTACCTTTAGAAAATCTGACCTGAAGGTGTAACCTCAAAGAGATCAGTAATTTCTAAGAGCCCTCCTATCACCTTCCTGTACTCATGTGCAAGTCTATTATTCATTTGCTTAGTTTGGGAAACTATCACCATGAACAAGTTCCTACAGCTATGAGTAAGCAGTGTGTTCTAGCCAAAAATATGGACACTTCATGGAAAATGGAAGCATTGATACTAATAATTATTGTGTGGTGTGATCTGTTACTATGAAAACGTGCTCAAGAGAGCATAAGATCCAAGAAAGAAGAGCAAACAGCTTTTCTTTTTTGAGAGAAGGCCTCTCTAAAGGTGAAGTCTGAGCTGAGTTTGAAGAATAAGCGAGGATTTACTAACAGAATGAAGGTAGGGTAGAATTGCAAGAAAAGCTGCATGTAAAATGCATACAAAAAGAAAAGTTAGCAGTGAGAGCTTAGTGAAAGATATGTAGGAATAAAACAACATGGCATGTTTTTATGAATGGTAATTTGTACTGCTTGAGCAAAATTTTGTTCATTGGAATTGCCAATTTTTGCATTAAGTATTCATTTAACAGTATTGGTTAAGGAGGAACGGAGCAGGAGAATATATTCAGCTCAGTAAACATGCCAATCAAAGTTGTGAGAAGAGAGCCACCTTATGAATTTCTCCCTCTCAAATCTCAAAATCAGTTGTATAGGAGTGGTAAGAGTGGGGCATCCTTGCCCTGTTTTCAATCTTTGGAGAAAACACTCAGTCTTTCACCCTTATATTTCCTATAGGCATTGTGTATATGTTATTTATCAGATTGAGACAGTTGCTTTCTTTTCCTAGTGTGTTGAGAGTTTCTATGGTAAATAAATGTTGAATGTGGTCAAGTACTTTTTTTGTAATAATTGGTATGAGCATATGATTTTTCTTCTTGAGATTGTTAATACTGTGGATTACATTGATTTATTTTCAAAGATTAAACCAATCTGACATTTGTGGAATAAACTTCACTTGCTCATGGTATATTATTCCTTTTGTATATTCCTAGATACTATTTTTGGAAATTTTGTTAAGGATTTTTATATCTGTTTCCATGAGAGATATTAATTTCTTATACTTTTTTCCCCTCTAGTTTTTTTTTTTTTTTTTTTTGAGACAGAGTCTCACTCTGTTGCCTGAGCTAGAGTGCCGTGGCATCGGCCTAGCTCACAGCAACCTCAAATTCCTGGGCTCAAGAGATCCTCCTGCCTCAGCCTCCCAAGTAGCTGGGACTACAGGCATGCATCACCATTCCCGGCTAATTTTTTCTATATAGTTTTAGTTGGCCAATTAATTTTTTAGTAGAGACGGGTTCGGGCTCTTGCTCAGGCTGGTTTTGAACTCCTGACCTTGAGCAATCTGCCCGCCTTGGCCTCCCAGAGTATTAGGATTACAGGCATGAGCCACCTCGCCCAACCCCCTCTAGTTTTGGTATCAGGATAATTATGGCCTCATAAGTCGGGAAATTCTCCCTCCTCTTCTATTTATAAAAGAGATTGCATAATCCTGATGCAATTTCTTCTTTAAATGTTTGGTAGAATTCACCAGTGAAATTATACAGGCTTAGAGTTTTCTGTTTTGAAAGGTTTTAAACTATGCATTACATTTCTTTAATTTAAAATAGGTCTATTCAGTTCTTCATTTCTACTTCAGTGAGTTTTAGTAGTTTTGTCTTTCTAGGAATTGTTCTATTTTGTCTAAAGTGTCAAATTACAATAATGGCTTTTAATATCTGTGAGATCTGTAGTAGTATCTCATTGTCTTAATGTTGGGTATTAATGTAACTTCTGTCTTTATTTCATGTTTACTCTAGTTAGAGGTTTATCAGTTCTAATCATCTTTCAAAGAATTAGTTTTTGGTTGCATTCATTGATTTTTCTCTATTGATTTTCTGTTTAAATTTATGATTATTTCTTCTCTCATTTTTTATTTATTTATGTTTGCTCTGAATGTATTTTGCTCTTCTTTTCCTAACTTACTGGGGTAGAAGCTTTAATTATTGACTTGAGACCTTTTTTAATTTTTTTCTTTTCTAAAGTGCAAAATATTAAGAGGGTACAAATGTCTTTGTTACAAACCTTGAGTCAGGGCTCTAAATGTGTCCATCACCTGAATAGTGTTCATTGTACCTGTTAGGTGGGTTTTTGCCCCTCTCCTCTTGTCCCTCCATCTTAATTTCTAATATAAACATTTAAGACATGCTTGAAGCTCTTACTCGAGGGGGCATGGGCAATATAAGTAACCTTAACACTTGTACCCCCATAATACACTAAAATAAAAAAAAATAAATTTAAGAGCCCATTGGAAAAAAAAAACATTTAAGGCTGTAATTTTCCATTAAAACACTGTTTTAGATACATCCACAAAGGCCGATACATTGTGTTTTCATTTTCATTCCAATTCAAAATATTTCTAGTTTCCTATGCAACCTCCTCTTGACAAAATGGTTATAGAAAAGTGTGTTAATTTCCCAGTGTCTGGAGAGTAACCTGTTATGTTTCTGTTACTGATTTTTACTTTAATTTCATGATGACCAGAAAACATACTGTATATTATCAGTAGTTCAATTATCTTAAAATTGTGAATGGTCTCACTTGGTGAATGTTTCATGTGCATTGTTATTTTTGGGTTGTGTGTTCTATAAATGTCAATTAGCTCTAGCTGGCAGATGGTGTTTTACAGTTCTGTATATCCTTACTTATAGCACCCTTATTGTATCTATTAATTACTGAGAGAGTAATCAACAACAACTGTGAATGGGCACATGCTGTTTCTCAGGGGAGGCCTTTACAGCTTCTTCATCTCTTTTTTTAAATTTCAGAATATTACATTGTTGGTGGGACTGCAAACTACTACAACCTCTATGGAAAATCATATAGAGATTTCTCAAAGAATTAAAAGTAGACCTACCAATTGATCCAGCAATCCCACTCCTGGGGGGAAAAGGGAAAAAAGGCATTTTATCAAAAAGACACTTGCACTTGAATGTTTATTGCAGCTCAATTCACAATCAAAAAGATGTGGAATCAACCCAAGTGCTCATCAATTCATGAGTAGATTAATAAAATAGGGGTATATGTATATTATGGAGTGCTACTCAGCCCTAAAAAAAAAAGAATGAATTCACTTTGTAACAATCTGGATAGAACTAGAGACCATTCTCCTTACTGAAGTATCACAAGAATGGAAAAACAAACACCACATGTACTCACTATAAAGTTGCAACTAACCTAAGAGCACTCATGTGCACAGATGGAAGTAAAACTGAATGGAAATCAAGCAAGTGGGAGTGAGGCAGAGGGGATGTGTGAAATCATACCTGATGGGTACAGTGTACATTATCTGGGTGATGGGCATACTTATAACTTTGTCTCAAGCAGTACAAAGGCAATCCATGTAACCAAAACATTTGTACTCTTGTAATATTTCTTGGGGGAAGAAGTGTGGGCTCTTCTATCTGTGGGAATCTCTGCCTGTAGCACATGTCTGCCAGAGAGAAACAGCTGCTCTCGAATTTCTTGGCACAAACTGTTCTCCTTGTAATGAGTGGGGAGAGGGGCTGCAGCACCCAACTGGCCAGTGCATCTGAGAGTGAGGGGTTCAGTTGCCATGGAACTGGGGACCATGCTAGTCCTCTATCAATGCCACAGCCTTATCCAACATGGTGGTTCTCCAATGGGGAAAATGGGCGCACTCCTAGTACTCCACTACACCATCCCATTAGATATGTCCACGAGGATTTCCTTGCTACCCAAGTCCAGCTCCCAGACTTCTCCCCTGCATCGTCCTGTACCCTTCTCTATGTCCAGGGTGCACCAAGGCTGTCTTGCTTCTTTGAGTCATCAGTGTACGACACCATGAAACACTGGCAGGAAGTTCCAAAGTTTTCACCCTGTTCCACCAAAAGACCTCAACGGGAAGAGATGTGGGTCCCACGTTCTGAGTAGACCTCAGCCTGGGATGCATGCCCACTGGAAAGAAGCGGACATTTGTGAACTTCATGGCTCAAACCATGCTCATAGTTGTACTAGGCGGAGGAGGGATTGCAGCTCCGGGACAGCCCGAACTCACACTACTTTCTTGGTTGCAGTGGACTGGGAAGGTGCTGGGGGAGGGGGTGGAGTGTCAGGCTGGGAGAAAGCTGGCACTCTGGCCTTTCGTGGCACTCTCCCAAGGGTGCCCCACTTGGGCTGCCCGAACTCCTGGGACTTGCTAGTTCACCCCACTATTCCATATTTGCTGTTGTGCCTGGGCTCATGGAGGGTGAAAAAGCCTTTAGTATATATACTTAGTGTCCCGCTCTTCAGTGAAGTCACTTATAGGGGTAGGGGAATTACCCCTTAACACTGTTCACTGGGCACTGGGCTCTGAGCCTCTCTGGGTTTGATCCTCACTGATATCTTCTCCTCTTTATCATCTTACTTCTCAGCTTCACAATTGTCTCCATAGGGTTCCCAGCCATCTCTGATTTCTCTCTCTATGGTCCACACCTGAGCTGTGACTCTCCCCCACCTCTCCTCTGTCAAATATCCTACCTTCTGCCAGGATGGTCTGACAAGCGAAGTCTCTAGTCAGCCATCTTGCTCAATTTTTCAGAAGTGCTAATTCTTAAGAGAGAGAAGTAGGGCACTTTTATAGATTCAGAGAGTTCAGGAGAAACTGGGAATTTTAGATTTCTGGGTCAACTTGGATGTCCCCACCTCATCTTTCAGGATTCCATTCTTTTCCAACAAGAGCTGTGATCTTGACATAGCAGACCTGCCTTGGTTGAGAGTTGGACTTTTTGGAGCTTATCTAATCTGAAAATGAGGCCCTCATCCTAGTATTCAGTTTTCTTTGCCCTCCCACTGCAGGAAATGAGAGGCTATGAAGGCCAATAATCCTAGTTTTAAAGAAATCAGTTCTATAATTATACCCAAATATATATCAAAGACAGCTTTCTATCATAGTTAATCCATCGTAAATGGATTATTTACAACCTCAAAATTCAAACTAAAATAAGAGACTTGTGATTCAGATGAGTCCCAGTTGGGTCTAGGTATAACTGAATGATATTCTCTTTCTTAAGTAATAGAAATAGCTGTGTGTAAATTTATACATTCTGGTCTAATATTGAGCTTTGAGTTTTTTTTTTTTTTTTTTTTACAAATCCACTTTTATTTATTTACTTTTCATCAGTTTAAATTCTTGAGGGATACAGCATCACACGGATTCTGTGTCCAATGGCCTTAGCAGGAAGGTTGCTTCGGAATTTGGCACGAACCATGCCACTGTGTCCGTAGGCCCGAGTTACTTTTCCCCAGATTACTCTGGTTTTGTTTGGTTTGCCACCAGGAGTCACTGTGTTGTTCTTTGCTTTGTATACATAAGCACATCTCTTGCCCAAATAGAATTCAGTTTCATCTCGGGCATAAACACCTTCAATTTTAAGAAGAGCTGTGTGCTCTCTTTGGTTCCGGAGACCGCGCTTATAGCCAGCAAAAATGGCCTTCGACCACAGCCTTCCAGACATATTTGCCTTCTAGAAGTCTTGTTCCCAGGAGACCTCCACAGGCTCCAAGATGGCGGAAAGAGCGAGCTTTGAGTTTTTATCTAAAGTCCATGTTAGTTACTCACCTGGAACTTTATGAATTTCTTGTAGGCATTATAAACAATGTTATGAAGGACAAAGTTTTTCAGGTTCCAGAATGTAATCTCCAGAGACAAAAGTAAGAGGAGATAAAATAAACCCATGGCAGCAAATGCAATCAAAAACTTTGCAATCCCATGTTCTCCAAAACTATATATGTTGTTCTGGGTAACTGAAAATGATAAAAGAGATAGCCTTACTTTAAGACCCAATAAGGAATATAAGATGACACAAAGTATTAATATGACTGAAATGAATTTTAAATTAGATTTAGAGAAGTACAGAATATAGAAAATAATTGCCCTGATATCTTATTTTTCTCTGACATTTATGGTTATTTATGGTTATCATAAAAAATTGTTCTGTTACTGATTTTCCCTCTAGTTTATACTAGTTTTTGGTAGGAGATAATCTTACCATATATTCAAGGAATTTCAAAAGGCTGAGCCTTTGTGAGCAAAATACTTAGTAATTAAATAAAGCATACAAAACACAGGTATTTATGATATCTAACTATTATTGTAGATCATGGAGAGTATTCTTAAGGACTTTTAAAGAGAAAATGTTTTTTACTCTACAAATAGAAGTGTTAATATGGCAATACTCATAAGGAAGAAAATAACAAATAGTCTAAAATGTAAGTGGGCTGATAATTTTTTACCTTACCACAGAGAAAATTAGCTCATGCAAACAGTTGAATTCTGGATATGAGAACAGGAAGCATTTCTAAGATGCGAAATTAATAAAATCATTATTTCCATAAGAGCTGAATTTTTTGACTTATTTATGCCAGTATACAGAAATGCAATTTATATATTTTATTGTAATGTATAAAATGCATAACTCGCCTTTTTAAAGTGTATAGTTCAGTGACATTCACAATGTTATGCAACCATCTCCACTATCTAGATCTAGAATATTGTCACCGTTTCAAAAGAAAACCCAATACCCATTAAGCAGTCACCACTGCCTCTTTCCCCTGACAAGTGGGAACTAGTAATCTACTTTCTGTCTCTATGGATTTGCCTGTTTGGAACATTTTATACAAATAGAATTATACAATATGTGGTCTTTGGTGTCTGGCATGATACTTTCAAAACTTATCCATGTTGGGCCATGTATCATTAATTGATTTATTTTTATTGTTTAATAATATTCTACTTCATTAATAGACTACATTTTATATATCCATTTATCAAGGGACAGACACTAAGATTGCTTCCACTTTTTGGCCATTATGAAAAAGGCTGCTATAAACAGTTGTGTACAAGTTTCTGTTTGAATACTTCTTTTCAATTCTTTTGAGTATATCCTCAGGAGTGGAAATGTTGAGTGATATTGCAATTCTACATTTAACTTTTTGAAGGACCACCAAATTGTTTCCCACAGCATTGGCAACATTTTTCATTCCCACCAGAAATGCATCAGGGTACCAATTTCTTCATGTTCTCACCAACCATTGATACTTACATTTTTGATTATAGCTATCCATGTGAATGTTAAGTGATAACTCATTGTGATTGTGATTTGCATTTCACTAATGACTAATCATTTCAAGCATCTTTTCATGTGCTTGTAGATCATTTGTATATCTTCTTTGGAGACAAGTTTACTGAAATTCTTTGCCCATTTTATAATTGGGTTGTCTTTTTGTTGTTGAGTTATAAATGTCCTTCATACATTCTGGATGCTAGACTTTCCTCAGAGATATGGTTTGCAAATATTTTCTCTTATCTGTGGGTCATTCTTTCACTTTTTTTTTCTTTTTTAGAGTTAGGGTCTTGCTCTACTGCCTGAGCAGGGGAGTGCAGTGGCACAATCAAGCCCACTGTAGCCTCAAACTCCTGAGCTCAAGCAATCCTCCTGCCTCGGCCTCCCAGAATGCTAGGATTACAGGTGTGAGCCACTGCACCTGGCCATTAGAGCTGTTTTTAAAAATCATACACAGAGAGAGAAATTTATGATCAAATATGCAAACTAAAATGTGATTTATTTTTGTTATTCAGGGATTGTATGAAAATATAATCCATTTGATGCTAATAATTATATTTCAACCATATTTAGTGAAATATAATTACATTTTGCTCTGTGTGGGTCCACATAAATAATGTGGTTCCAGAAAGAATCAGAATTAGACATACACATATATAGTCAATATGCTTATTTCTCAATTTTTAGAATCAACCTAAAATATAAAACCAGCCTGAAGCATGAAAAACGTAATAGAATGCCTTTATTTTCCCTGATTTTGATCTGGTTGTGATTTTATCTTTATTTGTGACATACTTAGCATCCCAGGGAATGAACTTAATCTTTCATTTAAGCTAGGAGTTCAGTTTCCTTATTTATAAAATAATGATAGTAATAGCCAATTTATAGAGGTATTTATAAAATAAGGATAGTAATAGCTAATTTATAGAGGAGCTGTGAGGATTAAACATAATGTATATAAAGCTAATTGAACATAACAGGTGACTAATAGTAACTCATTCTAAATTTGGTAGTGACTTCATTAAATTTATCTTGGATTTTATTTTGAGGCTTCATTTTTTCACCCAGTCTGTGAATATAACTATGGTAAAGAAATACACACAAAATAGCAAGCCTGACTGTCTCAGTTGGAAGGAGGACAGGTTTCATTCACCTCCCAAAATCTGAGCTTAAGTGTGTAAGGCTGGAAAGGAACAGGTTGTTTTTAGGGAGCTGGGGAGCCTCAGATACTCACATGGCTTACTGCAGTTCAGGTAGGCGCTTCGAAAGTGTTTGGCACACAGTCTTTTCACCTCAAAGTCATCAAATAACATGCTGAGACTGATTGCAAAGTTGTAATTAGGAATTATCATGAATATATTTCTTATCAAGTTCTTGGTGAAATTAGAAAACACCTTGTCTGTGATTAAAAAGATGATCAGCTTCAATTATAAGAAAGTAATAAATCTCCCCAGAACAAATTTCCCCCAAATGATTAAACCAATCTCAGACAATTACCAATCTCTGATATGAGTTTTGAGAAAACATTCATTATTAGTTGCTAAATTTATTCACTTTGATAGCTTGTAGCATTTATTTGTCAATTACAGAGTCCAAGAGAAGACCTTTGGTAACAGTATTTCTCTAGGATCTGTCTTCCTCTATGTGTGGATCTGCTTCTGTTTCTTCCTCCCTTTCTCTTCCCATTTTCCTCTCTCCTTCCACCTCTACCTCTCACATATCCACTCAGTGAATATTTGCTGATTTCAAAAAGCATAGGTTTTCAGAGTCTTAGACATTAAGTCCCTAGCAATTAATATTTTTATTCTCATGCCCTTTCATCCTCATTTACTTAATGTATTTCCTGGGGAAAGGGAAAATCGTGTATGGTCCTTACCATTGTGTTTTATTAACTTGTGAACAACAAGACTGAAAACGGTTGAAAAGTAGTTAAAGAGCGTGAGCTTGATGTAGGCAGCAGTACTACTAGAAAACAGGAAGCTTCCAAGATACATGAGAGGAATAGCGCACCATCCGTACAGCATAAAGATCAACATCACATCCAGAAAGTGGTATTCCACAACAAAGGCATCCATTCTACAACATATGAATACTCCCTGGGGCACAGGGTGTAGAGGTAAAAACAGGGTAAAGGACATTGTGCAATAAGAGGTCAAGCCAGAACACTTAGAAAACAGCAAGCACTGCATTAATTATAGCATAGGACTATTTGTAACTTAAATTATTATACCCATAAAAAAAAAAAAAAGCCTTAGCTTATGAACCTGAAGTGAACTACTTCTGCCTCAACAGAGGACATTTGTGAGCAAAATGACTATACTTTGTTTTTGTATTTTTTTCTCTTTGGAACAGTTTTAATTTTTTATTTTTCTCCCATGATTGAAGTCAAAGTAATTTTGTCTGTATTAAGCCCAACTGAATTCTCTAGGGAAAAAAAAGTAACCTACGAAGTAGACTATTTCTTCAAAGATTTTCCTTATGGCTGGTGCATCACTCCCCACATTTAGACTGGCTCCTGGCTCTCCTTTGAGCTTATGTTATCTCAGCAACACGGAGCCTTCCGTCTTCAATTATTCTTTATTTCATTTGAGAATCAGATCAGGAAGCACAAAGTTAGAGTGGGACAGACTAGTAAGAAGGGAACCTCTAGAGTGATTAAAGAATTTCCCAGAAATCTACGTGATACTTGTTGGTAATTACAGTTTCTCCAAAGATAACGTTATCCTTTTTGAGCAAAGACATAATTATTCAGCAGGATGATCAATAAATGAAAAGAAGTGTTAAACTAAGAATAGTCCCTACTAGAATCCTATGAGGTTATTGGAAATAGATTACATTCCAGTAATAGTATTTAAAGCAAGTATATGAAAAGAATCAGTAGTCATAGGTAAAAGAACCTAACAGTTGTAACTATAGTTGGTTCTCCTCACTCCAACTAAGACGACTGAAATTAAAAGAATAAATGCAGTCAGAAAGAAATTGTGGGTAGAAGCACCTTTGTTGCAAGACTTATATTTTGGAATGTCTCAAAACCAATTTCAAAGAAAATTTAAATCTGTACTTGGATATGCAAAATGACATACCCTCTTGTTAGAAAGGGCATATGACTCAACATGGTAAAAATGTAAATTTTCCCAAATTAATTTAAATAAAAGTAGTAACAGAATTTTTTTGAAATTAGATAGGCTGATTCTAAAGTTTACATGTAAACAAACAAAACATCAAGATAAACAGGACATTCTGCAGAAAATTAATGAGGAAGTTAAGAAATGTCAACCCATAAAAATAATTAAATGTATTATAAAACTACCATATTAAGTGGTGCATTATAGATACACCAATGTAACAGAATAAACAATATAAAATATGCTAAATGGATATAGCTAGTTGATATACAACAAAAGCAGCACTTCACATCAGTGGGAAAAGTCTGGCTATTAACAAAAGGTGTTAGAACAATGGGTTAGCTATTTAGGAAAAAAACCCAAATTCTTACTTGGCTCCTTCCCTAAAAATAAGTTCACAAATGAAGTGGAAATAGTGAAAGATGAAACTGGTAAAGCAAGCAGTGTCTGATGCATTATGGCTTGAAGAGGGAAAGCTAGCTCCCTCAAGACTTTCTAGATGATGAGAATAGCACATTTCAAAGTATCTCTGAAGCAATACTGACTTAACTGTCCAACCTCATGATGAAGCCAGTAATTTAAACATTCACTAGAATTTAAGCTCATCAAGAGACAAGCCCTTGTCTATCCTCCCCATGTCATACCCATAATGCTGAAAACACAGACTAGCTAGCAGGAGCTCAACCTTTGTTGAATATATAAATAAATTCTGTATGTTCAGGAAGGTGGATTTTTTCAAATTGGCTCTATAGCATCTTTAGGGGTTCTAAAGACAGTCACACAGATTGAATGATAGGAAGGCCTTACCACTTAGCATCACTGAGAACACTATTCTTGGAAAAAGTTACTTGTTAAATTTTTCTGAGTCTTCATGCATGGACTCACAGAAGGCAGAGTACTTGACTAAACCCCCACCAAGAATCTCTGGGGTGACAGCTAAAATAGTGATGGGTCAGGTAGTTCATCAAGGTTTGGGGCCAGTAAAACTGAGGGGTTAAATTTGATCAGGTCTTCCTGACTTATTTGCTCTTAGTCGTTTACTTTTTGTTTTCTTTTTCTACGAAGCTGAGGGCCATGGTAGCTACAGGCTACAACACTGAATGCTTTATATATATAATAAACCTTTATAGATTCATAAGTCACCATAATAATGGTCCCTTCAGTTGTTTTCAGGAACTCGGGCCAGCTCCTATTCAGTTTAATTCAGTTGAGACCACTGATCCCTTTGACTGAGCCAGACAAGCACCCAAGAGATGGCCATTTGATGTTAGAAGGCCAAAAGCTCCACCCTAAGATCATGCTAATGCCACCATTTTCTGTACATATGTCCTGTGAAATGCCATGAACCCTGACTACGCTTGTGCAGCATAAACCTGTTACTTCATTTTTTCCCATTGCCAATTACCTTTCCCTATTCTTTGGACACCCCACTTCCCTAATCCATAGTGAGCTATTCTCCCACTTCACTGCTCAGTGTCCTTGTGGTTCAATCTTTTCTCTTTGCAAAAGCCATGTCACAGTGATGATTTACTGTGCAGGGGCAGAATCAACCTGGACCTGGCTGCAACACCAGCAACATACTTAGCTTAGTCCTTGTTTCTAACATACAAGCAGTGAGTAAAATCACCTGCTTTGTGAATCACCTGCTTTGACAGGTGGAGAAAGGGAGAAACATGAACCCCAGTTGCTAGGCAAATAATGGATTCTTGCCTCCTCTTGTTAGGTACAAGAACAAATCCACTTAGTGGCATTTCACAGAGCCAGAGAAGGGTGAGGGAGTATCTCATTTAAAATGAAAAGAGGATGGCAAAGTCAGATAAGCAAAACCAAGAACCCCAGTCTCAGAATTATGAAGAGGAATTTTGGGTGAGAGGGAGCTACCAGACCAAAAGGAGAAGCAGCTATCAAAGTTAGAGTAAGTTTCTTGGACAGAAAAAACTGCAAAAATGAGAAAATAAATAAGTTCAAAAGTATATCGTAAGGCCAGGTGTGGTGGCTCACACCTGTAATCCTAGTACTCTGGGAGGCAGAGGCAGGTGGATCGCTTGAGCTCAGGAGTTCGAGACCAGCCTGAGCAAGACCAAGACCCTGTCTCTACTATAAATAGAAAGAAATTAGCCAAACAACTAAAAATAGAAAAAATTAGCCAGGCACAGTGGCGCGTGCCTGTAGTCCCAGTTACCCGCAGGAGACTGAGGCAGGAGGATTGCTTGAGCCCAGGAGTTTGAGGTTGCTATGAGCGAGGCTGATGCCACGGCCCTCTAGCCTGGGCAACAGAGTGAGACTCTGTCTAAAAAAAAGAAAAAATTGAAAAAAAAAAAGAAGTATATTGTACACAATAGCTTTGAATATGTAAATGAAAATGGGCTTTGGAGTAACCCCCATCAGGGTTCTGACACTGCACCATCTGGGTGAACTTAAGTAAATAACTTATTTCTCTTAGATTGTTTCCTTATTTGTAAATATGAATAATTAAAGTAATTTCAGATAATTATGGTGTCTGAATGGTATAACATATAAAAAACACATAATAAATAATGTTTCTCATGAGTCATGAATGGCAATATTGGTGTAAATATTAATAAATAATGGATGCTCTTATTTACATCTTGCTTTTTATCCATTAACCAGGAAAAGATAGCTGTGTGTGTCAGCCGAGTTTAAAAACACATAGAAAGAATGAAACCTTGGCATGGAGATGAAAAGATTCAAGGATTGTGTGATTGATACCAATACTGAACCACATAGAGGGGAGAGAGTAAAGCCAGGAACCATGCCTGAATCAACTGCCCTGGTTCTTGTAGCAAAAGATGTGAACAGTGGCCCTCACCAAGAACAGCAGTCTTCCCCTGCCATGATGGTTGGCTAGTGAGCTGTGAGCCAAAGAGACTAGCACTAAGTACACAAGTCACAGTCTTGCATCTGGCAAGATGAAGGAAGCACTGCTCTTCCCTTTCAACCTTGGGACTACACTGGATGTACTATGTTCCCCACACTACCACCACCATCCCTGCCCTGACTACTCCCAGCCTTTGGTCCCCTTTGAGGGACTTTATAAGCACTGTATTGTAAGTGGAAAACACAATGTCTTAAATAAAACTGTATTTAAAATTGGCATAAAAAAAGAAAATGGGTAGTTCATGTTTTACAGTAGCAATTAGCAATCTGGTTTATAATGATTTTCATTTCTGTGTCCATTGCACAACAGTGAACTATTTGAGGACTGAGACAATGTCTTATTCATAACATTTATGTCCCCAGAAGACATAAATAGAAATATTATAGGTAGAAAGGAAAATTACCTTATCTACTCATGTTTTTACTCCCCTTTAACTACATATAGCTTTTATATCTCCCTCATTCCCAATATGCATACAAAATTTTAAGAAGTGCCACTGTTTACTTAAGAGCAAAATAATTACATTAAAAGATACTGTACATCCTTCTATGCTCACTCTTTGTATCACCTCCTCAATGTCTACAATTGGGTGCCTGATTCAAAACTAGTTCTGTCTTACAGACCTGGCCATCTTGGATGTGGGGTATGAGAGTGGGAATTGAATAGTAACAGGAAGTCTCCTTTAGGTCTTGAGTCAAAATTGTACATGATAGTCTAATTTACTAGAGGGTTCAGCATTGGGAATTAGTGGGGAGTGGCTTAGATATATAAGCAGTGAGGGACAAGTGACAAATAATAGCCTTTAGAGTAGTTTTACTTTTAGAGTAGTTTTTGTTTTGTTTTGCCCAGGGCACAATGGTGAACAAATACATGGGAAGCCAGTTCAAGAAAGCCTTTTCAAAGAAAAGTATATTCTCCAAATGAAAAAAAAATGAGGAAAAAAATGTACACAATGATATTTCTACAATATATCCTCTGGCATAATAAGCCAAAGTAGTTTCAAATTTCTTGGTAAGTTTTATTTTAGGATGCAAGTAGTCGAATAGGAATTTCTTGTGGGCAATATAAGGAAAATGAGTCTTCATGAAATTTCAGCTAACACTTACCACTAGTAAGCAGCAGAGAAGGAAGTAGTAGATGAGATCACACAACAAAGCAGAGAGCCAATAAGGAAGTAAATAGACCCCACTTAGAAACTGGATTTGTTTTGCCTTACTGATTCTCTCAGTTGATGTCTGGAGACAAAAGTTACTGACCATAACAGCCATGCCAAATGCCAAAGATAATACTACTTGTGATCCACGTGCAGGTCTACAGAAGATGAAATAAAAGTAGAAAATACTGATTTCAGTAGCTATTTTCAACCATATATGGTCAGATAGCAAGGGGATATATTTAAGCTCAATTCTAGTAAAAGGAAAAACATACATACTTTATGTTAGAATGATAAAGAGGCTGAGGTTGAGGCTTGTTGGAGACTGTAATGGAAGCACTTGGGCCAGAAAGAGACATAAAAAGAATGTTGTCTAACACCGCCAAGGATGTTGCAGCTGAATGGTATGCCTCATTATTGAACAAAATAGTAATTACTGTTTTGTATTTTTCGACCTTAATGGAAAGTGCAATAATGCAGACTTCAAGACACTTTTTATTTTCCATTATGTAATCTGTTATATTACCTAGAATAAAGAAATAGGCCAATGAATCAATATGTAATATATTATGTGCTACTTATGTTAGAGAGGAAAGATCAAGATTTTTTCCCATTTACTTACTTTTCCTTCCTATTTCCTACAATGGGATTTTCAAATATTTACCCTTCTCTTCAAGAATTCTATTCCATTACGAATCCCTATAATAATCTTACTATATTGTCTACAATGTGAAAAAAGCAGCAAACTAAGAATTTATTGCTATTCTCTTGCCTAAAGCAAGCATAATTTGTTCTTATTTTTCAAAAATTAATATTGGTTATTTTAGGTCATTTGCATTTCCATATAAATTTTAGGATCAGCTTACCAATTTCTGCAAAAATGTCTGATGGAATTTTGATAGAGATTGCACTGAATCTAATTGGTCAATTTCGGAAGAATTGCTATCCTAACAACATTCATAATTCTAATTCATGATATAGAATGTCTTCCCATGTATCTAGAATTTGCCTAATTTTCCTATCAGTATTTCATGATTTTCAGTGTACAAGTCTTGTACTTTTCTAAAATTTATTCCTAAGTATTTTATTCTTTTTTTTCCTGGACATAAGCAATGCCAGCATTTTATTCTTTTTCATGCCACTGTGACTTTTGGTAATTTGTGTTTTCTTTCCCCTGGGAATGTGTCCATTCTATCATAGTGTGATTTTTTTAAAAATCCAGTCTGAAAACCTGTTTTTTGATTGGAATGCTTCCTCTACTTATATTTAATGTAATTATTGATATAGTGGGATTTATAACTCTCATTTTGCTATTGTTTTCTATGTCTTACCTCCTTTCTGCTCTTCTGTTTCTTCACTATTGCCTTTTTGTGTTATATATATTTTATACTGTACCATTACGTTCCTTTTTTTGACTATTTTTTAAAGTTATTTTCTCAGTGGTTGCTCTAGAGTTTACGATATAAATCCTAACTTAAAAAAATTTAGTTAAGATGAATACCAACTTGATTCCAATAGTACACAGAAACTTTGCTCCAACAAAGCTCCCCTCCCCTCCCCCATCCTTTATTATATTACACATTATACGTTTTTATACATTATCAGCCAATTAACACAATTTTGTAATTATTGTTTTATGCAGTCATCTTTTTCAGTTAGGAGAAGAGTTAAAATATGTCTTTACTGTCTTTTATATTTACCTCTATAATTATCTTTGACAGTGCTCTAATTTCTTCATATGGATCAGTTACCATCCTGTGTCCTTTCATTTCAGACTGAAAAAATCCCTTTAGTATTTTGTTGTAGATAGGTAGGTCTGTTGGTGGTGAATTGTCTGTTTTTGTTTATCTGGGAATGCCTTATATTTCTTCTTTATTTTTGAAGGACAAATATGATGGATATAAGATTCTTGGTAGGGAGGGGTCTAGGGATGAGGAGCTCAAAAAAAAAATTCTTGGTTGATAATTTTTTTCTTTCAGCCCTTTTGGCATCATCCCATTGTCTTCTCACCTCCATGGTTTCTGGTAAAAAGTCAGCCATTAATTTTATTAATGATTACCTGTATGTGATAAGTTATTTTTGTCCTGTGGTTTCAAGATTTTCACTTCTTTTTTTTACTTTTGCCAGTTTGATTATAGTGTGTCTAGTGTGAACATCTTTGAGTTTATCCTATTTGGAGTTCGTTAAGCCTTTTGGGTGTGGAGATCAATGTTTTTCATCAAATTTGGTAAGTTTTTAGCCATTATTTTTTGAAATATTTTTCTTCCACTTATCACTCTCCTCTCTTTCTGGTACTCCCATTATGTATATGTTGGTATGCTTGATGTTGTCCCACATATCTCAGAAAATCTCTTTGATTCCCCCCCACCCCCACCCCCTGCTTTTCTCTTTTCTGTTCCACATGCAGGATAATCTATCTTAAATGTAACTAATTCATTCTTCTGCAAGTTCAAAACTATTGTTGAGGCCTTCTGGTGAACTTCCAATTTCAGTTATACTTTTCTTTTTTTATACTTTTCAAATATAGAATCTCTACTTGGTTTTTAAAAAAATGTTTCTAGTCTTTTATTAATAAGTAATATCTTCTTGGTGAGACAAAAGTATTATACTTTCCTTTAATTCTTTAAACATTTCTCCTTTAGTACTTTGAAACTATTTTTAATAGCTGATTTAAAAATCTTTGTCTACTAAATTAAACATCTTCCCTCCCTCCTCAAGGACATTTTTCTGCTGACCTCACATATGGGTCATACAGTTCTATTTATTTCCATGTTAGCTTGTTAGGGCTGTCATAAGAAAGCACCACAGAGTGGGTGGCTTAAGCAACAGAAATTTATTTTCTCACAGTTCTGGAAGCTAGAGTCTGAGATCAAGGTGTCAGCAGGCTTGGTTTCTTCTGAGGCCTCTCTCCTGAGCTTTTAGATGGCTGTCTTCTCCTCGTGTATTCTTATGGTATTCCCTGTCTGTATGTATAACGATGTCCTAATTTCCTCTTCTTATAAGAACATCAGTCATATGAGATTAGGGTCTACCCTAACAATCTCATTTTTCACTTAATTATCTTTCTAAAGACTCTGTCTCCAAATGTAGTCACATTCTGAGATACTGAGAGTTAAGACTTAAACATATGAATTTGGGGTAGGGGTAAATACAATTCAACTCATAACTCCTTAATTTCTCTTTGTTCAAAACTGGACATTTATGATAACTATTTTAACAACTCTGGTATCCGAACCCCTCTGCCCTCCAAGTTTGTTATTACTGTTCTTTCTTTTTATTGTTGCTGCTCATTTGTTTAGTGATTTATGTGGACTGATTCTGTAGATTCTTTCTACAGTGTGCAGCCACTGATTTGTCTCATAGACTTAATAAAAAATTATAGCTTTTAGTTTTGTGCCTGGCTCTGAGAGCTCAGTCATAGGTTAGTATATTTTGGTAATCAATAAAATGATTTCCTTTAAATGCTTCAAGGTAGTAAGCCTTCCATCCTTTGCCACATGGATCTGTGTATGAAGGCACACCTTCAAACTTTGGGTAATATAGAAGTCAGCTTCAACTTTCACTTTCTGCTTGTACAGTCCTCAACATCAACCAGAGGTAAGTGACTGCAATCTTCCTTAGGTCATTTGTGGTCATGCCCATTACCATTCTGAGCCTTCTAGATCCCAAGTAATATCAGAATTTTTCAAACTTCACTGTGGTAATCTAGCTCTTCAGGTAGTCCTTTTTAATTTGTTGCCAGGCTCTCGTTTGGCCCAACCGATGTCATAGCTTTAGCCAGCTGTGGTGATTTTACCGGAAGACTGTAATTGTTTTTTTGTAATGCCCTAGCAATAGGGCCTTTTTGAGAGAGCTGAGCTGAGCTATGATTCAAATTCAATAGCTATAATGTCTTAGGAATGGAGTTTTTCAGGTAGCTACTAGTTGATAGTGCTCTAAGTATGGGGCTTTAAGCTCCAAAGAAGTTAGTCCTTTCTGTTAACTGCTTGGCTTTTCATAGTAACCATACCACTGAGCTGAGAAGAGAGGATGACAAGAATTACCCCAAGTTAAATGCCACAGGCCCTATTATGAGAGAGAGATTCAATAGTTGTTCTTGAATAGGCGTTTTTTAGTTTGTTCAGTTCTTTTGGTCAATCTCCAGCGTTATAAAATGCTTGATTTAAAAAAATTGTTTGGCAAGTATTTTTGTTGATTTTTATGGGAGAGTGGGTTAATTCTACCTTACCAAAAGTTCAAATCCTCCATCCACTAGGTTTTGGGTGTAATTTGTTACACAGCAATAGATACATAGTAAGGTACCAAAAGGGTTGTTTTTAGCATTAATGCAGAGAAGATAATGCAGACAACATATTCAGTATGGTTCTTACTAAAGGAAAATGTTAAACAAATTAAGTGCTTATTTATACTACTTTCAAAAAATTAGTTTTGAAGAGTCACTCTGTTAAGTTTTCAATCACCTATTTTTAGAATGGCCAATATAATAAAAAACAGCTTGCAGGGCTTGGAATCAATATTCCCTTCTGTGAAAGCATAAAGAAATACATTTGTATTCTGGTCAGAATAAAAATTCTATGACAAGTTTTATAACAATATATTAAGTTGCTAAATATGAAATGTTCAATTTAGAATCAAACATTTAGTTTATTATATCTTAAGCAAGAAGCAGTACAATTAATCAAAGTATGTGCCTAAACTATGGACACAGTTTTGCCATTTTAACAATAGCCTGTTTATGCCAACAGCGAAGAAGCCTGGAGAGTGGAGTGAGTGGCAATGAAATAAAAAAAGACATTTTACACAGCTTGTTGAGAAGTGAATATTTTTCCTTGCAAGAAGTGGTCCAAAGCCTGGAATAAGTGGTAGTCAGTTGCTGCAAGGTCTGATGAATACGGTGGATGACAGAGTTTCCAAGTCCAGCCTCTGTAGTTTGAGCAGCATGATTTGTGTGACATGTAGTTGAGCACTGTCTTGCAAGAGGATTGGCCTGTTGCTATTGACCAATCTTGGCTGTTTAATAGCAAGCATCCTCATCATTGCATACAACTGGTTGCAGTACACATCCACTGTAATTGATTAACCAGGTTTCATGAAGCTGTAGTGGATAATACCAGTGCTGGACCACCAAACAGACATCATTAGCTTTTTTGATGAATATTTGGTTTTGGATTGTGTTTTGGTACTTCATCTTTATCCAACCATTGTGCTGAATGCTTGCAATTGTCAAAAAGAATCCATTTTCAGCACAAGTAACAATACAGTGTAAGAATAGTTTGCCTTTATGTCATGACAACAAAGAAAGACAACCTTCAAGACAATTTCTCTGCTGACGCTCATTTATTTCATGCAGAACCCATCTCTTCAGCTTCTTTACCTTGCTGATTTGTTTCAAATGGTCCAACATTGTTGGAACAGTAACACCAAACCTTGCTAATTCATATGTAGGTTGAGATGGATTTGCTACCACTACAGCTTTCAGCTCATTATTATTCATCTTTGTCTCAGGTCACCCATGTGGCTCATTTTCAAGATTAAAATCTCTAGAATGGAACTTCTCAAACCACTAATGAACTATGCATTCATCAGCCACATCCTTCTCAAACACTTCACTGATATTTCAAGCTGTTGGCTCAGCATCGGTTCCACAACAGAACTCATATTAGAAAATAATACAATCACTGACTTACCCATGGTATCACAAAAATTGCTCTAAAAATTTTTTTAAAGATAATCACAAGCCAAACAATGCATCTGAAAGAATGAGGATGTACCCTCACAATAAAAATAAAACAAGTGTCAAAGTCAATGGAATGTCAGAGATATCAAGTGTCAAATTTAGTACTTAAGGAAACTGAAGATTTCATACTTAATAACCTAATAGTATTTTGGCTCCTTATCCATCCTCTGAAAGGCGATGCAATTATCTGAAAGACCACCTACAGCCAAAATGTCCCCATTATTTATTACCTTTTGCAGCCAGTTATCTTGAAGTATACATTTTTAAACCTCTGATTCAGCTACCTTTATGATACTGGTAATTAGTAGGAAAACAAAGAAATGGGCAGCTCAAGACCACAGTTAAGTCCCTGGTTTGCAAGTGACACCAACAGGTCTTCATACACCACAGCCTCATTTTTTCCTATGGGTCTTACCTTGCACTTCCTGTAGTTTTTGGTTCTTAGGTTTTAAAAAAATCTCAAGGTTCTTTATGAGATCCAGAGCCAAACTTGAATTCCCTGAAACTGAGTAAGGCACAATGGTTTGACCATATTGACTCAAATCCATTTCCCGGCCAGGGTCATAACCAGATGTTATGTGCTGAGTTTTTAAAAGATATGTAGTAACAACCAAAATTACTATTATTTGTAGCAACATCAACTTCCAACTGCGCCAAGTAAATAGTGCCCTTTTTATAAACATGGACCAAAACTGCTGGAAGTAAAGTGGAAACTAAAAAGAAGAGAAAAACATAGCATTACATTGTATAGTGATTCAAGTAAGACATTCATGTTGACATCTATTACTATAAATGCTTCAAAATATTATGGCAGGAGATATATACATATAATACAAATGTATGCTTTGAATTGAACCCAAGAAAACAACAAGATCATTTATTTGTGCAAGGTGTTAAATGAAAGGACCAACCTGGCTTCTGATCTAACTACACTGAAAATCTTTTCTTTTCTTTTTTTTTTTTTTTTGAGACAGAGTCTCGCTTTGTTGCCTAGGCTAGAGTGAGTGCCGTGGCGTCAGCCTAGCTCACAGCAACCTCAAACTCCTGGGCTCAAGCAATCCTTCTGCCTCAGCCTCCCAAGTAGCTGGGACTACAGGCATGCGCCACCATGCCCGGCTAATTTTTTTTATATATATATCAGTTGGCCAATTAATTTCTTTCTATTTATAGTAGAAAGGGGTCTCGCTCTTGCTCAGGCTGGTTTCAAACTCCTGACCTCGAGCAATCCGCCCGCCTTGGCCTCCCAGAGAGCTAGGATTACAGGTGTGAGCCACCGTGCCCGGCCTACACTGAAAATCTTAACAAAATTATTTTCTTTATTAATGTACTGCAGTATTTCTGATAAGAAAATAAAAATTATATCTATCTCTTCCATTTAACATTAAATCATAATCTTTCTATTTTATCCACTTTATAAGGGAAACACTTCCATAAAACTATTATCTTTTGCTTGGTTTTAGTACATACACTCTGGTTCATTTTCCTTAATTTTGACCTGAATACAACAGTCATAACTCTTGGGGTCTTGTCAGAACTGAACAAAGGGAACGTTTATAATGAGAACTTTTCCAAGTGATTCTGAGAATTAACAATGGTGAGAGTAGCAGCTGTGATCTTTATCTAGAAGCCATTTCTCCTACACCAGAAAATTAGTGAGACTGTAGTACAGAATGATCCATATATTGGTGGATGTTCTAAAGCTAAACTCCAAACATCTTTTATGTTCAGATATTAAAAATATGAACATCTTATACTCAAATGAAACATATTAGGTTTACATTCTTAATGAATATGCTCACCCCACTATTGAATTTAATAGTAGCAAGGTCATTCAAGCTGGAAGAAAATGGTCTCTCATAATTTATAGGTATGTTCATCTTCTGATTCTTGTCTCGTCTTATGTTTCGGCTCTTCAAGGAAAGGGACTGGATGCGCTGAGTATTTCTTTGGAAATGTGCCAGTATATAGACCCTACATACACACACATGCACAAAAAAGCACAAAGCACTTCATTTTAACAATAGCCTCAATCTATTTTATTTGAGGACTGTCCAACAAGGTTCCAAATTTGGAAGACTCCTTGGTTTTTCTTACTGATTGGCAGAAACACTGTATACAGTCAGCAGAACAGTGGTTTCCAATAAACCAGAGGACTGCTGCCAATTGATGATAAAGTTTCTACCATTCTAAAGCAATACAAAAAAAAAGTCAATTACAATACATCATGTAGAAGAAAGATGAACTTACTCAAATTAAATGACTCATATTTAATCAAAGATATTATCTTTACTTTGGCAGTTAAAATGTTCTCTATTTTATGAATGATGGGGACACCGAAGAGTAAGTTTTGTTTTTTTAAATCCTTACATTTCCCACTATTGCCAAAGTCTGAAGCTGAGTCTTTGGATATGGATAATTCAGAAGAATAAGAAGATATACAAAAGTAATTATATTCTAAGGAGGAAAACAATAAGTAACATAATAAAAGAAAAAAGTTACCACACTATATTGAAAGACAGGAAAGATTACACCAGTAGAATTTGTAAAACACTTGGTGGGATATACATGATTTTAAAAGGTGTTTTTATAAACCACAGAGAAATAAAAATCTTTTAAATACCTTTGTGTTAGTATTTGTATGGAACACAACATTAATAAACTCTGAACTATCACATTCACAAGCACAGAGTAGGGCAATGAGCTAGGTAACCCTTTAGAAACCATGTGTCAGATACAGATTCAAAAATCTGCTTTAAAATGTCTTTGAGGCATGTTTCTTGTTTGATACTAAAAGGATTGTGGACTATTGTGCTTTAAAATATGATTATTGAACAATTTTATCTATCATCTTTTGCAAGTTTTTATCCTTTATAGTTTATTCATTGGTAATAACTTTTCATTAGAAAAACATTAGAAAATGTAAATAAGTTAAAAGGAAAAATACTCCTAGTACCTAGAGAGAACCCTGATGATATGTTTTCCATGAATATACAAATAGGCACAAACATATACACACTCTTAAGAGGGGCATCTGAATTATATTTAGTCCATTTACATGTAATGTAATTAATATTTGGGTTTATATATGACATCTTACAATTTATTTTCTATTTATGTTCTTTTACTCTTTTTTAAACCTTTGTTTAGAATTATCAAATATTATTATCAAAATTTTCTCTTCTATTAGCTTATGAGTTATAGATTCAAGTGGTCACCCTAGAGATTAAAACATACAATGGCCTTAAAATATACTAATCTTGCATACTTCTTTCCAATCTATCTTATGCCTTCCTGGTGTCTTAATTTCATATAAATCATTTTAATTTACAAAAATTGTGGTAAAATACATGTGATATAAAATTTATCATATTAACCATTATTAGGTGTAAAAATTCAATGGTATTAAGTATATTCATGTTGCAGTGCAATGATTACCATTGATCTTCAAAACACTTTTCCTCTTGCAAAACTGAAACTCTGTACCCATTAAACAATAACTCCTTTTCTCCTTTGCCTCTAGCCCTTGGTAACCACAATTCTACTTTGTCTCTACAAATTTAACTATTTACCTCAAAAAAGTGAAATCATATAGAATTTTTCTTTTTGTGAATTTTTCTTTTGATAGTGTCATTGGATGCACAAATTTTTTAAATATTCATCAAGTTCAATTTGTCCATTTTTCTTTTGTTGGCTATGCTTTTTCATATCCAAGAAATCACTGCCAAAAACCAAAGTCATGAAGTTGCTGACCTATGTTTTCTTCTAAGAGTTTTATACTTTTATGTTTTAAATTTAGGTCTTTGGTACATCTATATGGTATTAGGTAATGGTCCAAATTAATTCTTTTGCAAGTAGATATCCAGTTTTCCCAGCACCAATTGTTGAAAAGACTGTCCTTTCCTCATTGAATGGTGTTTACACCTGTCAAAGATCACTTGACTATATATATATAAGGGTCTCTTTTTTTTTTTTTGAGAAAGAGTCTCGCTTGTTGCCCAGGCTAGAGTGAGTACCGTGGCATCAGCCTAGCTCACAGCAACCTCAAACTCCTGGGCTCAAGCAATCCTGCTGCCTCAGCCTTCCGAGTAGCTGGGACTACAGGCATGCATCACCAAGCCCAGCTAATTTTTTCTATATATTAGTTGGCCAATTAATTTCTTTTCTATTTATAGTAGAGATGAGGTCTTGCTCTTGCTCAGGCTGGTTTTGAACTCCTGACCTCGAGGAATCCACCTGCCTCAGCCTCCCAGAGTGCTAGGATTACAGGCATGAGTCACCGCACCTGGCCAAGGGTCTCTTTCTGTGCTCTTTGTTGTATTCCATGGGTCTACATGTTTGTCTTTATGCCAGTACTATACTATTTTGATTACTGTAGCTGTGGAATAAGTTTTGAATTCAAGATGTGAGTTTTTCAGCTTTGTTTTTCTTTTTCAAGACTGTTTTGAGAATTTGGGGTCCTTTGAGATATAAGATGAATTTTAAGATGAATTTTTGTATTTCCATAAAAATTATTTGGATTTTGATAGGGATTTCAATGACTCTATAAATTATTGTGAGCAGTAATGACCTCTTAACAATATTAAGTTTTCTAACGCATTAGTGTAGGGTGTCTTTACATTTTTTATGATTTCTTTCAGCAATGTTTTATAATTTTCATTGAATAAGTCTTTTGCCTTCTTGCCAAAGTTAATTCCTATGTATTTTTTTCTTTTTGATGTTATTTTAAATGGAATTACTTTCATAACTTCCTTTTTGGATTGTTCATTGTTAGCATATAGACATGAGACTTTGTAACCTGCTACTTTGCTAAACCCATTAATTACTTTCAATAATTTTTTGTGGAATCTTTAGTTTTTATGTACAAGATCATATCATCTGCAAACAGACAATTTTATTTCTTCCTTTCCAATTTGGATGCCCTTTATTTATTTTTCTTGCCTAATTACTCTGGCTTGAGCTTCTAGGTACTATGCTGAATAGAAGAGGTAAAAGTAGGCATTCTTACTTTGTTCTAATTCTTCCAGAAAAAGCTTTCAGTCTTTCAGCACTGAGTATAATGTTCACTGTGGGTTTTTTATACATGGCTTTTACTAATGTTATGTTGAGGTAATTTCCCTTTATTCCCAGTTTTTGAGTGTTTTCATCATGAAAAGAGTTGACTTTTGTTAAGTGCTTTTTTGCATCAATTGAGACCATCATGTGATTTTTTTTCTTCATTCTTATTTATGTATTTATTTTAGAGACAAAGTCTTGCTCTGTCACCTAGGCTGGAATGCACTGGCATGATCATAGCTCACTGCAACCTTGAAATCCTGGGCTCAAGTGACCCTCCCATCTCAGGCTCCCAAGTACCTAGGACTAAAGGCATGTACACCACACTCAGCTAATTTAAAAAATATGTTTTATAGAGATGGGGTCTTGCTAAGTTGCCAAGGCTGGTCTTGAACTCCAATCTTATAAACAAAAAAAGATTATAAGACAACATTCATTTACTATTTGTAAACCATTCTGGTTTATCCATGATGAGTCTAGGCATAGAAAATGCTTGCCTTATTCATCACTGGGCCCCTCCCTGAACCCTATAATCTAGTTAAAACACAAAAAATAGGTTGGAAATCTGTCAATATGGCTGAATCAGTACCCCAAATATGACTACGTATCACAAGGATAATTTGAGTTGGTTATTTTAAGACCAGTTGCAAGAGAAATTTACATCTATAAAGGAGATCTCCATCTGTAAGGGTGCCTCTCTCTCTTCACCAGGAAGAGGAGAACTAAATAACTAGAGAATGGAGAAGGTATTCACTTATATCTACATCACAAATGTTACCTTCCTTTAGGGTATTTTCCTGGCCTCTACCTACACCTTTGTTTGCAGAAGCCATGACAGTCTATTTGGAAAAACTTGAAGAATCAAAGAAGTTAAATAATTTTCAAGTATAATTTGGGAGGAAACTGACAAATGATGTTAACTTTCAGATAGCATTGTCATAAAATTTTGTAAAAGAAATATGAGGAAAAATTAGCACTATCAAATATAAAACTGTTTTATAGAGTATAGAATTGGCATATGAATATAAACAACAGATTTGTAGAGTAGAAGGTAACTTCTGGAAACAACTCTCAGGATATGTAAGAATTGTAAATGTAGTATTTCAAGTGACTAGTATAGAGAAAATGGACTAGTCATTTGGGAAAAAAAAGAAGTTAAATTCATGCCTCTCCTCAGACAACAAAACAGAAGGCAGATGACTGAGACAAAACTAGTACTAAAAGAAAATATGGGTGGGTATTTATTTAATTACATAACTGTCCTACAAATTACGATATTTTCCTAAGTCTAAAAAGGAAACCATAGTAGAAAATGTTGACTTAAAAACATTTTAGACTCTAATTAAAAATAACCATAAAAATTTAAAGGAAATGACAAACTGGGTAAGTATTTGCAAAATGGATGTCTTTTAAGGGGAAAGAATTTATATGTGTGTATGTTTATATATATTTGTTTTTTCCTCAAAATTCATAAAGAACAAAAATAGCTTTGATTTGAATCTGCCACTTACTACCTTTGTGGCTTTGAGAATTGTGTAAATTCTCTGGCCTTAGCTTTTTCACCTACAAAGTGGTGATAATAATAGAACCTACTTCATAGGGTCATTGTAAGGATTTAATGTCTTTAAATTTCAGTACTTAGAATGGTACTTTGAAAATAGTAAGCACTTAATTTAACTATTTAAGCTGCTCCATAGTCTCCTTCGTGAATCAATCTTATTATTATAATCACCATTCACTAAGCATGTAGATGTATACAAGGAGCTATACAGCGTACAATGCCCTTCAAATAAATTACCTCGTATCCTTGCGCTCACTCTTTTTAGAGAAGTTAATTGAAGCTCAGAAAACTTATGTAACTTATCTGAAGCCACATAGCTAAAATGTGGTGTCAGCCTATGAACCCAGGTCTATTTGACATTGTTGCCTTTCTTCTTTCTACTAACTTTTGACAGTTTAATTATACTGTCCAATATATTTTACCACCATGTGGAGTTAGTACATGAGGTGATAGAGATTTTCCCCCAGGAACATTCCCCCCTGAATCTTAAAACTATTATAAATAAGATGATTGATTAGTACAGAGATGAACAGTTGCATTATAGAAAGAAAGTGTTTCTTTACTAAAATTTGGTAGAATCTCAAACAGAACTAAAGAAAAGTTTTGTCATTAAGGAGAAAGTAGGAAAGGAAACTCTGAGGCAAACATTGCCAATAACCTCTAGGACAGAGAATGTCATGGTGCTAGGTTTTAACTGGCAAAAATTCCCAGCTGCAAGCAGAGCCTCTATAAGACAGGCACTGCTTGAGGCCCCAAGTATAATCAGTGACCAAAACAAACATGGTCTCTGCCTTTACAGAATTTTTTTCCAGTTGTTCTCATAAAGTAACTTTCTCATTATAATTGAGCTTCCTATGAAGCTTGTCTAGAGAGAGATAAGAGAACACTTGATTGGATGACACTGGATAAGTGAACATTTGATTATCATAAATTATCCTTATTATAAATTAATGAAGTTACCTTTTAATTTATAAACATCAGTCTTTTGTGAACATAATTTGTATGAACAAATTACCTCAAGTCAACTTTGAGACACTGATAATATTAAATCCCTGAGCCTGAGAGAATGAAGTCTAAACCTAAAGGATGCAGAGAGACAGGAACACTCTTTCACTGTTGGTGGGACTACAAATTAGTGCAACCTCAATGGAAAAGAATTTGGAGATACCTCAAAGAGCTAAAAATAGAAATACCGTTCGATCTAGCAATAATAGTATTAGGCATCTACCCAAAAGAGCAAAAGTTATTCTATAATGAAGACATCTGTACCCGAATGTTTATGGCAGCAAAATTCACTATAGCAAGAATATGGAAACAACCTAAGTGCCCGTCAATTCATGAGTGGATTATTAAAATTTCGTATATGTATACAATGGAATATCATTCTTATATAGCACCCCTTATATTTTCCTGGATTGAGCTTGAGCTCATTATCCGAAGTGAGGTAACACAAGATTGGAAGAATAGGCTCCACTTGTACTTGCTATCAAATTGGTAGTCACTGACTAATACAACGGTGCTCACATGGTAGTAATATTCTTCAGGGACAGGGGGCTGAGGGGGTAAATTCACAACTACAGGACATGGTGTGCATTGTTTGGGGGAAAGGCATACCTCTAACCCCAGTTAGGGATAGGCAATGATATAAAATGTAACCAAAATGTTTGTACCCTCACAATATTCTGAACACACACACACACACACACACACACACAACCTTACCAGAAAAAGGACATTTTGTGAATCCTTTTGACAGCTAACCAACTAACCTAGATGAATGACAGCCTGAACTTCCTGGGTAATATTATTTTGAACTTTTTCACAATGCAAGAAACAAACTATGTACAAATTAAACAGAAATGTGGTTGGGTCAAAATTTTAAAGTCATTCCTAGTATGAACTTCAAGTTAGAATAGAACTTTTCCTATGATGATATAGATGTTAATTCTTTTTTTTCCCCTTGGCTAACTCTAAACCATCTACAAAAATAAGACCCAAGCTTTTGCATCAACGCCTAAGCTGGAAATCTTACATTTCTCATTCTCTGAATATATGGAAATATATTGACATAAAATAGTAATGTATGTGAAAATTCAATAGCATTGTGATTATTCTAACTGCAAATAGGGTGGGGTTTGCTCTCAACTTGATGTTGGATTTTAGGAGTGGAAATTTTTTGTTCTAAGGTCATAATTACTCACTTAAGGAAGACTTCTTCCATGGTAGTGTTTGAAACACCAAAGTTGGTGATGCCAAGCTCTTTCTGTTTCTTTTCCAGATCATTAAACAGAGCTTCAAATCTGGAAGGAGAGGAGGACAAGGAAAAGAAAGAACTACCATCAGTCTAGATAAATTTTGGGGGGTTTTTAAGTTCATTTTATTTTCCAGTAAATGAACTTTTAAAAAAAATATGAGTGCTTCCTTTTTTATTCAATTTACTATTAATTTTATTTACAATTCTATTCTTTCCTATTGTTTTCTTTAAAAAATGTTTTTATTGTGGTAAAATGTACCTAACTAAATGTACCATTTAAAATTATTTCAAGTATACAATTCGAGGATTAAGCAATTCACAACGTTGTACAACCAACACCACTAACCATTCCTAGAACTTTTTCACCATCCCAAACTGAAACTCTGTACCCATTAAAAATTTTCTGATTTCTCTCTCCTTGCGCAACATCACTTCTACTTTCTGTCTCTGTGAATGTACGTATTCTATATATGTAGATACAATATTTATCCTGTTGTGTCTAGTTTTTTTTGCGTAATTTTTTATTCATCCATGTTGTAGCACACATCAGAATTTCATTCCTTTTAAAGGCTGAATGATACTCATTGTATGGATATACGACATGTTGTTTATCCATTCAACCATCAATGGACATCTGGGTTGTTTCCACATTTTTGCTATTGTGAGTAATGCTGCTATCAACATTAGTGTACAGATATATCTGTTTGAGTCTTTGCTTTCTATTCTTTTGAGTATTCACCTAGAAGTGGAATTGCTGGATCATATAATTCTATGAACTTTTTGAGAAACCTCCATACTGTTTTCCATAGCAGGAACATATTCTGACCTGCAAGGCACAAGGGTTCCAATTTTTCCATATCTTCATTAACATTTGCTATTTTTTTGGCTTTTGATTTGCATTTTCCTAATGAGTGGTGATGTTGAGAATCTTTTTGTATGCTTATTAGCCATTCGTATATCTTCTTTGAGGATGTATCTACTCAAGTCCTTTGCCCATTTCTGAACTGGGTTTTTGTTTGTTAGATAAATTTTCAATATTGTTTTGTTCCATAAAGATTTCTGGTTATCACTGAGAAAAATGTTTAGTAGATTGTTCTTCGCTATAATGCTTATCATGAAGCAGATAGAAAGGAGGGATTTATCTTACCAAAAATACCTGCCACTATAACTTGATCATAACTATACCAAAGTATAAATTCTTTTGTTCTCCTCATAAAATCATTTTATTTTCTATTAATATATATGTTAGCGACTATAGCTGCTTGATAAGAGTTACTTTATTCACATACAGTTCCTCCACTAAATATAAAACAGCTCTCAAATTACAGGAAGCAATAACAAAAATGGAGAACCAGCTTACAACCTTGTTTAAAAGTATCCCAAGAATGAAAAAATAAGCACCACATGTACTCACCAGCAAATTGGTTTCACTGATCAACACCTAAGTAGACATACAGGAATAACATTTATCTATCGGGTGTTGGGCAGACGGGAGGGGGGAGGAGGGGATAAGTATATACATACAGAATGAGCGCGATGCACACCATCTGGGGGATGGACACGCTTGAAGCTCTGACTCCGGGGGAGTGGGGTGGGTGAAGGGGAGGAAAGGCAATGCACGTAACCTAAACATTTGTACCACCATAATATGCTGAAATAAAAAAAAGTCTCAAGTTTACTTTTGCTAGATACATTCTATGGATTAAAATATGGGTTATGAAGTTATAAGTATTAAGTCTTTTCCTCATTGTTTTTCTCATATAAATACACACATGTAAAGCAATTAGAGTTGTGTCTGGCACATAGCAAATGAAGAATTAATTTTGGCTATCAAAGTCTTGGATATAACCAAGTAATTCTTGTCATTTTATTCTTTTCATACTATTATGGACTATTCTATGAATTAAATGGGTTGTGGGCATTTTATTACAACCTCGGGTGTTTTTCTCTCTCAACAGTTACTTTAAAATTATCCTGTTAAAGAAAACTTCACTCTTAACAAACATATTTTTCCCAACTTTATGATTTGCATTTTACACCATGCTGGATCCATTGAACAGGGCCCATAAACCACATCTAGAGTTCTGACATTAATCTGTGTGACTAGTTATTCATGTCTCAGAGCTTTGTCCTCTTCCTCTCTTCCACGTTCCAAATATAAGTAGGAAGACATGATGAAAATATTACTTCCTTTCAAATCCTTGCATTTCCCACTTTAGACTTAATGATATATTCATTATTCCTGGTCTCTACTGATAATGTCATTTGTACACAGATGATAAGAGATTGGCAGATGCTGTGATTAGTTGTCTATATGTTTCTTTCAGTGACACTCTGCACTTTCAGATTTATAATTATTAAACTATGCTAAAGTACCCAATGAAGCATGTCTTCTAACTGCTGAATGTGCCTCATGAACTTCCAGTTGTAGCTTCTGTCATTCCTCTCACTCCTTAACATCATGTTCTTTTACTTTACTTCATGACTAGGATCATGCTTCACCCCAGCTGTCTGAATACTGTTCCGTGCTCTTCTTCCTCTTCAAAAAGGTTCAGATTTACTCTGAATGAATATAACTCTCATGAAGCCATTCTTCTTTATATTCCTCTGTGATACAACACTTATTAGAATCTTGGTGGCCTGGCTGCTTGTATGTTATTTCCTTCATTCTACTCAGGAGCTCTACATGAGATGGAAATGCAGAGCAAGATCACAAATTTTTCCTCTCTTCTTGGGTATGGCAGCCACCTTACATCTATGAGATATCTAGAGAGGTGGTGAAACCACCTTTACAAATTGATAAAGGGGTATAGGCAAGAACTATGGTAAGGGACTAACTAAAAATAAGGCACAGGCCTGGCTAAAAATGATCATAATTAGCCACTGGCCCCATTTGCTTCTGTATAATTGCTACTCTGGAGCCACATAGGTGGTGGTCATAAAGATTCTCAACTTTTTCCATAGATAACATCACCTTTTTGAAACCTAGGGGTACTTTCTGAGACATCTTCCAGGTCTTGCATTCCAGTGGAATGGCTGACCTACCCAGAACAGTGGCTCACACCAAAGAACAGACTCAATTTATCTTGTGACTTCCACCCAAGAATCTAGTCAGCAAAGAAGACACTTTATACAACCCTATGGTTCTGCCCTGAACACAGCCAATTAGCAGGCTCAACTGCCTATGTCAAACTCTCTTTAAAAACCCTGTCTCCCAAATTCTCGGAAAGGCGGATGTGAGAATTTTCTCCCATTTCCCTGCTTGGCGCTATGTGGAATAAACTCCTTCTCTGCCATAAACCCAGCTGTCTCAGCATATTAGCTTCCTCTTGGGCAGTGGGCAAACGAACTTGGTTGAGTGGCAACAATAACACACTCCCTAAAGGCCAGTGATGAGTACTTTTAGTTTCCATTAATCTTAGCTGGCATGAGAATTCCCAGCAGAATTATCCCCGTATCTCTCCTCTATCACTAATTTGGCTAACTGTTGAATTCACTTTTTTCTCTGTGTCATTGTCACTTCTGCACCAGGAGCTGTCATTCAAACTACATGTTACTTTCATCATTTTCATATTTCCCTGGATCCTACCCACCATGCATAAAATTTGTATACTGTGAACATCTTATCATTAAGTATCCTTTATTAACAATAGGAAGCTATAGCCACCAGGTTGCAAATTTCTTCCCTCAAAGAGAAACAAATAAACAGAAAAGAAAAATATCAAATAAGCCTTGAATAAACTTACTGAGATAATTCTCTGTTCAGTAATAGAAATCTTCACCTGGGAGCTTCCCAATTCTAGTTGGTAAATGACAACTATAATTGAATATGTGGGTTGTTAGAAAAACACTATTCGCTAAGCTTGCTAAATCTAGAAAACTAAAAATGATTTCTGGTCACCTAAAAATCATCCATTTAGAGCTCTCGAATTCATACCTTTGTGTATACTCTTTGGGTAGGATATATGATAATTCAGCTCCAATATCATTCTCCAAAGTGGCATCTGGAACATGAGAATGAATTATTGCAGAGATTTCTTCAATGTCACAATGTGGTTCCCTCTTCATGACTATGTGATATCCAGCACCTGAGAGAAACCATTTAGATGATCACATAAAGAAGTTTTGTACTTTTTAATACTCTTGTTAAGATCAGTTTGGCTCTTCATGGCTCATGTTACCTAGGTCTCCAAGGAAGAAGACATGGTATGTGACAAGACATTTGATTATGATGCTAAGGAGGCTAACGCCTAAAGTTTCCAAATGCTGCTTCAAGAACCAAGATATTGAATAAATAAAAACTTCCTCTATAATTTCAATAACTTTCTTTTTTTTTGAGAGAGAGAGAGAGAGAGAGAGTCTCATTCTGTTGCCTGGGCTAGAGTGCCGTGGCATGAGCCTAGCTCACAGCAACCTCAAACTCCTGGGCTGAAACGATCCTTCTGCCTCAGCCTTCCAAGTAGCTGGGACTACAGGCATGCACCACAATGCCTGGCTAATTTTTTCTATATATTTTTGGTTGGACAATTAATTTCTTTTATTTTTAGTAGAGACAGGATCTCACTCTTGCTCAGGTTGGTCTTGAATTCCTGACCTTGAGCGATCCGCCCGCCTCAGCTTCCCAGAGTGCTAGGTCAATAACTTTCTTAATGAACAATGATTTAGTATTAATATATGGAACCAGATACAGTAGATATATGATGACAAGCCCCTTTGTATCTAGCTACTTATTTTTGAAGCAGATTTTTTTTTTTTTTGAGATAGGATCTTGCTCTCTCACCCTGGCTACAGTGCAGTATCATCATCATAGCTCACTGCAACCTCAAACTCCTGGGCTCAAGTGATCCCTGCCTTAGCCTCCCAAGTAGCTGGGACTACAGGCGTGTGCCACTACATCTGACTAATTTTTCTATTTTTTGGAGAAGTGGGTCTCGCTCTTGCTCAGACTGGTTTTGAACTCCTGAGCTCAAGCAATCCTCCCACCTTGGCCTCGCAAAGTTCTAGGACTACAGGTATGAACCTCCACCCCGGCTGGAAAAATCTTGATATATATTCATTTAGCTAATATTACTGTTTGTCCACTGTGTATTAGGCACTAACCTAGGCTCTGGGGACACAGTGAACAAAGCAGACAAAAATATGTACCCTCATGAGAGCTTACTTTCTAGTCAAAGGAGACAGATAATCAAAAGGAATAAGTTAAAACATACAGTGTGTTAGAAAAAATAAAGCAGAGAAGGGAGATAGGAAAGGTTGTTAAATTTTCCAGAGGTCCAAGGAAAGCCTAAATGAGATGATTTTTGATTAAAGACCTTAAAGAAGTCATAGAACTATTATACTTAATTAAAACTTTGCATGTATAGAGAAATTCTTTTCCAGAACTAGAGGGAAATATCATTGCTTTTAAATATATGTACTTCAAATGGTCATTGTATTTACATTTATGTTTCTTATTAATATTTTAAAAGAGCGAAAAACAGGTCTTAGGCATAGGTCTTTTAGCTGGTTTATTTACCTGGCTTATACTAGGAAAGACGTTATTATTCTGCTTTACAAATGAGTTACCTGACATTAGAGAATAAAGTGATCTATCCATTATTTACTAGTTATAGGAACCAAAACTACTTTTGGTTTACTTACAAATTAATGTGTAAATTGTTTTTAATTTCTCTGGAATCATAAAACAATAAGCTTTTCAATTGTCTTGTCCTTGTAAGACTCTGATCATTAGAAAAGGCCTCCTTTTGCAAAGATGCGAGGCAGTTAGTGAGAGCTGAACGTTGATACCAACATGTAATTTTCTATGCCATCAAAGAAGTAAACACAAATCCTAGGCTTTTGATATAAACGTAAGAAATCCAGTTTAAGCAGACTTAAAATTTCGCATCTGTTTGAATGTCCCAAAGTTATACCTTTAAAAATATCTAGTTACATATTCTGGACTATTTTCCCAATAATTAATGAAATTACTATATGCTATTTGAATTATAAATGATTCTTTTAAAAGCATAGCTGTTTAAATCATGTGGCTCCTAACCCAGGCATACTCAATTAAGATGGCATAAACCCAACTTTGGATGTAGAGCCCCTAAAAGGCAACTGTACAAACTCAAACTTATAAGGTGATCATAAACAACCAAATGGGTATTTAAATATGACTTTAGATAAGTTTTTGGTATATCTGGGCCCCAGTTTTGTATTCTATAAATTGAAGTTGTTTTGAATTTTACATGAGATACATAAAGTGGACAGTATAGAGGAGAGTTCAATAAACTCAAATATGGAATAAATTAATGACTGAAGCAATCCATCCTAAATTATCTCTACTTAAATTTATATCCTCTAATTTTAGAATCCTATTATTATGTATCATTTTTATATCCTATCAAAGCTGTATACTTATCCAAGTCAAGGACTGTTTTGTTCCATTTATATGATTCTTTCATTCTGCTCTGCATACTTATTGTCAATTATCACATTTCAGAGTTATCTCATTACACTGGGGATTTGGTACTGGTTTAACAAATGAGAAATTGGGATTCAGAGATATCTGGTTTCTCTACTTCCTTTCCTCACCAATCAATCAATTATTCAGTCAAATAAATCTATCTGGAGGCACAACTGCATCCCGGAAACAAAGAAAACTGTTAGTAGGTACAAAACGGGAAAAATAAATATGGCCTTTGTAGGTCAATAAAAATATTTCCTGAGTCTGAAGGTATGTGCTGGAGAACAAGTGTAAGCATATATATGGAATGTTGAAATTGCAAAGGGTCTTAAAATCCAATTATAACAGTTAAGACCTAATTAATAGGATAAAGGGGATAACCGAGGTCTTGGGTATATACACAAAATATGAAAAAATCATGTTAGAAGAATATTAGTAAAGTATCAATATCCTAAGAATGATCAAAGGGAGAGAGACCATATATATGTTTCAGGAAGACTGATGAGCCACAACACTTCAGGGTCCCCTTGACCAGGATGGCAATGCGGTCACCCAAGATGTCAGCTTCATCCATGTAGTGGGTGGTCATCAAAATGGTACAATTGTGTTTATACTGCCGAAGGAGGTCCCAGGTGACCCTCCTTGAGACTGGGTCCATGCTACGTGATGGTTCATCAAGTATCATCACCTAAAAGCCAGAAGAAAATTCCATGACCATTGGTAATTGATGCTATGCTCCTTGTGGAATTACTTACTATTTGAGGGGAATATATTCAAGCTAAGATACAGAATCCAGACTATAATAGAAGCAAAAGTCTAGGGGAAAAATTCCCAAACCATGTTATAATAGCTGGGCCAATAATGTGAATCCCTTTTTATAATCATTGGCAACAATCCTTTTAGATTCATTACCAATTCTTAGGTACCAATTTTGCCAGCTCATTTTCTAGACAAATGACAGGAACCCATATTTATCCCTCTATCATCCCCCACTCTGTGTGTTCATACATCTTCTTTCTTGCACTTTCTCTCCCCTTTCTTTCTCTCTTGCTCTCATTCTTTCTTCTTTTATACCTTGGAGCCCCCTAAAAGTGCTATAATGATGGAGAGTTTGCGCTTCATTCCTTCAGTCAGTGACTGTGAAAATGTATCACGTTTTTCTAGCAGGTTAAAAATAGACAGCATATGGTCGGTTTCTATAGGATACATCTTTTGAGGTATTCCTTTTATCTAGAAAGAGAAGTCAGAATTTACATGGTGCATCCAACATTATCCTTGAAAAGTTCTTAGAGCTTTTCTTACACAGCTATGTAGATATATGAAGTTTCTTACAACTATGTGCTTAGAAACAGTTTACACAAGCTTTTTTCTTACATTACTGAGAAAATAATGTTTTCTTTTCCTTGCCTACCTTTATGTCTAAAGCAGAGTTCCTAAAATTTGTTTTCATAATTTATAAACATGCCTGAAATTCATCAACAGAGGGAGTGAAAAAAAACTGTATTTCTGGCTTCCAGGAAAAATGGAGTAAACATACACACCCCTTTATCTTCCACTGAACTTAATTATTAAACCTGGAGAACTATGAAAAGTATGTATTAGCAGTTGGATCAGGAAGAACACCAGAATTCAGTGTATCACTGAATCAGTAGTGACTTTATCATTTTTCTCCTGTGTATCCCCTAGTCTGAAGTCAAAGCAATCCAAAGTTTGGAAGCAAGCACTATACTCCAAATGCAGTGAGATTTAGGAGAAACCTTCTAGTTTTGGCTTGAGGAGTAGAGAAGGGAACACTTTAAGTTCAGAGAGGGTGGTGGGCAGGGAATTCCATTTTTTTCTGTTTTCTTGTGCTTCAGCCCATGGAAGTCTTGTGCTGGAGATGGCAGCAAGAGTAGATAAGAATGGGAAGCCTGCAAGGGTCAAAACTCTGAGAGAGGAGACCTTATTTTCAGTTCAGTGGAACTGTGGCCGCAAGAGGACAGGGACAAACCTCATTGCTATTTACCACTCTTTCTGCCCTTGGATGTGGCACAGTTATGAAAGTGGGTGATTTATGGCTGGAGAAATGAGAAAGAAATCTTGGGAAACGAGAAAGTACTAGGTAGATAACAGGAGAAAGAAACAGGAAAGTGATATTATAAAGTTCATTATGAACTCGTGTACTTACTCCATCATTTATATGTACCAATCTAATCCTAATTAACATACCAAACTTTGAAAATTGTGCTACTGAGTAAATGTTGGCCCAGATGCAAGACTGATCAATGCATATTACATACATGGGAGAGATTGAAATAGCACTGCAAAGACTTTGAAAACTGAATTTGTAACCATAGGCCACAGGTAGGATATAAAGATGTAGAGTCTCAAGGTGTTCAGAACATCCAGGATAAATGAAAAGTTACTTGTCACACAAAGAAGCACAAAAATGTCAACTCATATAGGAAAAGACAACCAACAGACATCAATGACAAGATGACACAGATGTTGGAATTATGTGCCAAGGACTTTAATGTAATTATTACAAAAATGCTTGAGTGAGCATCTACAAATATTAACATAAAAAGTATCAATATATAGAAGATATAAAGAAGAAACAAATGGAAGTTTTAGAACTAAAAACCTCAATAACCAAAATAAAATGCTCAATTCACAAACTCAGTAGTAGAATAGAAATAACAGAGAAAAGGGTAGGTGAACTTAAAGACAGACAAATAGAAATTACCTAATCTGAACAAGAGAGAAAAATAATTGAAGAAAAGTGAACAAAGCCCAAGAGACTTTGGGGGACAATAACAAAAGGTTTAATATTCATGACATTGAGGTTCCAGAGGAAAAAAGAAAGAGTGCATGGCTAAAACAATATTTGTAGAAATAATGAGTGAAAAATTCTCGGGTTTGGAAAACAAAAAGCTGATTGAACCCCATCCACGATGAACCTAAAGAAACTTACTCCCAGACAAATCATGACCAAATTGCTCAAAAGTGAAGACAAAAATTTTGAGAGTACCCACAGAAAAATGAAGAATTACCTATTGGCAACAATGATTCAGATGACTGTGGATTTCTCATCAGAAACCATGGCATCCAAAAAGCAGCACAACAGTATTTTTAAAGTGCAGAAGGAAAAGAACTGTCAACCCAGATTTCTATGTCAAACAAAAATATCCTAGAGGAATGATGGTGAACTAAAGACACTTTCAGGTGAAGAAAACTAAGAGAATTCATAGACAACAGTACTGATCTATAAAAATCTGATAAAAAGTGTTCTTTGAACAGAAAAGAAATGACACAGAAGAAAACTTGGAAGAATATAAATGATAAAAGTATAACAGAAATGATAATATAGACTGTTATTGAGTTCTTTACACAGGTAGATGGTTATAAGCAATAAATATAACATCATCTGATGGGGTTTTCAATATATGTAGACGTAATATATAAAAACTACCACATAAAGGCTGGATGATAAAGAAGCTATAATGTGATGAAGTTTCTATATTCTAAATGAGGTTGGAAAATAATATTCTAAATGACCATAGAAAGCTATCTGTATTTTAAACCTTCAAAGCAATCACTGAAAATATATACAAGAAATACAGTAAAAATCATAATAGATTAATTAAAATATATTATTAAAAATGTTCAACAACCACAAAAGAAGGCTAAAAAGGGGAGAGAAAGGGAAAAAATAAAAAAAATAGAATGTGGCTTTACATCTAAATGTATCAAACATTTACATTAAATAGAAGCATTTTAAACACATCAATCAAAAGACAGAGATTGTCAGATTAGATTAAAAAACATAACCTACCTATACACTGTCTATAAGAAACTCACTTAAAATTTAATGATATAGGTAGGTTTAGTGTCAAATAAGTGAAGAAGATATACCATGCAAACACAAATCAAGAGAAAGCTAACATGGTTTTATTAATATTGGACAAAGTAGACTTCAGAGAAAAGAAAATTACCAGAGACAAAAGGGGACATTACATATTGATAAAAGAATTACTGCACAAAAACGACAAACAATCCTAAATGCACATACACCTAACTGTAGAACTTAAAATACAGAAAACAAAAATGAACAGAACTAAAATGAGAAACAGACAAATGTATGACTACAGTAGATTTCAATACTACTCACTCACAAACATAAATACTATACACAAATCAGTAAATATACAGAAGAACTAAACAACAACATTAAGTTCCTGAATCTAATTGACATTTATAGAAAATCCCCACCAAATGGCAGAATACACATCCTTCTCAAGTGCATATAGGACACAGAGCATATCCTGGGTCATAAAAAAAGCAACAACCTTAAAAGAATGGGAATCACACAAAGCATTGTCTCTGATCAAAATAGAATTAAACTAAACAGAAAAGAAAAAAACCAGAAATGTCGCTTGGACATTAAAGAACATACTTATAAAATGATCTGCAGGGCATAGAAGAAATCTCAAGGAAAATAGAAAATATTTTGACCTGAATAAAAAATGAAAATGCAACATATTACATAAAAATTTGTGGGATACAGCTAAAGGAGTGCTTGGGGGAAAATCACAGCAAAAAATGATTATATTAGAAAACCAAAATGCCTCAAATCAATTATTTAAGCTCTGATCTTAAGATGCTTAAAAACTTATGTTTGACATAAAAAACTATACAAGAAGTTCAGAGCAGGTTTATTCATAATCACCAAAAGCTAGAAACAACTCAAATGTCCTTAAATTGGTGTGCCATGGTACATCCAAACATGAACTACTACTTGGCAAGTAAAGGGAACAAGCTATCCACACACACAATAGCATTAATGAATTTCAAAGGCATTTGCTCAGTGAAAGAAACTAGTATCAAAATGTTACATATAATAGTATATGATTCCATTATATGACATTTTGAAATAGACAAAACTTATAGAAATGAATGATACACCAGTGGTTATCAGGGTAGGGAGAAGAGGGATAACAACAAAGGAATAGCATTAGGGAGCATTTTGGGATAATGAAACTGCTCTGTATCCTGACTGTGGTGCTGGTTAACTGCATTAAAATCCATAGATATGTATATCAAAAGAAAAAAAGTCAAATTTACTGTATAATTTTATAAAAAATATCTCCGACTCACCACAGAGTAGAAATAAAGGTGTTCTGATACAGTGAAGTCAGGAAATAGCAAGTCACGCTGTGGGCAGAAGCTCAAGGATTTTCGAATGTTAATTATGTCATTTGAAATATAATATCCATTAATACAGGCCTCTCCTCTGGTAGGAGGATACTGACCTAGAATAAGCAGAAGACATGACAGAAGCTAAGCTTTGGTGAGAGACCATGGAGACATACTGCAAATTAGTACCTTTAATTCATAGTCAGCTTGTGGATTACTCAAAAGAATTAGCACTATTTCCTGTAGAGAGAAATATCAACAGTTCCATCAGGGTGATGTAATTAGCTATCTTTAAATTTTCTCTTTTTTCCTTTTCTTTTCTTTTTCACTTATATATACTTCGTGCAATGGGTGTGGAGTATATTGGTAATAACAACATTTAAATAATTTGCTATATACCATTATATCAGCACTGTAATCAGACAGATACCATATTTGTGAATCACATCAGGTACTGTGCAGATGTTACAAAAATATAGAAATTTAAATATTAATAGTATATGATATGTATTACTAACAGCAACCAGTCCAGATTTTACGGGGAAATATTTGGTAATATGTGAAAAAGCAACTATAAAACCACTTAAACCCAATGACTCATTTATCCTACTTAAAAATACATATTCTTAAAAATATTTTTGAAAAGCATATTTAAAAATATTCACCAAAGTAGAAAACTATATTCAATCAAAGATGCCCATAAGACTATTTAGTTTGATAAAAGAAAAATGATTAACAAAAAGAAAATGACTAAGTTAAATACAACACATTAATATAAAAGACTACTATAACTAATACAAGATAGAAAATGGCCAATGAGAGAGAGATATCATTTACCAGACTGTCCTGGAGGGAAGGAAGGGTTTCAGATAATGGAGGGGGAGGAAGGACACAGCTCAGGTGTAGGTTAGAGGAAGAAGTACCAGAGCCTGCCAGGGACCTATGGAGGAAAACTGTGAAGCAGAGAAGGAAGAGGAAAGAGGAAAAAAAGATTATCAGTGAGGATCAAACCCAGAGAGGCATGGAGCCCAGTGAAAGGATAAGGAGGGGGGAAGGAATCCCTTTCCTTTTCCCACAATCATGTGATGATCAGGTGGGCTACCAAGCTACGTGGAAGCTTTTCTACCCCCACAAGTCCAAGCACTGTAGCAACCACAGAAGTGTGGGGAGGACTTGTATGATCCCAGAGCTTGGACATTCCATGCAGGGCTCCCCTCCAAGGAGAGTGACCTGAGAGGCTAGATAGCCAATTTTCTTCCATTCAGACTCTTATCTTACTCCGCCCCTCCCCCACCCACTGCAACTGAGAGTAGTCTGAGCAGAGAATTTGGCTAGCAGCTGCCTCTCTCCAGCTGGTGCGTCTTCCAGTCTGAGGTTTCCACAGAGTGGGGCCCAAGCCTTTCACCTTGAGGACCTGCAGTGGACCTGGGGTGCCGGATCTGGGAGCTCCCTGCCTGCCAACATTTCCCAGAGATGCACACCAGTGGGTCAGACAACCAGGCCGGACCTGTGCCCCTAGGACTTGAGTGCGTGGCTAGGGGAAAAGGGGGAGATTTGGCAGTTGGACTTGAGAGCCTAGGGAGCCCCTGTGGGCATAATTGACAGGAGAACACAGTGGGGGTCCAAGATTCAGTGACCTGGGGGTGTGGCTTTCCCCACAGGAAAGCTACACCCTCAGACTAGGGTAAGTACACTGGTGGGGAAGATCCCACCCTGTGGCACCACAGTAACCAAGTGCAGTGCGTTCAAGCACCAATTTGCAACCAGACACCGGAGAGCAGGGGTTATGCAAGAGAGGCAGAGCTCTCTCTTGACAGCCAGTCAGGGAATCATGACCCCTTACTCATGAGCAGTCAACTGGTTTGGAGAGCCTGCCTCTACCTTCTTCCCAGCAGCTCCACTTGGCAGTGGGGGGTGTGGGGTATGTGTGGGAGTGGGGGTGGGGGTGGAAAATGATCTTTGAGCTCTAAGCAAAGCCCTCTAGGCTGGCATAACATAACTGAGCCCAGCCTGGCTCCTCCACCCACCCCTGCTGTGGTGGAGAACAAGCAATCCCCTGGGAGCTACAGGGGCTCCTCCTAAAGCCTGGGCATCCAAGTGCTCCTCTTGAGGGACCAGAGCTTATCACAGGCACAAATGAACATCTCTATAGTTGGCTCTTTCCTGCAAGCAACAGCCACTGAAAGGAAGAACAACTCCACAGCTCATTATAGTATCTACCAACTCAAACAAACATGGGTTAGCTGATTCTTACAAGTATCACCCACAATGGGTCGGGGATTAATCTGGGCATCCCCATACAATTCACACTTATGGGAAGAGGTAAAGACAGCAGGATAGAAACAACCCGAGAGGACACTGCTTTTTCAGAGAGAATCAGAAGTTACAGGCACCTCAACCTGTGAGGGGTCTCCCTCTTCCTCTGCAGACCTCTGGGCTGATTGGGGAGCGGCTTAGAGCCTGTGTAGAGACATTTCACTGGAGAGCAGGTGCAGCAGAGAGCTGGTGCCTGCCAATCCCAGGTTTCTGCACTGATATCATCTTGAACACTCTGGCGCATGAAACCTGGCATGCTCAGGGCCAAATTGTATAGCAGTAGCCTTTGCATCACCCCCACCAGGCCAGAGTGGGAACAGATGTGCCCCCATGTTATACTCTGTGACTGGGAGCAGAGCATACCTCCTCCCTGCTGTGGGAGCTGAACAGCAGCTCTGGCCTATCTACATGGACCTCTGCACTGCTAAGACAAACCCCTGCCTGCATGACTGGGAATTAGCAGCTCCCATGCTGGTGGAACAACCCACCATATGGGCAGCTCTGCCTCTGAAGTCCCTAGAACCACCTCTGAAGCTCTCACTGTGCCCAAGTCTGAGGCTCTGCACCTGTAGCTACAGGGACCCCACCAAATCTATGACTCCACCCCCAAAACTCCAGAGTTGTGTCTGGACCTCAAGACTCTGCAACTGAGTACTGTCCACTACCACTGGGCCAGCAGAACCTCCTGGAGGTCCAAGATTTCACTCAGGCCCTTCAGGCTCAAGCAGCCAACAGGTACCCTGCAATCCTATTAACCCAGAGCTATGAGAAGAGGAGCCAGATGAGAAGGAACCAGAAAAAGAACCCTGGCAACATGAAAAAACAAATAGTTCAATACCCCCAAGGGAACACAATGGAACTACAGCAGTGGACTCCACCCACAAGGAAATTTTTGAAAAGACAGAAATGAAATGCAGAATAGGGATGGCAAATAAAATGACTGGAACTGAAGAAAAAAACTGAAAGCCAACAAAAAGATGCCACAAAATATTTCAGGAAATTAATGAAAATAATGAAAAAGTCACCAGAGTGCTATACAACATAAGAAAGGATATTATAGAACTTAAAGAAATGAAACTCATTTAGGGAATTTCAAAACACAGCAGAACGCTTTAACAACAGGCTAACCCAAGGAGAAGAAAGAATCTTGGAGCTTGAAGACAGGCTCTTGAGATAACCCAGTCATTCAAAGAGGTAGAAAAGAATATTAAAAAGTCCATGCAATCACTGAGAGAGATACGGGACTATGTGAAATGAACTACCATTTGAATTATAAGTATCCCTGAGGAAGAAGAAGAAAGAGCTAAAAGCATGGAAAAACTATTTGAGAAAATTACTGAGGTAAACTTCCCTGGTATACCCAGAAATTTAGACATACAGATAAAGACAGACATCAAACACCAGGAAGATTCATAACACAAGTTATCTCCAAGACACATAGTAATCAACCTGGCCAAAGTGAAAATGAAGGAGAAACTTCTACAAGCAGCAAGATGAAAGCATCAAATAACCTACATGGAAAATCCATCAGACTAAATGCAGACTTCTCAGTGGCAACTTTAGAAGCTAAAAGGGATTCTCCATCTTCAATGGGGCTCCATCCTCAATGAACTTAAAAAAAAACTGCCAGCCTAGAATTTTGTATCCTACAAAAGTAAGTTTCACAATCGATGGAGAAATTAAGTCTTTTTCAGACAAACACTGAGGGAATTTTCCATGACCAGAACTGCTCTGCATGAAATACTCAGAATAGCATTATACACAAATCAGCAAAACAAGTACCCACTGGTGTAAAATCACCTAAAAAAAACCCCTCAAACTTCATAATTCAAAACACTAGAACAAGATGGTAAAACAAAGCAATAAGAGACAATCCAAAAGGATGAACAGACCAACATCCCACCTATCAATGCTATCAGTTAAGGTAACAAACTAAATGCTCCTCTCAAAAGACATAGGCTGGCTGAATGGATGAAAAAGCATAATCCAAGTACCTGCTATCTTCAGGAAACACATGTAAACCACAAAGACACACACAGACTGAACGTGAAAGGATGGAAAAAATATTCCATGCAAATGGAAGTCAAAATAGAGCAAGTGTAGCCACTCTCGTATCAGATAAAATTGATTTTAAGCCAGCAAATGTAAAGAAAGACAAAGATGGTCATTATATAATGGCAAAGGGACCAATTCAACAAGAAGACAAAAAAATTCTAAATATATATGAGCCCAACATAGGAGCTCCTAGATATATAATGCAAATTTTACTACAGCTAAGCAAAGAAATAGATAGCACCATTGTAATTGCCAGAGACCTCAACAATCCAGTCTCAGAGCTAGACAAATCATCAAAGCAGAAAATAATGAACTAAAACCAAACTCTAAATCAAATGGACCTAATAGACATGCACAGAACATTCTACCCCAAAACTATAGAATACACATTCTTTTCAGCAGCTCATAGGACATTCTCCAAGACTGATATCTCAGGTCACATAACAGGTCTCAACAAATCCAAAAAAAATCAAAATCATACCATGTACTTTTCTCAGACCACAATGGAATAAAACTAGAAATCAATCACAACGGAAAGACTCAAATGTACACAAAGTCATGGAAATTAAACAACCTGTTGCTCAATGACTATTGGGTCAAGAATGAAATTAACGTGGAAATAAAAAAAAAATTTTAAACTGAATGACAGAGTGGACACAAGCTGTCAAAATCTACAGAACAAAGCAAAAACACTCCTCAGGGAAATATTCATAGCCTTAAATGTGCACATCAAAAAGACAGAAAGATCACAAATTAACAACCCAATGTCATACCCCAACGAACTAGAAAAGAAAGAATAAACCAAACCCAAAGCCAACAGAAGAAAATAAATAATGAAGGTCAGAGCAGAGGTAACTGAATTGGAGAACAACAACAAAAATACAAAATATTGATGAAACAAAAAGTTGGTTCTTTGAAAAAATAAATAAAATCAACAGACCTCTTGCTAGATTAATGAAGAACAGAAAAGACCCAAATAAGCTCAATCAGAAACAAAAAAGGTGCCATTACAACTGATACCACAGAAATACAAAACATCATCCATAAATACTACATAAATTCCTACGCACATAGAACGTAGAGGGAATGGTTAAGTTCCTGGAAACACAAAACCTCCCAAGATCCAATCAGGAGAAAACAGAACTCCTTAACAGACCAATAATGATCAATGAGATCCAAACAGTAATAAAAAACCTTCCAATTAAAATAAAAAAGCCCTGGACCAGATGGATTCACAGCTGAATTCTATCAGACCTACAAACAGGTCCTGGAACCCTAGGTACAGAAATTATTCCATAATACTGAGAAGGTGGGAATCCTTCCCAACTCATTCTATGAAGCCAGTATCACCTTAATACCAGAACCAGGAAAGGGCACAGCAACAATAGCAACAACAACAACAACAACAACAAAAACTACAGACCAATATCCCTCATGAATATAGATGCAAAAACCCTCAATAAAATACTAGCAAACTGAATTCAACAGCACATCAAAAAAAAAAAAAAAATCCACCATGACCAAGTGGGCTTAATTCCAGGGATGCAAGGATAGCTGAACATACATAAATAAATGAATGTGATTTACCACATAAACAAAAGCAAAAACAAAGACCATATAATCTTCCAAATAGATGCAGAAAAAGCATTCAACAAAATCCAGCACCCTTTCATGATAAAAACCCTCAACAAACTAGCACATAAAGAACAGATTTAAGAATTATAAAAACATGTATGACAAAACTACAGCTAAAATCACATTGAATTGGGAAAAGTTGAAAGCATTCCCCCTAAGAACTGGAACATAACAAGGATGCCCATTGTCTCCAATTTTATTCAATATAGTGCTGGAAGTCCTATCCAGAGCAATCAGGCAAGAGAAAGAAAGAATTGGTATTCAGATCGGGAAAGAGGAGGTCAAACTATCACTCTTCGATGATGATATGATCTTTTAAGTATTATACCCCAAAGATTCCAGAAAGAGTCTCCAGGAATTGATAAATTCAGCAAAGTATCAGGATATAAAATCAATGTACATAAATCAGTAGCTTTTCTACAGTCAAGCTGAGAGTCAAATCAAATACTCAATACCATTCACAATAGCTATAAAGAAAATAAAATATCTAGGAATATGCTCAACCAAGGAGGTAAAAGATCTCTACAAGGAGAACTATGAAACTCTTAGGAAAGAAATAGCAGAGGATACAAACAAATGGAAAAAACATATCATGCTCATAGATAGGTATAATAAACATTGTTAAAATGTCCCAAACACCCAAAGTGCTTTAAAATTCAATGTCATCCCCATCAAATTACCAACATCAAACTTCACAGATATAGAAAAAATAATTCTATGCTCCTTCTTGAACCAGAAAAGAGCCAAAAGGCCAAAGCCATTATAAACAAAAAGAACAAATCTGGAGACATCACATTCCCAGACTTCAAACTATAGTACAAGGCTATAGTAACCAAAACAGAGATAAAGACCAGTGGAACAGAACAGAGAACCCAGATATAAAACCATCTACCTACAACCAACTGATCTTTGACAAAGCAGACAACAATGTCCACTGGGGAAAAGATGTATTCAATAAATGGTGCTAGCAAAATTGGATAGCCACATGTAGAAGAATGAAACAGGATCCATCTCACCACACACAAAAATTAATTCAATGTTGATAAAAGACTTAGATCTAAGGCATGAAACCATAAAAATTCTAGAATAAAATGTAGTAAATGTAGTAAAAACTCTTCTAGATATCGGCCTAGGCAAAGAATTTATGACTAAGACCCCAATGGCAATCATCGCAATAACAAAAATTAATAAATGGGATTTGATTAAACTAAAAAGCTTCTCCATAGGTAAAGAAATAGTCAACAGAGCTAATAGCCTACAAAATGGGAGAAAATATTTGCAAGCTATAATCTGATAAAGGGCTAATATCCAGAATTTACAAAGAACTCAAGCAAATCAGCAAGAAAAAACCAAACAGCCCCATTAAAAAGTGGGCAAAAGACATGAACAGAAGCTTCTCAAAAGAAGAAATACAAATGGTCAATAAATATATGAAAAAATGCTCAACATCAGTAATCATCAGGGAAATTCAAATTAAAACCACAATGAGATATCCCCTTACCCCAGTTAGAATGGCTTTTATCAAAAAGTCCAAAACAACAGATGCTGTTGTGGATGCAGAGAGAAATGAATACTTATACACTGTCGGCCGAACTGCAAATCAGTACAACCTCTATGGAAAACAGTATGGAGATTCCTCAAAGAACTAAAAGTGAACTACCATTTGATCCAGGGATCCTACTGGGTATCTACCCAAATGAAAGGTATACATTTCATCAAAAAGACACCAGCACCTGAATGTTTATTGCTACACAATTCCCAACTGCAAAGATGTAGAATCAAGCCAAGTGCCCATCAGTTCATGAGTGGATTAAATTTAAAAATGTGGTATACACTAACAGATGCAGTGCTTGCTGTCTGGGAGATGGACATGCTTATAGCTCTGACGTGGGTGGTGCAAAGGTAATTTATGCAACCAAAGCATTCTGAAATAAAAAAATATATATAAAAAAACAAACCTTAAAAAATGTGGCATATACATACATATCATGGTGAATGTAGGAAAAACCCTTCCATGGCTTTCTATTGGTCTCAGCATAAATTATGTTTATAGCAAGGTTTTACCAAATCCTTTTATTATTTCACTTTTTCATTATTCATCCAGCTTTATCCTTTGACATTATGTATATTTCTTCTCTGATGTAGTTGTATAGGTGTTCCCTGATTTCAACTGTCTTAGTCTTTGCTTATCTCTGTAATATTCTTCTTTCCTTCCTTTCATAGGCCTTAATTCCTCCTAATCTCCTCATATTTGATGTCCATTCCCTCTTCCTCACCCCCAAGATATGATTATCAGGTATAATTTTACTGGGTGAATAGCACTCTCTATATAACATCTCTCTTCTTATGGTGTATTGTAAGTTCCACATTTCTTGTCAGTATCCCCACTAGAGTATAAAATTGAGAGTAATGACTTTATATAATCACCACTGTATTGTCAATTCTTATAAAAATATCTGGAATATAAATATTTTGATTGAATAAATGAATGCATTTTTAAAATCATCTAGAACAGGCATCCTCAAACTACAGCCTGTGGGCCACATGCCACCCACCGAGGACATTTATCCGGCCCGCCAGGTGTTTTTGCTGCCACTGCCCGTCCTGCTTAGCAGCCGACTCGTCCTGGTCCCACAGTGCACACTCTCCAACAGTCTAAGGAACAGAGAACTGGCCCCCTTTTTAAAAAGTTTGAGGACCCCGGATCTAGAACATTTTTGTGGTAAATACCTGAAATTATAATAATAATTACAATTTTAGTTACCACTGAAATGACAACATATTCACTACCCAAACTCACTGATTGGTTTCCAGTAATTAAAGGAACCTGATATTTGCTCTGTTTAGAGAGGAAAACATACCTGTGAGAATATTCAAAGTTGTGGTCTTTCCTGCCCCATCATGTCCCAGAAGAATAGTGATCTGCCCCTCATATATATTCAAAGACAAGTTGTTTACTAATGTTTTTTGTCTGAATTCCTGTGGGATATAAGAAAGAATACTTTTATGTCACTATCCCTTATGAAAGGCAAATAGTCATACTGTTTGAAGAAACAACACTATATCATCAAATTCATGTTTGTCAATAATAGATGATGTGAACTAGGAACAATATTTTTAGGTACTTAAGTTTGTATATCAGTTCAAATAAATGTGAAGGTGCAGTCATTTAGCATATTTATCTACTTTTGATGAGGAAAACAGAGACCTCTCTATATTCTATGTATGAAGGGTTTAATATAATAATTATTATCTTTCTCAACTTTAGCAAGAGATGGGGGTTAATAGCCATGGCTAGAGCACCTGGGGAGAGCTAGGAACACAGAAAGGAGTAGGGGCTCTAAGTAATTGACATCGGCAATATCTGTGGTAACCCTGTGATCCCTGCCAGTGGCTCCACCTTACTGTGGAGCCCAGGCAGTGGCACCCATTAGACTGCTAAAACAAGTTAATCCTCCCACTCAACTTTAGATTTCCTCTAGCTGATCCTACCAGCTAGATAAACACAGAACATCAAAATACTATAATGGTGGCACACAAATCAATTTTATTCCTAGCATAAAAGTTAAAAGACTAATGTATTAAGAATAACTAAAACCACAGAAACTTGTTAATGAATATGCAATATAAATAGATAAACTCTGACATCAAACATAAAGTGTGTGTATAGGGGGGTAGAAATGTAGAGCCTTTGTATATTATTGAAGTTATATGTATATGATTGAAGTTATTTGTATCAGCTTAAATTATATTGCTATCAGAAGTTCAATACAAGCCTCACAGTAATCACAAAGAAAAAACATATAGCATATTCAAAAAAGACAAAGAAAAAAAAGAATCAAAGCATATCACTTACAAAAGCATCACTAAACCACAAAGACAGACAGCAAGAGAAGAAAATTGGAATATGAGAACCATAAAACAGAAAGAAAACGATTAACAGGATGGTAATAGTAAGTTCTTGCCAGTAATTACTTTAAATGTAGTAATAAATGAATTAAAATCATCAATCAAAAAGCTAGAATGGCTGTTTAGATGTACAAAACACCACCCAACCACATATTATCTATAAGGCACTTACTTTGGATTTAAGGACACACATAGGCTGAAAGTAAAGGAACGGAAAAATATTCCATGCAAATGGTAACCAAAAGAGAGCAGTGGTGGATATACGTAAATCAGACAAAATAGGCTTTAAGTTAAAACTGTCACAAGATACAAGGAAGGACATTTAAAAATAATAAAATGCTCAAACTACCCCCAAACATGTAACAATTATAAATATATATTCACCCACCATAAAAGTACCTATATATAAAGCTAACATTGACAGATCTGAAGAAAGAAATGGATAGCAATACAATAATAGTAGGAGACAATTAGTACCCCATTTTCAATAACTGATAGATCATCATAACGGAAAATCAATAAAGAAACAACAGGGTATATACATACATAATGAGTCCAATGAACATCGTCTGGGGGATGGACACGCTTGAAGCTCTGACTCGGGAGTGGGGGCAAGGGCAATATACATAACCTAAACATTTATACCCCCATAATATGCTGAAATAAAAAAAAACAATAGACTTGAATAACATCATAGATCAAATGGACTTATTCTTCTCAAGTGCACACGGAACATTCTCTAGGGTAGATCACATGTTATGACACAAAACAAATATTAACATATTTAAGAAGATGGAAATAATTACAAGTACCTTTGATACCCAAATGGAATAAAACTAGAATTCAATAACAAAAGAAATTGGGAAAACTCATAAATGCATGGGAATTAAACAACGACTGTTGAATAATCTTTGGTGAAAAAAGACACCAAAAGGAAAATTATAAAATTTCTCAAGACAAATTGAATAAAAACAACAAACCCAAACCTATGGGATATATTTAATAGCAGAGGCAGTATTAAGATGATGTTTCTAGCAAGAAATACCCACATTCAAAAGGAAGAAAAATTCCAAATAGACAATCTAACTTCACACTCAAGGAACTAAAAAGGAAAAGCAAATTGAGCCCAAAGTTAGCAGAATGAAGGAAATGAAGATGTGAGCATAAATAAACAAAAAAATAAGAAAACAATAAAAAAAAATAAGATCTGATGTTTGTAAAAATAAACAAAATTTCCTAACCCTTAGCTAGAGTAACTAAGATAAAAAAGAGATTCAAATAAATAAAATCAGGAATGAAAGAGAAAAATATCAACTGATGCCACAGAAATAAAAAATATCATAGAAAACTATTATAAATGATTTATATGACAAAACTTGAACATTAGAATAAATGGATAAATTCCTAGAAACATGCAAGCTATCAAGACTGAATCAAAAAGAAACAGAAAGACTAAAGAGACTAACAAGGAGATTAACTCATAATTAAAAATCTCCCAACAAAAAAAAGTCCAGGACTAGATGGCCTTCAGATGAATTCTACCAAAAATTTAAAGAAAGATTAATACCAGTCCTTCCCAAAGGCTTTTGAAAAACAGAAGAAGATGAAACACTTCCAACTCATTTTACAAGGGCAGCATCATCCTGCCACCAAAGACAAAGACACCACCAGTAGAGAAAGCTACTGGTCAATATCCTTGATGAAAATGGACTAAAAAATCCTGAGCAAAATAATAGCAAAATAACATTCAATAGCACATTAAAAGATTCATACACTATGACCAAGTGGAATTTACTCCTGGGATGCAGAGATAGTTATATTGAATGTTGATGCAAAACAATAAATGTGATACATCATATTAACAGAATGAAGGACAAAAAGCACATGAGCATACCAATTCAACACCCTCTCATGATAGCAACTGTTAACAACAAATTAGTTATAGAAGGAACTTAACACAATAAATGCCATTTATGAAAAGCCTAGACTATCACAGGTTTTTGATAAATATTTCATAAATATCATGAAATAGTATAAATATTGATAAATATCATGAACAGCTAATATCATACTCAGTGCTGAAAACTTTTCCTCTAAGATTTGGAACAAGACAAGGATGCTTACTCTTGCTACTTCCATTGAACATAGTACTGAAAGTACTAGCCAAAGCAATTAGATAAGAAAAAGAAATAAAAAGCATCCAAATCAAAAGAGAAGAAGCAAAATTGTCTGTTTGCAGATGATATGGTTTTATATGTAAATTAAAGCAGAGACAAATAAATGGGAAAACATCCAGAGTTTATGGCTTGGAAGAATTAATATTATTAAAATACCCATACTACCTAAAGTGGTCTACAGATTTAATGCAATCCCTTTTAAAATCCCAAAGATTTTTTTTTTTACAGAAACAGAAAAAACAATCCTAAAATTAATAGGGAACCACAAAAGACCCTGACCAGCCAAAGCAATTTTGAGCAAGAGCAAAAGCTAGAGTTATCACACTTTCTAATTTCCAAATATATTACAAAGCTACAGTGAAAAAAGCTATAATACATACCAAAACAGCATGGTACTAGCATAAAAATAGATATATAGGCCAATGGAACAGAATAGAGAAGGCAAAATAAACCCACACATACCCAGTCAATTGATTTTGGACAAGGGTGCCAAGAATACATAAAAGAGGAAAGGATAGTTTCTTCAATAAATGATGATGGAGCTGAGAGTCCATTGAGGCCAAGAGAAATAGAATTCACAGGACAGAATATTAAAGAGGAAACAGCTGTATATAGAGAGGACTCTGGAGATCTAAAATAGGTCCCTCTAAAACAGGGGTCCTCAAACTTTTTAAACAAGGTGTCAGTTCACTATCCCTCAGACCATTGGAAAGTGTGCACTGTGAGCCCGGGATGAGTCAGCTGCTAAGCATGACAGGCAAGGGCGGCAATAACACCCAGTGGGCTGAATAAATGTCCTTGGCGGGTGGCATGTGGCCCACGGGCCGTAGTTTGAGGACACCTGCTCTAAAATATTCAGATAAGAATTGATATTATATTCTTGTGAGGAAATTGAATTATATTCTTGTGAGGAAACTATTATTACTTAAGGTTGGAGAAAGAACCACTGAAGTAGAGGCAACGGTCTCTGGTACTCACATAGGGCCAGGAAGGATGCTTGTTCTCACTAGCCAGACTAGAAAATTTCCAGGTTAATAGGGCATTGGGTAGATTACATAAATGGGTCTTGCCTCAATAGTGGGGAATAAGCAAAACAGACATGAGAGACTCAAATTACTTCTAAATAATTTAATTGCTTCAAAAAATAAAGATTAAAAATATTTAATGGAATATAAAAATGTCCATTATCAAAAAGGGTAATAACATGTCAGTACCTGCCATCTAATAAAAATTACCAGACATGTAAAGAAACAGGAAAATGTGACCCATAATAAGGAAATAAATCAACTGAAATCAACCTAGAACTAAAGCACATCCTAGAATGAGCACAGACAGTAAAATGATTATTATAAGTATCTTCCATATGTTCAAAAAAGTTAAGACATGGAGATAATTTTTAAAAAGAATTTTAGAGATAAAAACTGTAATTTCTAAAATGAAAATACACTGGATGGGACTGACAACAGCTTAGACATTACAAAAGAAAATATGGTTAACTTTCAGATACAGCAACAGAAACAATAGAAAACAAAATGCAGAAAAGAGTAACCAAAAAAACAAAGTAACAGCAAGCTGTGATACAACTTCTAGTTGAATAATAAAGATGTAGCTGCAGTCCCTGAAGTGGTGTGACATAAAAATAACTGAACAAATAATGGGCAAATATTTTCCAATTTTGATGAAAATGATAAAATACAGATTCAATAGACTCAAAGGACAAAAAAATACACCCAAGGAAAATAATAATCAAATAGCATAATACCAATGATAAAGAAATATCTTCAGAGGTGTCAGAAAAAAAAGAATGATGTATGTAGGGGGAAAAAGGATAAGAATTAAAGCAGATATTTAATCAGAAACAATGCATGTGAATAATGCAGCAAGATCTTTGACACATTAACTGCCATATAAGTTGTATTTAACTCACACACTAGTGTTGAGCGCGGGGCCTTGTAAAGCATAAGTAACTCACACATCTCTTTACCTTGGGAACTGTGTGAACTATTTTTCAAGTTGCGTATAACTCATGCACAGAAAACAATAAAAACTAACAAATTTTTCATTAAATTAGAAAGGATCATTTTGTTTTCAACATTTTCATTCTATTGTTATAATAAAACATTGCGGCACCAAGGAAAAAATTGTTTTCTAGTGTGGCAATCAATGTGTTAACCTGAAATTATATACCCAGTAAAAACAGCTTTCAGAAACAAAGATGAAATATGACTGCTGCAGACATAGAAAAGTTGAAAAAGTTCATGACCAGTCAACTAGTAGTGTTATCCTTCTTACCCACATCCAAATATTACTTTTCTTATCCAGTTTATTTTCTTCACATAAATTATTACAAAATCAAATATCACTGGATGCCAAGACAGAGGAGATTCAAAGTAACGCATAATATATGAAGCACATAAGATAATGTTTGTAAAGATATATGTGTGTGTGTGTGTGTGTGTGTGTGTGTGTGTAGCTATAGATATATACAGATTTATACCGACAGACAAGCTCTGTTTCTTAAAGTAGAACTATGTTGATTATGACTCTTAAGCAACACATTTGTTTTCTTGGGATGGCCAGTCACAAACAATTCCAATGTACAGTATAAAGCTTTCAGTTCCTGCAGGAAAAAGAGACCTCTGAAACAATACCTTGTGCAAATGTTTGATCTGGATACCTGCCACCAATTTAGTAGGTTCATCCTCAAAATAACTTTCAGTGCTGCTACTGGCTTCGATTTCTTCTTCATTCTTTGTAATTCTTGGTTCGCCAAACCAGTATGAACGCTACAAAGAAAGCCAAATGTAATTATCAAAATAAAGATTAAGAAATGAAGCATTCTCTAAATAACATAAGCAAAAGACCAACAAAGCCCATGAAATAGTCTCAACATGATTAGTCATCAGGGAAATGCAAATAAAGCACAATGAAATATCACTTAATACCAATGAGAATGGCTAAAACAAAAGCAAAAAGGAAAATAACAAGTGTTGGTAAAAATATGGAGAAATTATAACCTTGAGAGTTCTAATTTCTTGTAGGAGTCTAAAATGGTGCAGCCACTGTGGAAAACAGTTTGATGGTTCCTCCAAATATTAATTTGAATTACACAGAATTACATAGAATATTACATAGAATTATCATATGAACTGTCTGTTCCTTTTCTAGCTATATGCCCAAAAGAATTGAAAACAGGTATTCAAACAGATACTTAACACTAATATTCATAGCAGCATTATTCACAATAGTCAAAAGATAGAAACAACATATAAAACCACCAATGGTTACAAGGATAAAGGAATTGTTTTATAAACATATAATGGAATATGATTAAACCATAAAAAGGAATGAATACTGATGCATGCTACAACATGGATAAACCTCAAAAACATTATGCTAAGTAAAAGAAGCAAACAGAAATAGTCATTATATTATTGAATTTTTATGAAATATCAAGATAGGTAAATACAAAAAAAAATAATCCCGATTAGTGGTTGCCAGGGCCCTGGAATAAGGAAAAGTGGAGAGTGACTCTTTCATGGGTCAGCATTTTATTTTTGGGTGATGGAAATATTTTGGAACTAGATAGAGATGATGGGTACACATCATCTATGTGCACTGTGAATGTGCTAAATGTCACTGAGTTTGTTCACTTTAAAATGGTTAACTTTGTTATGTGAATTTTACTTCAATTAAAAAATTGTAATGTGATAAAGAAATAAGGCCTTCTAAGAACCTGAAAATATTTTGGCTTGGTTTACTTGTGAGATGCAGAAAGTTACAGTATACTCTCAGGGATATTTTGTACCAAAAATTATCTAGGATTTGAATCGCCAGCCTTTAGAAACAAAACTATTAAAATTCAATGTTCAAGAAGTAGAGACAAAGTGAAATTACCCAAAACAGAGGTCATGGCCAATGCCTTGTATTACATTTGCTCATAATATCTTCTTTGTACCATACATGATACAGTAATTTTAAGAGGCAGATGCTCTCCTATTCCAAGTAAAGTGGTTTGACCATTGAAAGCAAGTGATGAAAACTAATACATAGGAAACTAATACATTAGGAAATACCTAATCCTCTCCTCATTAGGATCTAAGAAACCATCACATTAATTTAGATGTAAATTCCTTTTGAAGAATTTTAGGTTTCTTTACCCTCCAATATTGTCCACTATGTACCATTTGGCTGTAGAAGGGTTATAATACTCACAATTTTTAATGTAGGGATTTCAGTGTCTTATCCATAGATGTTGTACATCTGCATATGCAGAAGGCTTTCGAGTGTATCGAGAAATGGCTAGCATTTTAATATAAATGGATTCTGCACCTGATCTTTGATTTGATCATAAATATTATGAAACAAGTTCATAAGGATTATAGCCTTTTGCAATAACAGCAGTATTAAAACTCACCATGAGGAAAAAGTACCATGGTTGGGGCATACCAAACTGCCCTGGAAAGACACATTCTATATACCAGGTAGCTAAGCCATACAAGAAAGCATCAAGTAAAAGCATTCCCAACAAATAGCCAAAGATGAGGTTATCTCCAAGAGTGGCTGGTGTCCAAAGGTTATTCCATTTAACACCAACACCTGAAATAAAAAGGAGATATTTACCATAAATGAAAGCTCTGTGATTTAAATAGTAAAGAAAAAAGACTGATACTCTAAATATTGCCGCTGTGAATTGTGAACTATCTATCTGCTGATACCCTTAGTATTTAGGTCATCTAAGAAAGTGATAAAATATATAATGACATTGAGTTTCTCCATCCTCCCTTCAAAACCTTCAAAAATAAATAGGAATGACTCAGACAAAATAAATGACTAAAACAAAAATAAACAATAACAAAAGAATCAGGAAAAAAATTAGACCTATTAGATCCTATTCCAGTGTTCCTCCTCTCATGCTAAATTCTCATTGAAATAACTATAAGGATGTACAAATTTGGAAAAATATTCAGTATCACTAGGATGGATACTGACTACTGAGCAGAAGAAAAAAAGTAGTTTTGCTTAGGTCTAGTACTGATGAGAAGGGAAAAATGAAGTCACCAAAAAAAAAAAAACAAGGAATTCTTTCCTCATCTATCTCCTCTATCTTTAGACAGGGCAGCACAACTGGAAAAGCATTAGGGCTTTCAGGAAACCCATAATTTAAAGAAGCAAGACATGAAGATGACAATGGCCCATGAAACTTGTCTGCCCTTTAACTTTAGCCTTTATTGTCTGTAGATCAGCACCTTGGGAAGGACATTTATGAGCATTGTATTTTTTTTTTTTTTTTGAGACATAGTCTCACTCTGTTGCCCGGGCTAGAGTGTCATGGCATCAGCCTAGCTCACAGCAACCTCAAACTCCTGGGCTCAAGCAATCCTTCAGCCTCAGCCTCCCTAGTAGCTGGGACTACAGGCATGCAACACCATGCCTGGCTAATTTTTTCTATATATTTTTAGTAGGCCAATTAATTTCTTTCTATTTTTAGTAGAGATGGGGTCTCACTCTTGCTCAGGCTGGTTTCGAACTCCTGACCTTGAGTGATCCTCCTGCCTCAGCCTCCCTAGAGTGTTAGGATTACAGGTGTCAGCCATCGTGCCCGGCCTGAGCATTGTACTTTTTAGAAAGCTAAAAGAAAAGGTAATAATCTGAGAAAAAAAAGTATTTATTGGATTAAAAATGACTATCAAAATGAAAGCCATTTTGAGAGGCAGTGAACAGCAAATTAGAAACCACAGAAAAAAGAAGGCGGGATACAGACTTCAGGAAATCTCCCATTACTTGAAAAATTCTCCTACCCTAAACACAACAGGAGTTTCTGAAAGGAAAAGAAAACATAGAAAGAATCACTAAATAATGTAAAAGACACAAACCTGATTTTTAAAACTCAATTAGAAAACTGAGAGTGTATGTCCTATTCCAGATTAAACCAATGAAAATCCCATATACAGATAAATTAACCCACGCATAGATTTTTACACTTGATCTTAGCCAAAAGGCCGAGAAGCGATCCACGCATAGATTTTTAATGCTTCATGTATAAAGAATTATTCAAGGATCTATAAATAAATCATATATATATATATTCTGATTAGCTATTCACTGGGCATAGATTTTTATTCACAGACAAGAAAATTATGTACTCTCAATCCTCCCCATTATTCAATAAATGCAATAAAATTTCTAATAAATCCCAATATGATTTTTCATAGAACTTGACAAAGTAATCCTAAAATTCAAGTGGAAAACAAAGTACCAAGAATAAATGAAAGATTAAAGGCCAGATATTACAATGGCTCAAGAGAGAAATCAAAGCAACAACATCCAACCCAACAGAATGAACAGTAATCTACCTTACCTATCAGTTCTCTCAATACGAATGGCTTAAACTCTCCACTCAACAGACACAGGCTAGCTGAATGGATAAGAAAATACAGGCCACGTATATGGTCTTCTTCAGGGAAACACATCAACCGGAGAAGGATGCTATACAGGGACTAAAAGTAGCAAGGGTGGAGATCAGTATTCCAAGCAATGGCAAGCCAAAAGAGGCTGGCATGGCAGTTCTAATTTGCCAGATGATTTAGTTTTAACCAACGAATAGTAGTGAAAGACAAAAGAGGGTCATATATATTAATGGTGAAAGGGCACTATTCAAAAAGAAGGATAACAATTTTAAATGTATATGCGACCCAACTTCTAGGCACCCAGATTCATAAAGCAACCTCGGGTGTGATCCCTAAGGCAAATGGGGATGTAAATAGCAGACGCCATCAACCACTGGAGATTTCAACACTCCGGACGGCACAAAAGACCCTCCAACACGAAAATGTAACTGCACAACGAAATAAGGCTTATACAACCACCTATAGAACAGCATTGGGTTGCGACTGACAATTTACAGGACATTTTACCCAAAAACCACCTGAATATACGTTCTTCTCTATCAGCTCACAGGAATTCTCTGTAAGAATGACCTATCCTAGACAAAGATAAACCTGGTTAAGAAAATTTTAAAAAAATAGAACATCATACGCATGTATGCTTCTGTGCACATCACAGTGGAATAAACACCGTAGACAAATCAACCCTAACAGAAACTCACATTTCTACACAAAAACATGTGACAATTTAAAAACCTCCCGTACTAAATGATTACGTCAATAAATGAAAGAAATCAAGATGGAAATAAAAAATTATATGAGAACAATGACCAATGGAGGAGCACAAGTTATCAATCCTCTGGGACACAGCTAAAGCTGAGAGGGAAAGTTTATCTCCATAAATGCCTATAACCAAAAGTCAAAGAGATCACAAATAGACACTATCTATGAAACGACTCAAAGAGCTGCAAAAAGACAGAACAGGACCACCCAAACCCAGCAGAAGGGTGAAATCAACAAGATCAAATCAGAACTAAACGAAATTGAAAACAGGGAAGCTATTCAGGAGATTAATAAAACAAAAAGTTGGTTCTTTGAAAAAATAAACAAAATTGACACTCCAATGGCTAAACAAAGCCAGAAAGAAGATCTCTAATAAGCTCCATCAGGAACAAAAAAGGAGATCACAACTGATCCCACAGAGATACAAGATACAATTTCATGAATACACAAAAATCTTTTATGCACCACAAACTGGAAACGTGGAGGAAATGGACAAATTTCTAGAAACACACAGCCTCCCCTAGGCTCAACCAGGAAGAAATAGATTCCCTGAACAGACCAATCTCAAGAGCTGAAATAGAAACAGCAATTAAAAATCTCCCTAAATCACATATAAAAATTTAGTGTGCAATAAAGACAACACCTCAAATAGCAGAAGAAATGTTTTATGGGCAGTATTGGGCAACTTCATCACCTATGAAAAGATGAAGTTGGATCCACTTCTCACACTATATATGAGAATAAATTTCAAGCTATTGAGAAATATAAAAAACCAACCAAGCAACAAGTATAAGAAGAAAATATGGAGAGTTCAGCTGTAACATAGAGAATTGCCTCCACTATATAAAACATGAAACACCATTGCAGGGCAAAACGCTGCACGCAAAGTAAAATGACACATGATGAGCAGGGAGATATCCATGGCTTGTCACAGATTAGGAGTAATTATCCTTCATATATAGACACCTCTGTATGTATTTTAAATCTTAAAGAAAAAGACCAAATCCACTTAGAAAAATGAGCTGGAGCTATGGACACAGAAAATAAATGCAAATCACCACTAATCCTGGGAAATGATGTCCAACCATTCTCATAAGAGCAGAAATGAGAATTAAACCTGTCCCTTTCTAGGCAGAGCCCGGCGGGGTGGAGTGAGCACGCATTCCCCACATGCCCACAGGTGCTGTGCAGATCCACCCCAGCACTCACCGCAGCCACTGAGGGTGGAGTCTCATAAGATAATGTTGCAAATGTCCAGAATACAATCTAAAACTGCACAGCAAACCAAGCACCAGGAAAAAACTTGACTAACAAATGAAAATAATAAGCATAAGCTAAACCCAGGAAGAACCAGCTTCGGAATTATCAGAGAAACACTTCAAGGCAGCACTTGTGATTGTGCTCAGAGAAGGAAGGTGAACACATGAAATGAGCAGGAAGAGTGTGTGTCAACAAAGAAGAAGAGGTGTAAAGGACAAACTGGGGGGAGGCATCAGTCTGTCACACTTTGAGCTATACTACAAGGTAATAGTAACCAAAACAGCATAGTACTGGCACAAGAACAGAGACACAGAGCTTTGGAACAGGACGGAGATCCCAGATATAAAATCATCCTCATATTGTTGTCTGATCTTTGACAAAGCAGATAGAAGTATACACTGGGGAAAAGAATCCCTATTCAATAAGTTGTGCTGGGAAAACTGGATAGCTACATGATTGAAACTGGATCCTCACCTCTCACAAAAATCAACTCACAATGGATACCAGACTTAAACCTAAGGTGTGAAACCTTAAGAATTCCGGAAGTAAATGTTGAGAAGACTCTTTTAGACATTGGCCCAGGTAAAGAATTCATGAAGAAGACCCCAAAGGCAATCACAACAGCAACAAAAAATAAACAAATGGGACCTAATCAAATTAAAAAGCTTCTGCACAGCCAAGGAAACTAACATAGCAGTGAACAGGCAACCTACAGAATGGGAGAAAATATTTGCATGCTACACATCCAATAATGGGTTGATATCAATAATCTATATAGAACTTGAGAAAAGCAACAAGAAAAAAATCAAACAACCCCATCAATAAATGGGCAAAGGACATGGACAGAAACTTTTCAAAAGAAGACAGACTAATGGCCAGCAAACATATAAAAAAGTGCTCAATATCTTTAATCATTAGGGAAATGCAAATTAAAACTACAATGAGATACCACGTAACCCCAGTGAGAATGGCCTCTATCAAAAAGTCCCAAAACAACAAATGGTGACGAGGATGTGGAGAGATAGGAACACTCTCACACTGCTGGTGGGACTGCAAATTGGTATAACCCCTATGAAAAGTAATTTGGAGATACCTTAAGGAGCTAAAAGTAAAAATACCATTTGATCTAGTGATCCCACTACTTGGCATCTACCCAAAGAAACAAAAGACATTCTATAATAAAGACATCTGCACTGGAATGTTTATAGCAGCACAATTCATAATTGCAAAGATGTGGAAACAACCCAACTGCCCATCAATACATGAGTGGATTAATAAAATGTGGTATATGTATACAATGGAGTTCTACTTAGCCACAAAAAACAATGGTGATCTAGCACCTCTTGTATTATCCTGGATAGAGATTGAGCCCATGCTTCAAAGAGAGGTTTCTATCACAAGGATGGAAAAATATGTACCACATGTACCCACCATCAAATTGGTACTGACTGATAAGCACTAAGGTGCTCACATGGTAGTAACACTAACCGGGTATCAGTCAGGTGGGGGCTGGAGGGGTGGGGGGCATGTGTGGGGGTAAACCCACAACTAATGGAAGCGGGGTACACTGTATGGGGGAAGGACATGCTTGTAGCCCTGGCTCGGATGAGGCAAATGCATTTCATGTAACCAAAATGTTTGTACCCCTATAATATCCTGAATTGAAAAAATAAAATAAAAAATTAATCGATTATCACACACACACACAAAATCTCCCTAAAAAGAAAAGTCCTGGTCCAGATGGTTTCACACCCGAATTTTACCACACTTACAAAAAAGAACTAGTACCTATCTTGCAGAAACTATTCCACAACATCGAGAAGAATGGAAACCTCCCCGACACCTTTTATGAAGCGAATATTACTCTGATACCAAAACCAGGAAAGGATGCAACAAACAGAATACAAGACGCAATATCCCTAATGAATATAGATGCAAAAATTTTCAACAAATCTTCAGCTAACCAAATCCAGACGATTATCAAAAAAATAATCCCACACGGCCAAGTGGCTCTCATCCAGGGATGCAGGGATGGTTCAACATACGTAAATCTATAAATGTAATTCACCATAAAAGCCATAACAGCAAGCAAAACAAAAGACCACATGATTCTTTCAATAGATCAGAAAGCTTTTGACAAATTCAACACCCTTTCATGATACGACAACTTAAGAAATAGGCATAAAGAACATACCTAAACTGATTAAGCCATATATGACAGACCCATAGCCAACATCATACTGAATGGGGAAAAAACTGAACATTCACTTAGAACTGGAACCAGACAAGGCTGCCCACTATCCTCCACTTCTATTCAACATAGTGCGGAAGTCCTGGCTACAGCACTTAGACAGGAAGTGGATTAAAGGTATCCAAATAGGGGCAAGAAGAGATCAACACTTTCACTCTTTGCTGATGATATGATATTATATTAGAAAACTCCAAAGATTCAACCAAGAACTCCTGGACTCATAAAATGAATTTAGTAAAGTCTCAGGATACAAAATCAATACACAGAAATCAGAGGCATATCTATATGCCAACAAATCAAATTGAGAACCAAATCAAAGACTCAATTCCCTTCACAATAGCAACAAAGAAATTAAAGTACCTAGGAGTATCCTTACCAAGGAGTAAAAGACCTCTACAGGGAGAACTATGAACACCTGAGAGGAAATAGCAGAGGACTGTAACAGAATGGAATCCATTCCATGTCGTGGATCGCGAGACTCAACACTCATTAATGTCTATACTCCCAAACTGTTACAGTTCAATGCATACCTATTAAAATCCATCAGCATTCTTCACAGATATAGAAAAAATAATTTTACGCTTTGTATGGAACCAAAGAAGACCCCGAATATCAAGAGCAATTCTAGGCAAACAAAAAAAAAAAAAAAAAAAAATGGGAGGTGCCAGATATCAAAGTATACTACAAAGCTGTAGTAATTAAAACAATCTGGTATTGGCACAAAAATAGGAATATCGACCAGTGGAACAGATGTGCGAATCCTGATATAAAACCATCCTCATATAGCCATCTATCTTTGACAAAGCGACAAAAACAACACTGGGGAAAGAATCCCTTTTCAATAAAGGATGCTGGGAAACTGGATAGCCACTTGTAGAAGGCTAAACAGGACCCACATCTTTCACCTCTCACAAAAATCAATCACGCTGGATAAACAGCACTTCAACCTAAGGTATGAAACCATTAGAATTCTAGAGGAAAATGTTGGAAACCACTCTCCTAGACACTCGCCTTGCAAAGAGTTTATGAAGCAAGTCCCAAAGGCATCAAGCAGCAACAAAATAACTAAATGGACACAGAGACATAGAAATAAAAGCTCTGCACAGCCAACGAACAGTCATGAAGGTAACACGAAACAACCTACACAGAATGGGAAAAATTTTCTCTCACAGTATACCTCCATAAGGGCTGATAACAGATATACTTCAGACCATCATGCAAATCAGCACAGAACAAAACTCAATAACTATTACACAGTCGGGCAAAGGAACTTGACACAGAAATCTTCCAAAGAAGACAGGAAGAATGCAAAACCATCATTAAAGAATGCTCATCATCTCTCAATCATCAGGGAACATGCAAAATCAAAACCACAATGACGAATCATCACTTAACTACCCAGTGATGAATGGCCTTTATCAAAAGTCTCCAAATAAACATGCTGGCATGGATGTGGAGAGAGAGAACACTTCTACACTGCTGGTGGACTGCAAACTAGTTCAACTCTGTGGAAACCAATACTGCGATACCTAAACGATAACAAGTGAATCATCCCCATTTGATCCAGCAATCCGATTATGGGCATCTACCCAAAAGATCCATGCCTCTTACAGAAAAAGACACTGCACTTTGAATGTTTATAGCAGCAAATTGATAATTGAGGCTGTGGACAACAGCCCAAGTGCCCATCAATCCAACGAATGGGATTAATAACAATGTGGTATCATTATACCCATGGAGTACTATTCAGCTCTAAAGAAACAAGGTGATATAGCACATCTTAATATCTTCTCCTGATGCAGAACTGGACCCATACTACTTAAAGTGAAGTTCAAAGAATTTGGCAAAAACAAGCACCAGATATATTCTCCAGCAAACTGGTATTAACTGAGTAGCACCTAAGTGGGCACATAGGTACTACAGTAATAGGGTATTGGGCAGGTGGGAGGGGGAAGGGGGGAGGGTATATACATACATAATGAGTGAGATGTGCACCATCTGGGGGATGGTCATGCTGGAAACTCAAGACTTGTGGGGGGAGGGGGGGAAAGGGCATTTACTGAAACCTTAAAATCTGTACCCCCATAATATGCCGAAATAAAAAAAAATAAAATAAAATCTGTTTTCCTATGAAAAAAAAAATTAGCTGGGCATGGTGACACATGCCACTTCTGATTTTTTTTCAGTCCACTTAATTGTGTTTATATAATAATAAACAAACAAATCTGGGGATGAAAAAATATAAGATTTTCCTACTGCGTTATCTGCTACCATACTACCTCATCGCACTTTTCTAGGAATCAAAACAGCAAGGCAAAATTTGCAAGGCAAACACTCACCTTTTAGTTCCATCTGGAGCAGAAGTTTAAGCCCTAGTGCAAATGCAACATTTGAGCTGAGACAGGCAGCTAACTTGTTAGTGAGGATTATGTTTCCATAGTGCTGAGAAATAAAGTTAAATGGAAAGAAACTGACAAAAAATAGAAAGTTTCCAGCAGGAGCAGCAAAGTGGACTGCAAATAAGAAGGATATTATAAAGTTAGTTTAGGGAAATCTGCAAAATAAGGAATTACAAATAACTTTTTATACTACAACAAACCACTACTAGAATGTAAGCTCTATGAGTGGAGAGAATTTGTCTTTCCTTTTCACTCTTGTATTTCCAATGCCTAGACAGCACACAGTATTGATTCAATCAAATATGTGCTGAATGAATGAATAAATGTGTAAGTGTGAGGAAGAACTTTTCCTAGAAAGCTTATCCTTACATGTGTGGTGATAAATATTTACAATCATTTAAACAAAGACTGATCTATACAAGTATTATGAAAAATTCTTTTTATAAATATATTTATTCATAATCTTAGCTTGAAAAGTTATAAATGTATACCATCCTATTAACATAAGCTGAATATACTTAGGTAGTGTTTCCAAAAAGTTTGAAGTTATGGGTAGGAAAAAAAAGGCCTTGATAAACTTTAAAATATATGCTTCCAGTCTATACTATGAAACTAAAAAAGAAAGAATAGATGAACAAATAGATAATTACTGAGGGTTGGATGTAGTTAAGTTTATAAGCATGGCAAAAGAATTATTGTCAAGATGTCAAGATAATATAAAATCAACACTGATGAAGAAAGTAAAAAAACACACAGATTAAATCACAAGAGATGGTACTTTCTAACATTATGAATTATTTTTATTTCTTCTACTTATTTTACCCACATCATACCTTATCCATCATCAGCATTTTTAACAATCTCCAAAAAATAGATAACATCTATTGATTTCACTGGATATCTGCTGATATAATCCTAATCTAAGTGCAATATTTTATCTGGATTTCAAATTTGCTCCAGTGCTTCCATTTGCATCCTATATAGGTAGACAGACCTTTTAAAGACAATTTTCCATTGAATTGCTATGCCAATTGTAATACAATAAAATTTACTTAAATTGGCTTTAAAAAACTTCCTTCTATTTCTATTTCTAGTAAGGGTGAACTAGATATTTTGGATGAATCTTCCCAATAAATACAACTAGAAAAGCTGATTGAGAGTATCAAAATGATCAGCTGATTGTATTAGAGAGATCAGAAAGCAATGAAGAATTACTGGGCCATGAGCTGGTTGAAGGAAATCCAGGAGTGAGCTCTGTATTTGGGGCCACTTTTTCCGTATGGGAATTTACCAATCTAAAGACAGTAACTGAGAGACTGAGAAGAACTTCTGGCACCCTTACAGGGATGCGAGGGCAAAATGGGAGCCCAGGGCATGGTAAGGATGAAGGCTGCACCAAACTTGCACATTTTGGATAAGGATGCTACATAGAACCAAAACAATTTTAGTCTGGCTTCCAGTCATCTAAAAATTCCAAATTCTTAAACTAGATTAAGAGAACACTGGAAGAACTAGACTGACAAGCTAACTTCTCAAAAGAAAAAATGGACTAACACTCTGGGAGGCCTAGGTGGGAGGAATGTTCAAGGTCAGGAGTTTGAGACCAGCCTGAGCAAGAGTGAGACCCCATCTCTACTGAAAATAGAAAGAAATTAGCCAGACAACTAAAAATATATAGAAAAGAAAACTAGCTGGGCATGGTGGCCCATGCCTGTAGTCCCAGCTACTTGGGAGGCTGAGGCAGAAGGATCGATTGAGCCCAGGAGTTTGAGGTTGCTATGAGCTAGGCTGATGCCACAGAACTCTCTAGCCTGGGCAACTTGACTCAAGGAAAGAACACCAAAAAAACAAAGAAACAATGGAAACCAGAAGTGTAACTTTTCAGTTCCAACTCCCACCATCATTATTACAACTTCTTCAGGCTGAAATAGACTCCAAGAGATTTAAAGAGCCAGACCTTCTTTTCCCCTTAAATTCCCCCTTTCCCTGTTTGAGAGGCAGACATTTAAGGACTAAGACATTCAAAGGCAACCAAATATATGAGGGAATTTAGAAAGTCACCATGCGTCCTCAGGAAAAGTCACAAGCTCACATAAGCCCTGTTGACACCTCAGGTTTTCATGCCTCTGGAGGATCCTTGGTACAAGAGATAACCCATAATAATAATTTTTCAAAAACAGTTAAGTGGTCGGGAAGGATAAGAAGAACCTGATTTCCAGAATTATCATAAGATTCAAATGTCAAGTTTTAAACAAATATTACAAGGAATACAAAGAAACAGGAAAGTATAGCCCATCCATAGGAAAAAACAAATCAACAGGAATTGTCCCTGAGTAAGACTAGATGGTGGAGTTATTAGATAAAGACTCTAAAACAAATATCCTAAAGATGTTCACAGAGCTAAAGGAAGACATGAATAGACTCAGGAAAATGATGTATGAACAAAACAGAAATATTATAAAAAGTGTCAAATAAAGAAAATAACAAGAACATTGTGAAGCTGAAAAACACAATAAAAGAAATGGAAAACTCACTAGAGGGATTCAAAATCAAACTTGCACAGGCAGAAGAATCAGAAAACTTGAGATAGTATAATTGAAATTATCAAGTTTGAGGAAGAGAAAGTACAAAGACTGAAGAAAAGTAAACAGCCTAAGGAACCAGTAACACACCATCAAGTGGGCCAACATATGTATTTCTGGGGACCCAGAATGGAGAATGAAACAGAGAGATTATATGAAGAAATAATCTAAAACTTCTCAAATTTGATAGAAGACATGAATATAAACATCCAAGAATCTCAACTAACTCCAAGTAGGATGAACTCAAAGAAGTCCACACCAAAACACACTATAATCAAACTGTCAAAAGTCAGACAAAAAGAAAATCTAGAAAGCAACAAGAAAGAAGCTACTTGTTACACACAATGAATACTCAATTATATTTAACAGCAGAGTTCTCTTCAGAAACCTTGCAGGGCATAACACAGTGGGTTAATATATTCAAACTGCTGAAAAAACAAAGCCCTATAAACCAAGCATTCTATATGTGACAAATTGTCCTTTAAAATTAGGGAGAAATAAATAAAAATACAGACCTTTCAAGAAATGGTAAAGGGAGTTCTTCAGGTTGATATGAAAGGACACTAAATAGTAACTTAAGGTCATATGAAGAAATAAAGGTCTTTGATAAAAATAAATTCACAATTGTAAAAGCTAGTATTAGCCAGTTGCAATGGCACATGCCTGTAGTCCCAGCTACTTGGGAAGCTGAGGTTGGAGGATCACGAGCCAAAGAATTTGAGTTCAGCCTGGGCAACATAGCAAGATTACATCTCTAAATAAATAAATAAGGAAAAAATTTAAAAAGTTAATATTATTGTAACTTTGGTTTGTAACTCCACTCTTATTTCCTACATGGCTTAAGAGAGTAATGCATTAAAAATGATTACTAGGGGCCGGGCGCGGTGGCTCACGCCTGTAATCCTAGCACTTTGGGAGGCCGAGGCGGGCGGATTGCTCAAGGTCAGGAGTTCGAAACCAGCCTGAGCGAGACCCCGTCTCTACCAAAAATAGAAATAAATTAATTGACCAACTAAAAATATATATACAAAACATTAGCCGGGCATAGTGGCACATGCCTGTAGTCCCAGCTACTTGGGAGGCTGAGGCAGTAGGATCGCTGAGCCCCGGAGACTGAGGTTGCTATGAGCCAGGCTGACGCCACGGCACTCACTCTAGCCTGGGCAACAAAGTGAGACTCTGTCTCAAAAAAAAAAAAAAAATGATTACTAGGGTTCTTGTATGCTATTACAACTAAGTTGGTATTAATTTCATGTTATAACATTAGGATATTTAATGTAATTCACAAAGAAACTAAAGAATAAATACTAAGGAAAAAGAAGAAATTAAAACTTATACTCAAAAAAATAGCAAAATGGAAGAAGACCCTTCTTATCAGTACTTAAATAAAAATGGATCAAATGCTCTAATAAAAGACAGATACTGACACAATGGATTAAAAAAAAATTATCTAACTATATGCTCTCTAGATCCAAAGGCACAAACAGGTTGAAAGTGAAAGGATGGAAAAGATAATCCATGCAAATAGTAACCAAACCCATTTGAGACCCAGTGACCAATGTTTTTACTGGGGGCCGGTCATGTAAGTATTCCCTAACACACACCAAGATTCAAGACTCCCAGAAGGAAAGCACGGGTTTCCTGTAAACCACATTGTTTGCACAAACAACTTAGGTACAGAGAGACTTCTTACCATTCAGGGAATGCTGAGAAAGCCCTTAAAAGTTAATTAGCCAGATGCCAGCCAAAGGCCAGCCTTTCAAACAGGCTTTTCTAAGGATAGGAGTCTCAGGCGCGCTATCTTAACTCTTTTTTTGTTTTGTTTTTGAGACAGAATCTCACTCTGTTACCCTGGGTAGAGTGCAGTGGTGTCATCATAGTTCAATGCAACCTCAAACTCCTGGGCTCAAGTGATCCTCCTGCTTCAGCCTCCTGAGTAGCTGAGATTACAAGTGCATGCCACAACACCTGGTTAATTTCTCTTTTTTTTAGATATGGGGTCTCGCTCTTGCTCAGGCTGTTCTCAAACTCCTGAACTCAAGCAATCCTCTGGCCTTGGCCTCCCAGAGTGCTAGGATTATAGGCATGAGTCACCTTGCCCAGCCTATGTTTATTTTTTTCTGCGTTATTGTGAATACCAGTTGTTAACTGTGAAAACCAACCTGATGACCATAACTATGATAATACATTAAAAATGAAATTACCTCTAATATGTTAAAACCCCTACTGTAAAACTCTATTTTTTGCCCTAAAATAATTTTCTAGGGATGATATTCTGATGGTTTAGCACAGAAGAAAGATTTGGGAGGAATAATAGCATTTGAGGTCTAAAAAAATAAACATTCCTTAATCTCTTGGGGTATAATTTAAAAATGGCTAGTAGAGAATTCTTTTTTTTACCAAGATAGATGACTAGAGACACCAGTGACCAATTCTCCTCAGAAGGAAGAACCAAAATTATAGGTGGTCCTAGCTTGAGTAGAGTATTTAGGAGAGAGTGATGGAGCCTATTGGAGAGTTCACCGAAAGAAGTTTAGACAGCAAAAAAAAAAAAAGAAAAGAAAAGAAAAAAGTAAACCCGAGGGATTTAGTATTCCATGGAAGGGGAGGTGCAGGTGCTTTGGGCTCTCCCAGCCCCTGTAGCAGACTGTTAGCATCTGAACTTAAGGAGAACACCTTTCCCCTCACAGGTCCAAGTACTGGAGTGGGCTTCCTAAGGCCATTATACTGGGCTATAACCTCACGCAGGGTCTCTTGCTTTGCCCTTGGACCCAAGCTATGGTGGTGGGTGCCACACTGAGTGCACACCCACTGTAGGACTTTGTAATTCTTAAGGACCTTCAACTCTTGGGTTTTAACATCACTGGATCCCTTGCAGATGTTTCCCAGCAGCTACTTGGATTGTGGAAGCCCCACAGGGTGGATAGGTCAAGAGGAGCAGCAGGATTCCCAGCAGTCTAGCCCTCAGGGATTGCTGCTCCTAAGGGGAAGGGGAAGTACACCACACCAAGGGAGAACCCCATCGGACAAAGGAAACCAGAATGTAGGCTTTTCTATGTCCCAGAACTTCCCACTTGTGGGCAGGGAGTGGCTCTGCCCCTTTTAGGCACTGTGTTGGGCTCCATGGGGGGAGGGACTGTGGTTCCACCACAGCAACTGGGAAGTCCCAGTGCTCATGTAGTGACATTAAAGAGGGGACTTCTCCTCCCTCTTGTCTACTGATGCAGACAGAGCTGGAGCTTCTCCTGTGGGAGCACTCGTGAATGGCCTTTTTGGGGCATTTCTGGGTAAACTACATCCCCCTGGGAGGTGTGTCTTCCAGGGCCAGGTTTGCATGGGGAGTGGAGTCCATCTTCCTCTCTACATGGAATGGCAGTGTTACTGCAGATGTACAGTGGTGTCTGTCAGATTGGACTATCCTGATCACTGGGAAGGGGCATGAGGGGGAAGAAGATAGCACTCCTGCCATCCTAGGAGTGGAGAGGAGGTGGTTTTTCCTACTTTCCCCTGTGGAGATCTCAGTGAATTCCACTGGGAGCTACCCCTGCCACCTCCTTCAGGGCTGGGGCTTGTGCCCACCATAGGGATATTCCATATACTCATCTGCTGCTTCTGCAGTTAGTACTTACCCATGGATGCCCCACCTATTAGGGTGCAGGTTGAACTGTTCAACCCAGTGAAAAAAGTACTGGGGAAAAAAGTATACACTACTGAAGAATGAAATAACCATGATGAGACCTCTCCCACTTTGGACCCTCCAGAGGTAGTGAACCTGCTCACAGGACCAGTACGTTGCCACTACAAGCAGCATATGAGAAAGTCACCAGACAAAGATGATACATAACCAAGGAACTCTATATATAGAGTCTTTGCCACTGAAGCACTCAGAGCCAAAGCCAGGCTATTATAAAAAATGCACATTGTAGTCACATCCTCAAGAGGGGAAAAAGACCCCAGTCTAATTGAAAATAAATTCAGAAACAATGAGAATAGTCTATCTATATTAGAAGGATCCAGAGAAACAATTCTGGTAGTATGAAAGAACAGAGTTTTATAACATCCCCAAAAGATCACACTAACTCTCCAGCAATGGAATGAAACCAAACTAAAATCTTTGAAATATTAGATAAAGAATACAAAATACTGATTATAAAGAAGTTCTATAAGATTTAAGAGAAAGATGAAAACCAATATAAAATTTTTTAAAAAAATTCAGGTTATGAATGAAAAATTTTCTAAAGAAATACTTTTAAAAAAGCAAACACAACTTCTGGAAATGAAAGATTCATTTAGGGAATTACAAAATACAATGGAAAGTTTTAATAATAGACTAGATAAGGCAGGAGAAGAATTTAAGACCTTGAAGACAAGACTTTTAAATTAACCCAGTCAGACAAAAATAAAGGAAAAAAGAATTAAAAGAAATAAAAGTCTTCAAGAAATATAGCATTATGTAAAACATCCAAACCTAAGAATCATAGATATTTCTGAGGGAGAAGAAAAACCAAGAAGGTTAGAAAACCTATTTGGGGGAATAATTGAGGAAAACTTCTCTGGTCTTGCTAGAGATTTAGACGTCCAGGTATAAGAAACTCAATGAACTCCTGGGAAAGTCATTGCAAGGAGGACCTTCCCAGGGGTTCAGGTACACAGTCATAAAACTAAGTCAATGTGAAGAAAATAATGCTAAAAGCAGTGAAAAAATGCATTAAATTACTTAAAAAAGATAACACATCAGACTAACAGCAGATGTCTCAGCAGAAACCTTCCAGCCAGAATGGATTAGGGTCCTATATTTAGTATTCTTAAACAGAACAACTGTCAGCCAAGAATTATGTGTCATGCAAAACTAAGTTTCATAAATGAAGGAGAAATAAAGACTTTCCCAAACAAGCAAATGCTAAGGGAATTTGTCACCACTAGACTAGCACTACAAGAAATATTCAAAACAGTACTAAACATTGAAATGAAAGGTTGATACCATTATAAAAGCACACAAAAGTATAAAACTCACAGGATTAAAAATGGTAACACTATTAAGAATACAAAGCAACTAGGTAATAATTGACATAATAACAGAAACAGTATCTCACATATTAATATTAATGTTGGTGTAAATACCCTATCTAAAAGGTACTGATTGGCAGAATGGATAAAAAATAAAATCTAAATATCTGCTAATATCTGCTGTCTTTAAGAGAATCATTTAACTGGTAGACATTTTTATAGATTCAAGGTAAAGGGGAGGAAAAAATTATACTACACAAACAGAAGCCAAAATTGAGGAGAAGTAGCTATACTTATATGAGATAAAACTTCAAATCAAAAACTTTAAATCAAAGTTTTTAAATCAAAAGACTTTAAATCAAAAACAGAAAAAAAAAAAAGACAAAGAATGTCATTATATAATGATAAAGGAATCAATTCAACAAGATATATCAATCCTAAACATACATGCACCTAACACCAGGGCCCCAGATTCATAAAATAAATACTACTCGACCTAAGAAAAGAGATAGATGGCAATACAGTAGTGGGGGACTTCAACACTCCATTGACAGCACTAGACATATCACTGAGGCAGAAAACATGGACTTACATGGGACTCTAGAACAAATGGAACCAACAGACATTTACAATATACTTTCTTCTCATCAGCACAAGGAACATATCCTAAGATAGACCATATATTACGCCACAAAACAAGTCTCAGTAAATTTTAAAAAACTGAAATCGTACCAAGTATCTTTTAAGTATTTTGTCAGACCCTAGTGGAATAAAATTAGAAATCAATTACAAAAGGAAGCCTCAAAACTATATAAATACATGGAAATTAAACAACTTATCTTGAATGATCTTTGGGTCAATGATAAAATCAAGATGAAAATTAAATATTTTTGAAAATGAATGATCACAGTGAAACACTTAACAAAACCTCTGGGATATAGAAAATGCAGTGCTAAGTGGGAAGTTTATAGTGCTAAATGCCTATATCAAAAGACAAAAACATCTCAAATTATAATATAATGTCACAACTCCAGGAACTAAAAGAACAAGAACAAAGCCAGTAAAAGAAAAGAAAAAACAAAGATCAGAGCAGTACTATATGAAATTAAAGTAAAAAACATGCAAAGTACCAACAAAATGAAAAGTTGGTTCTTTGAACAGATAAAGAAAGTTGACAGACCACAAGCTAGATTAACCAAGAAAAGATGATTCAAGTAAAGCTCAATCAGAGATGAAAAAGACATAACAAATGATACCAAAGATATACAAAAGATCATGTGAGACTAGTATAAACATCTCCACACCCAAAAGCTAGAAAATGGAATGGAAAACCAAATACCACATGTTCTCACTTATAACTGGGAGCTAACTGTATGTATAACATACATACAATCTGTATGTGTGTTCATACAGAATGTAATAATAAACACTGGAGACTCAAAATGGGAGAGGGTAAGGGGGTGTGTGGGATGAAAAAATTACCTATTGAGTACAACATACCCTATATAGGTGATGGCTACACTAAAAGCCCAGACTTCATCACTCTACAATATATCCATGTAACAAAATTCCACTTGTACTCCCTAAATCTATTGAAATTTTAAAAAGAGATTTATTTCTATAAAATATCTAATTAGAACAACACGTGGTTCTTTGGTCACACATACTATTCTTGTGTGAGTTCTCATAAGAAACCAATTTTAATTTGCCTTTATGTATCTGACACAAGAGTGCTGCCACACAGTAAGTGCACAAAGGACTTCCTGAGTAAGTAAATGAACGAATTCTTCCATCCTTTGACTTGCTTTCAGAAGTAATTTAAAACCAACTTCTGCAAGAAGCATTGTTTAGTTTATCCTAAGTTCCAACTTGTCACAATTTTATTTTGTAACCTCTTTTTATATACACATTGGGCCATATTAATTTTCAATGTTCTCTCCACCTTTTGGCATATCACTTCATGTGCAATTCATCTTCTATGTTAGAATGTAAGCCAAGGCTATACATGACGTGGCTGGAAAAAGCTCCAAATGTAATCCCATGTTAGCAAATTAAAAAAGAGAAATTTTGTCACAGATGTCTTAGACTCACCGTTACTGAAGAATGTGCTAACCATAAAGCCAAAGAATATTGAAGCAATGGCGTAACACACAAAAAAGACAAAGATAAAACTACAGTCACTGTAGCGGAAGATTGGCTCATTTACAACCTACAATAAAACAATTATGACATCAAGTAAGGTACACAATGAGTATTGTCACACAAACCCAAGGGAAGAGGGAGAAAATTATGGTCCTAATGAAACAGATCATGTTGCTCAGTGACTGAAACTCCATTGAGATAACTCCTTTCTTACAGAAGGGCTTAAATTTTGCTGAGAGAATCAGCAGCATCTGAGTTTTCACAGTGGAGTCAATAAAAACCATCAATATTCTCCTGGAAATCTGAGACCGAACAGCTCAAACCATGATAACTCCTACCCTCTCAAAGGATTTTTTGCAGCAGGCTGCATTCAACTTTAGAACTAAGCTAATTTAGTAGCCATTAACAATATGTAGATGTTAAGGACTTTAAATATAGATAGTGTGACTGAGAATTACATTTTTAGATTTATTTTAATTATTTTGAATTTAAATAAAAAGCCAAAGCAGTGTCAAATATAGATCAAGTATTTCTAATGAAAATTTAGTGTCTGAATTGAGATGTGCTATAAATACAAAACACACACTAGATTTTGAAGACTTAGTACAAAAAATAATGTAAAATATCTCATTAATTTTTCAAGTGATTACATGTTAAAATAATATTTCTATATATTGGATTAAATTAAATATATCATTAAAATAATTTCATGTGTTTCTTTTTACTTTTTAAAACTTCTAGTGGCTACTAAAAATTCCATATAGTGACTCATTATATTCCTATCAGACAACACAAAACTAGACACTTGCCTTAGTACAGAATAACATACATATCACAACAATAATAATGATATCTAAAAGGAAGAATGTGAAGAAATGCGTAGCCCAGATCATCCAGTTTTTTAGTCCAATTATTAGCTGGTATTCCTGCAGGAAAGTGAACACAAACCAAATTATTACATGTATCTGTAATTCATGGTGCTTTCGCATACATTTTTCTAATTTCAATTACTATGTAAAATCCTATATGAGTGGCTGATATTGTCTCTATTTTATAAGTGAGAAAAATCAAGTCTCATAAAGTCAAGCATGGTGATCAAAATTATGCAGTTAGTCAGGGCAGAACTGGCATTACTATATACTTATCCTGAGTTCAGAGACCTTTTGTTTTTTAATAATACACCCCGTATTGGACCACAATGGAAAACATTTAAATTAAACTTGAAAGCATTGAGATGAGTATCTTTTTTCTATTATACTCTGCTTCTAAGAATATTAGAGAATGTGTCTATGGCAACATGTCTGTTTCCCCCTGTGGTTGCAATCAAGATTTTTCCCTTTGTCTTTGGTTTTCAATAGTTTGAAGATAATATACCTAAGGGTGTGTGTATGTGTTTGTGTGTGTGTGTTGTACTTATCCCACACTGTTTTCTCTGAGCTCTATTTGACTCTTTCTTTGGTTTAATTTTGTTTTTCTAATTAAAATACAGAAAAATGAACTTTTTGCATCCAGTTCTATGAATTTAAACACATACAGATTTGTGTTATTACTACCACTATCAGGACACAGAAGTCCTTCATAACCTCCAGATTCTCTGTTCTGTTATCTTTTATAGTCAGACCCTTTCCCACCCCTCGACTCTTTCTTACAGTTTTGATTTCTCTGCTAGCACTACCTATCTGATTTTACATGTTATCTACTGTGCAAAAGAGCAGTTAGCACAGAAGGCCTGAGACTGCTCTTCTTAGAAAGGCATGTTTTACAAAGGGCCAACCTTTGCACATGGGAACTTGGCTAGTAAACTGTTCCTTAGACTCATATGAGTTTTGCTAATAGATAAAGGACTTTGCTAAACTGTACACACAATATGATTTATGCTGTTTATCTATTTTCTACTTTTTGAAATTTTGGTACATGCTAGGCAAAGGGTGCCTATGTGACCAACTCCCAATCAAAACCTTAGGTACCAAGTTTCTAATCACAAACATGTGACTGGATTTTCATTGCTGGGGCAAGAGTGACCCCCAATGAGGGTACATGAGGAGGACTACAGTAGGTGGATCCCTCTAGGTTTTACCTGTGTCTTTTATCCTTATGATCCAGCTGTGTATCCTTCCTGCACTACTATTATAAATCCTAGCTGTGAGTATAACTCTATGCAGAGTCCCATAAGTCCTTCTAGTAAATCTCAGAAAATGCAGTGGTCTCGGGGATTTGGGACACATCTACTTTTTCCTTCACAGCTTTAAAAATATTAATCATAGTGACCTTAAATTCCCTCTCTGATATTTCCAACATCTGTGTCTTAATTGATCCTGATTCTGGTGATGGATTTGCCTCTTTGGACTGTGATTTTTCTTGCTTTTTGATCTGCCTTGCAATTTTTTGTTGAAATTCAGACATGTTTAGGGCAGTAGTAGATACTGATGTAAACAGGCCTTTAGTGTGGGGCCGGGTTCCGTTTGAAGTTCATTGTTGTTCTTGGTACCAGAGACTTCAAATTCCTCTGGTGATCTTTTTGGTCTCCCTCTTTTACTTTGGATTTTCCTTTGTGCTGCTCCCCAGAGACAATTTGTCTCTGAAGCTCTGCCAGCTCGGAAAATTGATCAGTAGCATCAGTACTCACTTTTCATGTTCCATATTTGGATGTATTGCTGCTATGATATAACAACTACCTACCAGTGCTAAATACGTAGAAATAATCCAACTCTCCATACAAAAGATTTCCACAGGCCTAACAAAATCTTTACAGAAACTTTATCAGAAAGTAAGCGGGATTACCTTCAATCTTTGTTCTTTTTCCCACACAATGGCTCGCACAATGGAAAGTACGGTTGGAGCGAATGTGAGTATGAATACCAAAGGGAGGAAACGACTGCTGATCCAAAGTAAGCTATCATGAGAATGAAGTGGGTATGGAAATCTCTGTACAAAGATGCTAATACTATCAAAGAGCTTTTTTCCAGCACTGCTCTCATGATACAGCATGATGGCCTTATCCAATGCATGCTGTACAGCCAGGAACCCTTCTTTGATATACTCTGCATAATAAAACAAATATTTTCAAGTAAAACAGAATTAAGAAACAGCTCAGATACACAAACAAGAAGGCAATTCAAGTAAGTCATAGCCTGCCACTTATAGAAGCTAAACTCACTCTTGTATCAAGACCAGTTAGACATAATTACTCTGAGAATCTAACATAGTCTTATGATATAAAAATAAGGAACACTTCTTCAGATTAATCAGATTCACATCGTCTCAAAATTAAATTATTAATTGAAGTGGTAGGCTTGCTAAGTGTAAGTTATTTTCTTTTTTTCTTTTTATTATTTTAGAACTTGGAACTGGTGAGAATGCTAAGTGTAATTTCTATTTTAAAAATAAGAATGTAGATTTAAATAAATACTGAAGAGATGAAGACTTGGAAACATAAAAAAAAAAAAAAAGAAAGAAAACTCCAGAAGTAGAGACTACATGGCAAAAATGATAAATTGCATCAAATTAAATATTTCTGTTCAATAAGAGAAGCATGGATAAAATAAGAAATTGGGAAAAGATACTTTTAATATGTGGAGCCAATAACATCTAGAATATACACAAAACTCTTGAATAATTATAAATCTTTAAATAGAGTGTGTTATATTATTTGAAACCCTGTGCTCTGTTAATGGACTTGCTATTGTTTTAAGTTTTAAAATATTTAAAAAGGTTATTTTGTGGTGATATAACTTACACATTAAACATGGTTTCCAATCCTTCCTTGATTCATGTGATAAATACCTTAATTTTCCACTAATTTCCTGGCCACTTCTTCTTAGTCTTTGTACACTTTTCTTCTTTTGCTTACTTTTCCTCAATTTGAATGTTATCTAGCACTCAGTCCTTCATCCTCTCTTCTTTCTCTAACATTTCCCCCCCCCTAACTTGTGTGGTACCAAGGGAACTTAAAGATATGATGCCTGTGCTTGAGTAACATGCCACTCAAAGTCCAAAAGTACAACTGACAAAGTAACATCCCAATGTCTGAGAGAACAAAAGTCATTCTTTGAAATACTTTGATCAATTATACAAATTATTATTGTATAAATGTAGAACATAGATAATAGTATTCTTTGTTCAGCAACAGTATAAAACAAATATATTGTGTTCAGATACAAACAAAATCCAAAGTTAAACTATGAGTGACATCACTTGTAGAGATGCATTTACTACCATATATATCATACCTCCTATTCATGCTAAATATTGCTCTGCCTCTGTATCTCATAACTTCCAAGAGAAATTTTACTCTTTTTCACTTTTCTGCAATAGACCTTTAATGACCTATTCACCTTTTAGACTCATCTATAGTAGCCTCCCACATGCACTTTCTATTCTAGCTATAAGAAATAGCAAATAAACAAAAAGCTATGCAGTCCCCTGAATGTGACATCTTGCCTTGCCCACGTTCAAGATTTTACTCCAACTGCCTGGAATAATTCCCCTTACCCCAACTCCACCTAGCTAATTCATAGAGGTTCATGTAGATTCAGCTCACATGTTTTCTTTCTCAAAGACTTCATAAATATTATTTTTAAGGTTGTCCAATAGGTTTGTCTCTTCTCCGGCTGGTTATGCTGCTTCTAATTTTTGTTGCTAATGCTAGAATGTGTATACCTTTCTCTCCAATTGAAGATTCACTAAAGATAAAATTTCAGGATAGTTGGGAAACCTAAATTCCACAGTAAGGGCTTTTCATGTGAGATAATACAAAAAACAAAAATTTAAATTAAAAGCTATCATCGCAATTTTAAAAATGTTACACCATTATCAATAGAATTGTATACAGACATGAATAGGCAAGCAATGCCAACAAATGAAAAGTGTGGGTATTTGGAAAGCACACCACTAATACAAATATAAAAAGAGACTGATATAAGAATTGAGGAGTAGGATTAAGATGGCCAACTAGATGCAGATAGCATGTGTCTCCTCCACAGAGAGGAACCTGAATAGTAAGCAGATTCTCATTCCAACAGATTCACATTCCAAATAGATCACCTAAGAGAGAACACTAGGAATCACAAAGGAAGTGACAGGAAGCACCAAAAATAGGTAAGGAGAGGGTTCAGGGCAACTTGTCAGGCCGGGGACTGGCTAAGAGCCAGGAGAAGCTCCTGGACACAGGGAAACAGTAATAGAGAAGCCCCCAGGGCTCCACACTCTGAGATAAACTTTTACAATCTTGGTTACAAAAGAAACCCCTAACTCATGCAGGTCTCAGGCCTAACATAGGGAGCTTATTACTCCAAAAAGGGAACCTACATGGAATCCCACAGGCATCCGAGCCTAGACCAGCTTGAGCCAGGTGTCATTCTGAGTGCCTAGATACCAGGGAAATGCAGGTGCGCCTGTAGCCACCATGTGGCTACAAAGAGGCATAGAGGAGCCCACACACCCATGGGAAGGTCCTCATCACCCTGCTGTGGGCTGCTGTTGAGACTGGGACAAGAGAAGACAACACTTTCCACAGATTCTTGCCTACACTGCTTGCCTTGGTGGGGCCCCAGCCTTTTCGGTACCGGGTCCAACGTGCCATTCTGTGAATTTAACACTGGGCTAGACAGTACCCTCAGGATGAGTTTGGGCTGACATGGATGCAGCCCTCACCTGACTGGGGAGGGGTTTCTAGCATACATCTGGGACGGTGGCCACCATCTTGCATCCAGCTGCCGTGGGACTGAGTCTCAAACAAACTGCACTCCCTGCAGTTTCCTGCCAGGGCAGCTTGCCTGAGAAGGGCCTCATCCTCTTGTGATTACTGGCCCAGGGGGCCATTTTGGGAGTTTAAAGCTGATATAAGAATAGAAAGAGGATAAAGCATGAGATATAATAGTAAGCTCACCAAAACTTACTTTTGGTAGAATATAAATTTAATTTTAAAAATTACCAAAAATTAGATATGAGAGGGAGGAAGATGGCTCACTAGAAACACTGGCTACCAAATCATCTCAGAAAGAAGGAAAAATTTTAGATAAAAAAATTAAACAAAGATTGTGTGTAATTCTGAGGGAAAAGTGCCAGAACCTACCAGAGATTCCATGGGAACAAGAAGCAGAACAAAGACAATCAAGATATTAGCAGAGATCAACCCTCAAGAGGTCTGGAGCCCAGCAGAAAGAGTAGGTTAGAGCAGTTTGTATCTCCTTCTCTCAGACTTCTGGAAGTCAGCAGGCTCATGAGCTGCTGAAGTGACTTTCTACCCTCAAAAACCCCAAAGCTGCTGATGGCAGTGAACTGGGATCTTCTTGAGGACAAAGTACCAGGCCGCCAACCCTCTAGGAGTCACTTCCCATCACTGTCACCACAGACCCAAGTCGAGAAGGTGGGTGCCATACTGCTTCTCCATCCATTGTGTGCTTCCGTCCTCTCCCAAGGAGCTTCAAGCCCCTCAGCTTTCATCTCGCTTGTTCCCACACAAACATTTCCTAACTCTGGCCCAGCCAGTGGGACCTAGCTAGGGGATCTGTGTGATCTCAGAGCTTGGACATTTTGGGCGGGCTGCCTTCCAGTGATAGGGACAGAGATGACCAGACTGCCAGCTCTTCTCCATTCAGACTCTTCCTCCCTCGCACCTTCCTGACTCACTGCTGCTGAGAGGGATGACTGAGCCAGGACTCTCAGAAGTGGCTGCTTGCCCTCTGTGTGCACACCACACCAAGGCTCCTATGGAGAGTGAGACTCACACCTTTTCTGTTAAAGACCTGCAGCAGACCAAGTGGCACTCAGATTGTGAGCTCTCTGCCCTCTGGCCCTCCCCAGAGCTGCTCACGTGGCTGCTCTAGCAGAGCAGGGTATATGTTCCCTGGCCTGGGAAAGGACCCTTAACCCCTGCCAAGACAGCTTTGTTTCCTGCCTTTGTGGAGCCTGAGGGTAGGCTTCCCCAATCCAGCCCTGCCCAACCTCACTCCTCTACCCATTTCTGCTGTGATGAAGAATAAGGAGTAACCAGGGAGCTTCAGGGTCCCAATCATCACCTGGGACATCCAAGTGCTTCTCCTGATAGACTAGAGCCAGTCACAGGTCACCAAAAATACCACTGTAGCTGGCTCTTTCCTGCAAGTGCCACCTATTGGCAGGGAGGACAACTTGTATAGCCCCATACATCATTTACTGACTCAATCATATAGGGTGTGGCTGACTCTTATCCACAAGCACCACCTACTGTATCAGAGATTAAACTGGGCATCCCAATATAATTCATGCTGTTAAGAAGACAGCTGGGGAAAGAGAAAGGATTTCAAAGACCTTTATCTTCCCTCACCAACAAAAGACAGGGAATCTGCCCACACACAAAACACACCACCATTACAGCCTACAAATAACTACCAACTGAGAAAAACACCACACTAAGGATATCTGTAACCAAGGTATCCATCCAGAACCTAGACTCACACCAAAACATCACAAGCAGAGCCAAATGTCCTTACCCAACATATGTTACAGACACATACTTAAGAGTGAGAGAGAGAAAAAAGGCCCCATCTAAACAAAAGAAAATCCAAAACCAAAAAGTGACAGCTGCTCCATATGAGAAGGAATCAGTGTAAGACCTCCAGAAGTACGAAAAATCAGAGTGAAGGGACAACCCCAATGGGACACACTAACTCTATAGCAATGGATCCCAACCAAAATAAAAATATTAAAATGACAGATAAAGAAATCTAAATACAGATTTTAAGGAAGCTCAAAGAGATTTAAGAGAAAATGGGAAACCAACTCAGAGAAAGCAGAGAAACAATTCAGGAAATGAATGAAAAATTTACTATAGACATATTTAAGAAAAAAAATAGAACTTCTGGCAATGAAAAATTCATTTAAAGGAATATAAAACACAGTGGAAAGCTTTAAGAACAGACTAGACCAGGCAGAAGAAAGAATTTCAGAGCCTGAAGACAACTCTTTGGAATTAACCCAGTCAGTCAAAAATAAAGAAAGAACAGGCTGGGTGTGGTGGCTCATGCCTGTAATCCTAGCACTCTGGGAGGCCAAGGCAGGAGGATCATTTGAGCTCAGGAGTCCAAGACCAGCCTGAGCAAGAGTGAGACCCCGTCTCTACTAAAAAAAAAAAAAAAAAAAGAAAGAAAGAAAAGAAAAAAAAAGAAAGAAATTAGCTGGATAACTATAAAACTATATATATATACACACACACACACACACACACACACACACACACATATATATATATATAATTAGCTGGCTAATATATATAATTAGCCAGGTATGATGGCATATGCCTGTAGTCCCAGCTACTCAGGAGGCTGAGGCAGGAGGATCACTTGAGTCAGGAGTCTGACATTGCTGTGAGCTAGGCTGACACCATGGCACTCTAACCTGGGCAACAAAGAGAGTTAGACTCTGTCTAAAAAAAAAAAAAATGAACAATCAAGAGGAATGAACAAAGCCTGTGAGAAATAAGGGATTATGTAAAATGGCCAAATATAAGAATCATAGAAATACCTGAAGAAGAAAAAGCACAAGGTCTGGAAAACCTCTTCAAGGAAATAATTGAGGAAAACGTCCCTGGTCTTACTAGATATATAGACATAAAGGAACAAGAAGCTCAACGAACACATGGGAGATTCACTGAAAAGAGGGAATCACCAATGCATACAGTCCTCAGACTGCCCAAAGTGAACACAAAGGAACTCCCGCGAGCTGTGAGGTGAAAACACCAGGTAATTTATGAAGGAAAACGCATCAGATTAACTGCAAATTTCTCAGCAGAGACCTTATAAGCCAGAAAGGAGTGGGGCCCTACCTTCAGTCTTACTAAGTAGAAAAAGTTCCACCCTAGAATTCTGTTTCCTGAAAAATTAAGTTTCATATATGAACAAAACATGAAGACCTTTTTAGGAAAGCAAACCATGAGGGAATTTGTCACAACCAGACCTGCCACACAGGAAATACTGAGAACTACATTACAGATAGATCAGCACAATACATAACACCATCCAGTGTAAAATCACCCAAAAGCTAAAGCTCACCACTCATATAAAACAACAGCACTAGAGGGAAAACAAACCAATAAAGTACTACCCAGCATGATGAACACAACAGTATCATCCCGTATATCAACTCTTTCAATGTTAACAATCTGAATGCCCCATTCAAGAGATATAGGCTTGCTGAATGGATGAATAATACAATCTAAGTATTTGTTGTCTCTAGGAAACACATTCAACATACAAGGACTCACACAGACTCAAAGTGAAGGGATGGAAAAAAATATTCCATGCAAACAGAAACCAAAAGAGAGCAGGTATAGCTATTTGCATCAGGTAATATTTACTTTAAATCAACAATGGTAAAGATAAACAAAGATGGTCCTTATATAATGGTAAACGGAACAATTCAACAAGAAGATATAATAATTATAAATATATACGGACCTAACACAGAGCTCCCAGATTGATAAAAGGAAATTCTACTAGATCTAAGGAGACAGATAAACAGCAGCATTGTTAATTGCTGGGGACTTCAACAATCCACTAACAGAGCTGGAAAAATCATCAAAGGAGAAAATAAAGAAATAATGGACTTAAATCAAACTCTAAATGAAATGAACCTAGCAGACATTTACAGAACATTCTACCTCCAAAATACAGAATATACATTCTTCTCATCAGCACATGAGACATTCTCCAATATTTTAGGCCACAAAGCATGTCTCAACAAATTCAAAAATATCAAAATCATACCACGCATCCTCTCAGACCACAGTGTAATAAAATTAGAAACAAATTCTTAGGGAAACATGCAAATATACACCAAATATACACACAGCTGTGGAAATTAAACAACATGACCCTGAATGATTACAGGGTCAATAATGAAATTAAGATGGAATCAAAAGAATTCTCAAACTGAATGACGAAAGGGACACAGCTATCAACGGGATTCAGCAAAAGCAGTCGTAAGGGGAAAATTCATAGCCTTAAAGCCTATATCAAAAAGACAGAAAGATCACAAACTAACAATATAATGATACATCTCAAGTAACCAGAAAAGGAAGAGCAAACTAAACCTAAAGCTAGCAGAATAAAGCAAACAACAAAGGTCAGAGCACAACTAAATGTAACAGGGAAAAAAAACAATACAAAGGATCAACGAAATAAAATGTTGGTTCTGTGAAAAGATAAACAACATTGATAGTCCTCTTGCTAGAATAACTAGGAATAGAAGACAGAGGACCCAAATAAGCTCAATCAGAAATAAAAAAGGAGCTATTACAACTGATAACTATAGAAACACAAAATATCATATGTGAATACTACAAAAACCTCTATGCACATAAACTGGAAAATGAAGAGGAAATAGACAAATTCCTGGAAACATGAAAATCCCAAAATCAATCAGGAAGAAATAGAACTCCTGAAGAGGCGAACAATGAACAGCAAGATTAAAGCAGTAATAAAAACTCTTCCAACAACAACAAAAGCCCCAGACCAGATGGATTCACAGCCAAATATTGTCACAGCTACTAAGTAGAGTTGGTACCCAGACTACAGAAATTATTCCATAATATCAAGAAGGAGAGAATCCTCGCCAACTCATTCCATAAAGCTAGTATCACCTTGACACCAAATATAGGAAAGGACACAACAAAATCAATAGCACCAAATTACAGACCAATATTCCTTATGAATGTAGTTGCAAAAATCCTCAATAAAATACTAACAAACTGAATGCAATAACACATTAGAAAAAAACAGTAATAATCTACACCATGACCAAGTGAGCTTCATCCCAAAGATGCAAGGATAGTTCAATGTATCTAAATCAATAAATGTGATTCACTACATAAACAAAAGCAAAAACAAAGACCATATGATCACCTCAATAGATACAAAAAGAGCATTTGACAAAACCCAGCACCCTTTCATGATAAACACAACAAACTAGGCACAGAAGGAACATATCTCAAAATTGTAAAAGCCTTATATGACAAATCCACAGCCAATATCATACTAAATGAGGAAAAGTTGAAAGCTTTCCCCGTAAGAATTGAAACAAGACAAGGGTGTCCACCATCACCGCTTCTATTAATATTTAACATAGTATTGGAAGTCTTGGCCAGAGCAATCAGGCAAGAGAAAGAAATAAAGGGTATCCAATTTAGGAAAGAGGAGGTGAATCTATCATTTTTCACTGATGATATAATCTTGTATCTGAAAATCCCAAAGACTCCATCAATAGACTCCTGGAAATGATAAATTCAGCAGTCTCAAGTTACAAAATCAATGTACACAAATCAGTAGCATTTCTATCTACTAATAGAAGTCAAGCTCAGAGTCAAATCAAAGACTCAGTACCATACACAATAGCTACAAATAAAATAAAATATGTAGGAATATACTTAAGCAAGGAGGTGAAAGATCTCTACAAGGAGAAGTAAGAAACACTGAGGAAAGAAATTACAGAAGACACAAATGGAAAAACATATCATGCTCAAGGATAAGTAGAAGCAACATTGTTAAAATGTCCATAATACCCAAAGTAATTTATTGATCCCCATCAAAATATTAATATTGCATTTCACAGATCTAGAGCAAATAATTCTATGCTTCATTTGGAGCCGGAAAAGAGCCCAAATAGGCAAAATAATCTTAAGGAAAAAGCACAAATTGGAGGAATCACATTGCCAGACTTCAAACTATACTACAAGGCTATAGTAACTAAAACAGCATTATATTGGTTCAAAAATGGAGACATAGACCAATAGAACACAACAGAGAACCCAGGTATAAAACCACCCACCTACAACCAACTGATCTTCAACAAAGCAGGCAACGACATACACTGGGGAAAAGAAGCCCTATTCAATAAATGGTGCTGAGAAAATTGGATAGCCACATGCAGAAGAATGAAACAGAACCCCTATCTCACCACTCACAAAAATTAATTCAAGATGGATAGAAGACTTAAATGTAAGGCATGAATCCATAAAAATTCTAGATAAAAATGTAGGAAAAACTCTTCTATATATCTTCCTAGGCAAAGATTTTATGACTAAAACCCCAATGGCAATTACAGCCACACAAAAATAAATGGGACTTGATTAAATTAAAATTAACCATTATGTAAAAAAGTATGAAGATTTCTCAAAGAACTAAAAGTAGATCTACGATTTGATCCAGCAATCCCACTACTAAGCATCTACCCAAAGGAAAAGAAGTCATTTTATCAAAAAGACACCTGCGTTTGAATGTTTACTGCAGCACAATTCACAATCACAAAGATATGGAATCAACCATGGAATCAACCAAAGCACCCATGAATTCATAAGTGCATTAACAAAATGCAGTGTGTGTGTGGAGAGGGAGAGAGGGAAGGAGAGAGAGAGGGAGAGGGAGAGGGAGAGAAAGAGGGAGTGGAGGGAGAGGGAGAGAGAGAAGGAGGAAGAGAGGGATACATACATACACATATATACACCATGGAATACTACTCAGCCAGAAAAATGAATGAATTAATGTCTTTTGCAGAAATCTGGATGGAACTGGAGACTATCATCTTAAGTGAAGTATCTGAAGAATGGAAAAACCACACGTACTTTCTTATAATTTGGAACTATTCAATGGGCACACACAGGCACAGAAAGAAGTAAAAATTTTTGGAGATTGAGAAGTGGGGAGGAAGTAGGAGGGGAGGGTTAAAAACCTACCTAACATGCACAATGAACACTATTCAGGTGATGGGCACATGGATAGCCCTCACTAAAGCATTATAAAAGCTATCTATGTAAGAAAAACATTTGTATTCCCTTAATATTTTAAAATAAAATAATAATTAGAAAAGGGCACAGCTGTGTTCTATAAAGCTTACTTACAAAAACATAAAAAATTACTACAAATTAAGAAAAAACATTTTCTCATCTGTTGAATAAATATAAATATATAAATATAAATAAGTATGTGTGTGTGTGTATACTAGTTTGTAACTATGATAATAAAATAAGTATGCTTAAGGATCTGCTTACCAGGATTTCCTCCATCAGGTTGATATGGGTTCCTGGGTCCGTCAGAGAGACCATTAGGAAAGAGAGATGCTGTTTGCCAGCCTAAGCCATCTGACAATAAAATGGCCTTCAGTACCTTCATAAAACGCAGATGATATTTTACCTAGAAGTAGCAATAGGAAACAAGTTATGTCTAAAATCAAACTGAAGAGCAAATAGTAGAAATAAAGTTAAATTAAGCTTAGATGGTGCAGATGGAAAACCATGAGACTTAAAGGATGAGACTTGTCTTATATCAAAGTAATTCTGAATTCCTGGAAATGACAATGGCTTTAAAGCACAACATATATCTAATCATATCCACATTTGAATTCTACTCAAAATGCAGACAATGCAAAAAAAAAAGATATACACGTGGCCCATAAATAAATGAAAAGATTCTCAACATCACATAATGAGATAAATTCAAATTAAAATTACAGAGATATCTTTCTTACCTATCATACTGGCAAAATCAAAAGCTTAACAACATACTCTGTTGGTGAAGCTGCAGACATACAGGCACTTTAACACATTCCTCATGGTATGCAAAATGACACAACTCCAATGGAGTTGGAGTCCAAAACCACACATGCACTTTTGTAGTCAGTGCTGCTATAACAGAATACCTGAGACTAAGTAATGTAAAATCAACAGAAATACGTTTTCTCACAATTCTGGAGGCTGGAAAGTCCAATATTAAGGTACTGGTAGGTTTGGTGATTCTCATTCCAAGATGGCACTTTGAACGCTGAGACCTCTGGAGGGGAGAACACTGTCCTCATGTGGTGGAATGAAGAGCGAAGGAGGCAAAAGGGAACCAACTCGCCCTCTTATAATGGCATTAACCTCACCCATAAGGGTGCAGCCCTTTTGGCCTAATCATCTCTTTAAAGTCTCACCTCTTAATACTATTAAAATGGCAATTAAATTTCAAGATGAGCTTTGGAGAGGACATTCAAACCAGAGCATGCATTTATTGTCTGACTGAGCAATCGTACTTCCAAGAACAAATTTAGAATATATATCTCCAATAATATAAAAAACCCACATATGCCCAAATTTGTTTATTGTAACATTATCTGTGGTGGGAATATATTGGAATTACCTTAATTGCTCATAAAAAGGAGACTTCCAAAACTATGGTACCTTTACATAACAGGGTGCTGTACATCTGTTCAAGATATAGCCAGAAAACAGAAACCCTACCCAAGAACTGAAAGGGTAAGAGAATGCTAATGTATTATGCAGGCAGCTGTAGCAGGAAGCAGCCACCAGCCCTAGGACTAAGGGAACAAAAGCAAGATGTCAAAATTTTAAAAAATTACGAACTTAGAGGAGAGACCCTGTGGGGCTGAAACCCAAACCTTTGAGGAGGGGGCATACGTCAGTGAGGGCTCCGTCTCTAACCTTCAAGGAGGGGGTCTTTGGGACTGGGACCCAGATCTCTGAGAAGCAGCTAGAATCTGTGAGAAGTGTCGTGAAACTGGTTTTAAAAAGTGTTAGACAATCTGCATACTGTATTTGGCTTCTAATATGGCAAGAAACTGCTACTTGCCAAAATAAAGAAGTAGTGCTAAGATATCATTCACTGGACTACAAACAGACAGAAAGCCACCAAGAAAGCTTCAAGTCCCTGGTCTTCCTTTAACCTTATAGTCTGCCAGTAGGGTCCCCTAGTCTCACATGGAACTGGCTGGAAAAACAGAAATGCAACTACAGCATCTAAGAGCAGAGTACAGAAGGATGGATTTAGAGTTTAGAAACAAACTTAATGATTGACAAGCATGCTACCTTTTGCATAAAAATGGCAAGATGAGGGTTTTTAGAAATATATTTACAGGCCGTGTGCGGTGGCTCACGCCTGTAATCCTAGCTCTCTGGGAGGCCGAGGCGGGTGGATCATTTGAGCTCAGGAGTTCAAAACCAGCCTGAGCAAGAGCGAGACCCCCGTCTCTACTATAAATAGAAAGAAATTAATTGGCCAACTAATACATATAGAAAAAATTAGCCGGGCATGGTGGCACATGCCTGTAGTCCCAGCTACTCAGGAGGCGGAGGCAGCAGGATTCCTTGAGCCCAGGAGTTTGAGGTTGCTGTGAGCTAGGCTGATGCCACGGCATTCACTCTAGCCTGGGCAACAAAGTGAGACTCTGTCTCAAAAAAAAAAAAAATATATATATACATATATATTTACATATATAAATTATATATAGTAAAATTTGTATATATAAATTCAATCTATCAACACATTTAATTTTAGGATGCACTGAAAAGAAAGTTACAGACATGAGTATACTTCTACCAAATAAATAAAGATTAACTAGAATTCAATATTTATTTATAGTTCTTGAGGTAATTTTATATATATGAAAATGCAAAAATCTTAACTGTGTACTTGCTAAATTTTGACAATTGACAATCGATATTTACTGCAATCCAAACTCTACTATCGACATTCCCCTTACTCCAGAAAGTTCTCTCTAGCCCTTTCCCAGTGAATCCCTACTACATCTCTTCACCACAAATTTCACCATAATTTTGCCAGTGACAGAAATTCATATAAATGGAATCAAACAGTATTATACTCTTTGGTATGAGGTTTCTTTTACTCAACATGGTGTTCTGGAGATTCATTTATGCATTTGCCTTTTTCAGCCATTAATTCCTTTATGCTGCTGAGCAATATTCCATAATATTAATATATCAGAGCTCATTTATTTTCTTGTTTTTGGATATCTGGCTGTTTCTAATTCTTGGCTACTATGAATAAAGCTGCTATGAACATTCTTGCGAACATACATTTTCTTCTTTATGGTAAATTCAAAGGTGTGCAACTGATGGATCATAAGGTAAATTTATGTTTAGTTTAACCTGGAAAACCAAATAGCAGGCATTTTCATAACCTGATAGTACCATTTTATATTCCCACCAACAATGTATGACAATTCTGAAGGCTCCACATCCTTACCAACATTTGATATTTGTTGGACTATAACTTTACTCCTTCAGGTAGGTCAGTAGTGCTATTTCATTTTGGTTTAAATTTCCATTTTCCTGATGTCTGATGAGACTGCACACTTTTTCATGTCTTTGCTGGTCATCCCTATATCTCCTTTTGAGAACTATTTAAATATTAATAGTTTGCCCACTTTTGACATTGGGCTGCTTGTCTTTTTATTATTAAGTTGTAGGACCTTTGAAAATATCTTGGATACTAGTACATTGTCAAATGTATTTCTCTAGCACTGTGTCTTGACAATTTATGTTCTTTTCTTTTTCTCGGTTTGTTTTCCTTTTTCTTTTCTTTTCTTTTTTTTTTTTTTAACCACCCAGACTGTATCCTTTCTCTTACTCTCCTGAATAAAAAATGAGGATAAAAAAAAAAAAAAAGAAGTCCAATGGAAACGATTACAGGAAGCAAATACAAGAGTGGTCACACTCAGGCGGAGCTGGGCTTTCCCTCTGATTTCTGCTGCTCTAATTCACAGAAATTCTGTTATACAAACTAAATGATCCTGAAGTAGGTTTTGCCAAGTTTTTCTTATACGTTCTTTATTTTTTATTTCGGCATTCTTATGGGTACCGCTTTTAAGTTCATAAATTGCCCATTCCCCCTCCCCGAAGCTGGTCTCATCATGACCTCCCGATGGTGCATTCATCTATGTAGTATATACTGCCCCTCCCTCCACCTGCCATACCCTATTTGTTCTTGTGCCCATTAGGTGTACTCAGTTATACGTTTGAGGAGTAACTCGGGTTGTTTTTCATCTTGGTATTCATTGTAGTATGGGTCAGCTGGTACAGGTTAGTGGTTATCACATGTTCTTAGACTGGAATATACTCCATGGTATATTACCACATTATCCTTTTGGTTGAAGGCACTTGGGCGTTTCCACGCCTTGCATGAATTTTTTTTTTTTTTTGTAGCTGCTAAATATGCAGGATTTTGAGAAGTGGTCTGTGGATCTGGGTTGATTTCCCAGGCAATGGGATTGCTGGATCATAATGGTAGATATCATTCTATCGCTTAGTATCGCCTATTGCTTTACAGAGGTGGTGACTGTTTGCAGTCCGCAGTGTAGGATGTTCGTCTCTCTCCTACCATGGCATTTTTTTGAGATTTTTGATACGGCCATTTCTGGGTTAAGTATTTCATTGTGGTTTGATTGGCATTTCTGATGATTAGAGATGGGGTTTTATATGTCTGGTTGCCATTTCGTTTCTTTCGAAAAGTTTTCGTCAGTCCTTTCCATTTTAATGGGGTCATTTGATTTTTTCTTCCTGATTTGTGAGTTTATATATTCTGTTTCAGTCTTATCGGATGCTAGGGTACAAAATTTTCTTCCCATTCTGTACGGTTGTCGAATTCATGCTATTCTTTGGGTGCAGACTGATGTTGTCTGTATTTATTTTTGTTGACTGCTGTGAGTTGGCCTTTGACTTCTCATATCTTTGCCAGGCGCTGCTCTAGGAGAGTGTTTCCAATTGTTCTTAGGAGTTAATAGTTTCTACCTGTGTGTTAAGTCTGTTATAGCATGAGTTGTTTGCTGAGAGCATGAAAGTGTGGTTTGTCTTACTTCTACAGGTGGCTATCAGTTTTCCGCAACCATTTATATGAAAAAAGGATTCCCGTGTTTTTTTGTCTGCTTGTCAAGTAGATGGCTATATGAGAGTGATATCGATTTCGATCTGTTCACGGTCTCATTATCCATTTTGTGCCATACAGATTGTTATTATACAGCTGTGTATGTTTATTGCATATAGTGCATCCATTTTGTTGTTTAAATGCTCTATAATTCGGTCTTTTTGTTCCATACGAAGTGTCAAATTATTTTTTCTTATCTGTGAAGAATGCTGATGGGTTTATAGTATGCTTGTCTGTGTCAGTTTGGTACATGTTGACATTTTGATGATATTGGTCTGCATCCGAGGAGCAATTAGAATGGATTTCCTCTATTTAATCCTCTGCTTCTTCCTCAGTGTTTTCATAGTTCTCCTTGTAGAGGTTTTACTCTGTTAAGGATTTCCTAGGTACTTAATTTTTGTAGGGAATTGGAGTCTTTTGATATGGATTCTTACTTGTGTAGCATATGAATGCCTTGATTTGGTATTGATTTTGTA